CATTTATGATCTTTTCTTTAAGCAATAATCATCATATTAATGATTTTGCACCGCAGACACAGTAGTTCTTCGGCCTCAATATCTCTGTCTGATTGCATTTCCATTAAGAAATGATCATAAATGTTCTTCCTGAGTGGCTCTCTGTAATGCTATCTGTGATTGTTCTTAAAGTTGGTATAACTAGAGAAGCAAGCGGTCGGCAATATTCGTCTCTTGATGGGGGGCCTAACCCTGTGTTACAGTATGTTTGACCCAAACTTTACTTTATGCTGGAATATCCCTTTAAACATAAAGATCACAGATTAATGGAAAGTCAGGGCAGAGAGATTTTATGCCTAACGAGGCTGGCACAGTCTGCAAAATCGACCTTGCTCAGTAGAAAACCAGGTCCTGAGGGTGTGCTCCTCTCCTCTGAGTTTATGAATCACCTGGTCTTGTGAAAACAGCTCAAACCACAGCACATTAGCTGGTAATCAACTGCCAACGGCTATATAAACAAAGACTTTTCCAGATTAAAGCTGATGAAAAGTAGCAATGACATATCGGTTATAAAACTGTCCAGCAAAAAAAAACGTGTGTGAGCTTCTCCCGTTTTATGTTGACACAGTACAGATGAGGTAACATAGTTAAACCCAGTTAACAAGCAGATGAGTTAGAACCGTATTACATCTACCACAGTAATTTAGATTGGCTCCTTGAGTATTAAATTTAGTTAAGAGGTTTGTTTTGTCTATTTTTATAAACACCACAACTAATGGGACCCTCTCTTCTCAGACCCACCCCTTTAGAAGCTCTAAAATCTGACTTCACTACTACCTGAGCATCCAAAGCTGGCAAGCAGTCAATATTGTGCTTATGCAAATCCCAGGTGGCAGAATAAGTCAATTACAGCTGCTTGAGGGAAATTCACCTCTTCCTGTTATTTTATTCCCAAAGTTTCTATCTTTCTACCCTCTTTCTGTTTTTTTCACAGCTTAAGGCAGAGCGGCCTGACCTGTAAGAAAACTACCCTATCTGGCAGCTCCATCTTTCACCTAGGTTTAATGAAGTGGAGAACCTGTGAGATGGAGTTGAATTGCTTTGGGGCCTTGAGATTCGGTTTCAGACTACTTCTGTCTCCAGAGAGGACAGAGGAGCCAGAGGTCAGAAAGTTCATTTTCTCACACCAGGAGGCATCCAGCACGATAACTGAGGCAGGTGTACTTATAAAAATAGTAACGTCACACATTTAAAATCTAATATTTAACATAGACATGAGGTCATATGTAAGTAGTTACAGAAAATATAGGAAAATTTTGGCAGACTTGCTGCAATATACGCTGATGAAATCAAGAGTTATATCAAACCCACAGGCCTGATCAGGTGTCTTCTCTGAATTTCCATTAAATTTATAACTGCAATTGTTTCTGACTGATTTTGATGGCAATATCACTATTTAAAAACAATTATCCATAATTTTTACATCTGCACCACATGCATTTATGCTATTTTAAACCTCTTTTAAATGTAAAAGCTCATGTTTCTTTGAAAAAGACAATGAGCTGACTACAACTGTTCAGCCTACACCTTTTTTATTTACCAAAGCATATCGGTCTGTAAAACTGGATTATCAGAGTTTTTTAAACTACTGTAAGGAGCCATTAATCTTTCCTTCATCTGTCCCTTGGCTTTTCAGACACACCAGGATACATACATCTGCCTCCTTGTCCTGCCCCCCACCCCCCTCTCTCTCCACCTGTGACTGCCTGTGACTGTTGCACAAAGTGTTGAAGATACTGCCACTTCCATGTGCTCCCAAACTGTCTTTCACACTGATCTGAGCTGCTTATGATGGAGTGAAGTGAGAGCTGTATAAGGGGAGGGGCCGAATGGTATACAAAAGTAAACAAAATTGAGGAAAGCAAAAGTTCCTCACAGGAGCTTTAATTAAAAGATGAAAAATGAAAATAGAGGCATTTTGCTAATTAGGTTCTGTATGGGTCAAAGCAGCATGTGCAGTACAATCAGGGTGTGAGGTCACTCTTAACCAATATGCTAGTGAGGAGGGAACATCTTGAAAGAGGCAAGTTTTTGATTCTCAAGAAGTTAGCAACTAAAGGGAAAACTGAAGATACAATGGCCTGGTTGTCAGTGCGGGAGCTCCAAACATGGTGATTATGCCTACAGCAGTCGTCCAGGGTTCACACCTAGTCTGTGACTTTTACCCTCTCCAGATACAGGCAAAAAAAGTCTGAAAATTATAATTAAAAAAAGAAAATAGAGCCACTGCTACATAAAATTCTGTGTCATCTTTCCGCAGCTTTCTGGATGCCTGTCTGGATGCCTGACTGTGCCTGAGAACCGCTAATTTAAAGCCAGTCAGCAACTTGAGAAGCAACCCTGTGCTCAGATCATATCAAACTACCCGTATAGGTATGTCTACAAAATAAACACTGTCAATATTTGTGTGATTACATCCCTTGAAGGAACACGCTCTCATCTGTTTCTGGTGAGTCCGAGTTTCACTCTAAATAGCGAGTCAAACAGAGGCGTCACTGATATAAACCTGCAGGAAAAACTGATTTTATTTGTGGTTTATTTGCATGGAACAAATGTAACACTAACATTAAAAAATACAGAAGCACACTCTGTGAGGACTGTGATCAAGAACATGTGCAGGTTCTACATTTCTATGGAATATCTGTGAATGCACATGAGGTCAATTGAAACAGTTCCATTATTGTATTATATACACCTGAATAAACATGTGGCCTTATTCAAATCACTTAGTGTGAGGCGAGTGAAATATGCTAGCATAAGTTGAGTTCTGGGTGTGCCTAATCAGCCAATATGCCCCATTACTGTCCATTACAATTCAGTTCTGTCAACAGCTGGGCTAAATGGTTAATGACGGCTCTAATAAGGAGCACATTTCTACTTATGAATCCCTTTCAGCCTAGGTAATGAGTTCAGTGGTAGCTCAGCAACAAGTCTTTGCACACACACACACCATGTGAGAGACCTGATGATGATAACTGTAATGTCATATAATGTTTTCTATTTGAAATGAACTGAATGAATGCAGATCATTAAGTTTCCCTTACAACCAACAGTCAAATCAAAGCAGTAATGGGTTATATTTGCATTAAACGTATTATGCTACGGTCGGTTGTATGGCATAATAAGATTTGTTCCAGCGTGTACTGCGCGTTGTGTATAAATAGTTCTTAATTAAGTCGCTGTAATGAAAACAGCTGCTTCTGAACATCAACATGACAGTTAAGAGTGCAGGGACAGAACATGTGTCTCATCCTCCTCAGAGTCTGACATGTGAGCGAATTTCACACAATGGACATGAGGCTGCCCCCTATGAGATCACTAGAGTGTTTACCAATTGCATCTATTGTGAAAAAAAGGCAAAAACTGAGCCAAGAGAATATTTCATCCTGTTAAATGACAAATCACATGAGAACTGGATTTTAAAAATCAAGGTGAATGTTGAAATGAAGACTGATTTTAGTCAAAAAGAGTTACAAAAATCTGAAACATGTCATTTGTCAAAAACATGCAAACATAATTCAAACAAAGAAACTAAAAATATGATCTCAAGCTTCAAAAAGTCACAATCCTCCAATTTTTGATTACAAACCAGAGCTGATTTGTGCTCTGCTGTTCAGCTTCCATTGAGAATGGCTGACGTATTATTCCACTGAGATTGTTGCATGCAGGGGCCTAATTCTACCACTTGTGTGTATTGCGTTGGCAGTGCCCTTTTTGCATACAGAACCAGGAGCAGTTTGTTTAGTTCTTGTTTGGGTCATAGTGTCCTCAGTCTTAAACATCCCAGTGTTATCAAGAGGTGATTTGTTGATCTAGAAACAGTAAGCACTAGTGGGATATGCTCAAAATTGAGGTCATGGGCATTGCAAGGGCATCAAAATGCTGCTAGTGGACACAGGCCCTAATTTTCAAAAAACTGTCAGTATTGGATAATGTAACTGATTTGACTTTGTGTAAGAAGAAAATAAGTTTTGAGTGTTTTTCGCAACTGTGTTTTCTTCATGTAAAAGAAGATTTTGCATTTGTAATAAAAAATATTTATAATTTTTTCCAATTATTTCCTTGATTTTACCTTGTTAAGCTGTTACATGCAAATTGCTTTTGGCATTTTCAGTTAAAGGGTTGTTTTTCTTAATCAATTTAACTTATTATTATTATCTGACTTTCACAAGGAGTAAAAGTGATGCAAACTCATCTCAAATGAGGAATTTTCCTGATCCCAAGGCTGAGTTTTAAACCTAAATTTGAGTTATCTATTTTGTTTGTGGATTTAACGAAACATTCTCTGATGGCGAACGTATATGAAAGGCTGAAAAGCTGGTGCTTAATGTCGTAATGTTGGAAAAGCCTTTTCCCTCCTTCTTTATAGGTCAGAAAAATGAACAGGTTATGTGTTACAACATGTTTTCTTTTTTATTCGCTGCTGCAGTTGCACAAATCAGTATGTTTCTTTCACGACTACATGAGGAAATTTTCCTCTCAAGGACAGTTAGTTTTATCTCAATTCTGTGATGAGACTTGCAAACTGCAAAACACAACTGTTCAAATTTGATTTATTTTTCACAGTAAGTACACTACCCCGACTGTAAAATCTTAAAAGGACTGAACTATCTATTGATGAAGAGTCAGTTTGGGTTTCTTTTTTTTCTGTGTGTGGCCCACGGGAAAAAAAAAATCAATTCTGCCACCAATCCTTTCCTCTCACTGTATTTAATTTGCTTGAGTATCTGTGATTGGCTGCTTTAAGTTCGAAGAGGCATGGGGACAAACAGCCTTCCCCTGATTGGCTGGGTGCATGAGGGGGCAGGTCCTGTATGTTCAGATAAAGAGAGTGCAGCTTGAGAGACATGCTCACATGCTTTACAACTGACACCAAAACAGTTTGGCTTAGAGAGAAAATACTGACAGAGAGAGAAGAAATAAAGAGCAGGATTTGGAAAAGAAAAAAGAAGAACAGCAGGATGTCTTTTGAAGTGACTCATAAGACGGAGGTGCGTCTGGTGTTTCTGGGAGCAGCTGGAGTTGGGAAGACAGCCCTCATTCAGCGCTTCCTTAAAGACACTTTTGAGCCAAAGCACCGGCGCACAGTGGAGGAGCTCCACAGGAAAGAGTTTGAGGTTGGAGGGGTCAAGGTCACCATCAACATCATGGACACAAGCGGCAGCTACTCCTTCCCCGCCATGCGTAAACTTTCCATCCAGAACAGCGACGCCTTTGCACTTGTCTACGCTGTGGACGACCCTGAGTCCCTGGAGGCGGTGAAGAGTCTGAGAGACGAGATCTTGGAAGTGAAAGAGGACAAGTACACGCCTATTGTCGTCATAGGCAACAAGATCGACCGCCACAATGAGCGTCTGGTGTCCAGTGAGGATGTCCTGTCCCAGGTGGAGCTCGACTGGAACAACAGCTTTCTAGAGTCATCGGCCAAAGACAACGTGAACGTGCTGGAAGCGTTCAGGGAGCTGCTGCAGCAGGCCAATCTACCAAGTTGGCTCAATCCAGCGCTGTGCCGGAGGCGGGAAACTTTCCCCAAAGACGGCAGCAAACGACCGATTATGAACAAGACCAACAGCTGCCTCATCTCGTAATGACGGGGACACCAACAGAGACAGACTCAGAGATGGTGTTGAACATGATCAAGCTGTAAACTCATGAGACTTCTAGCATTGGACACAAAAATGCTGAAGACAGACACAGAATGATGTAAACAGCTTGAGGGCAGAGAGAAGTGGAGAAAGAAGGAGGAGGAAAAAGTGAACACTTGTTACTGTGAATGTAAAAAAACAAAAAACAAAACCTGACCCTAAAGTATAAGCTTTATATATGTGAGCTCAGTTTGACTCATATTATACGTCGCTTTTTGTTTTGGTGTAAAAAATGTGCAATAACTGTGAAGTGGTGGTCATGTATACAACAGTCTGCTTACGTGACAAAGAAAAAAAAGCATTTTTAAAAAACATGAACAACTTGTTCTGCAACTCTTTGTAAACTTGTCATATAATATTGTGTTACTCTTGCTGGTGTGTTTATCTCTCTCTTTTGTGAAATTGATCTATTTTATGTGAGTTTACATGAAAATGAAAGTGTTTTTCCATTTCACATTTGAGCACATCTGCTTGTTTTTTTCCATTGCACAATATACATGTCTAAAGCCCTTTAGCCTCTGTATCTTGATGTGAATAAAAACATTGTTTCTACATCTTCAACCTGCTTCTATGACCTTTTTGTCTTATTCAGAGAAAAAACAATTTGTGCTGCTATGACATCTTTTAGTTTGACAGAAAAACAAAACTTGAGAAAACTTCTTTTAAAGTTTTGAATAATTGAGTTAAAATAGTTTGAGTTGTGTGCCTTTTGCTGATGACACCACTGTTTATTGTTCCGGGGATAACTTAAAAACACTGATGAATACAGTATTTAGAGAAACAGTGAAAGCAAAACAATGATTTGACTTAAAAAAAAAACAAAAAAAAAAACCCATCAAAATAAGTGAAACAAAAAAGTCAGAATTTGCACCATATTATCAACAGATGGCATGAACACCAAACAATGGAGGAAATTAAAGTTTATGGTGTGACGACTGACCAAAAGCTCTCTTGGAAATTTCACATAAGATAAATTTGGTCCAAAATGGCCAAAAAAAAACATAACTATGCTACACAAGTTTAGGACCACAACTTATAAAAACTATTATACCTTGATTTGTCCCAGTCATAGTTATTATGCAGAGTTATAGGGGGGAAACTCAAATGAATTTAAAGCCCCTGTGAGGAACTTTCATTTGCGCCAACTTTGGTGCTCCAAAATCAAATGTTTCATTTACTGTGAATATTTCATGAGTAGTTATTCTACCCCCTTGCACAGTCTTCTGGCATCTCAAACTACTGTGTGAAAATCATCAATTTTGGAGCTGTTGCTTTTCAATGACATGAAAAAGCATCAATATAAAGTTCAGTCTTTTTCATAAAATATAAGATAAACTCCTATCAGGAGCTTTAAAACCTCTGAAAACAGTAAAGAAAAGGGCAGTGAGGTTGTTACAGAAAACATCTCTAAAAGATCACACCGATAAATACTTTGCGAAATTACACTTAGCTTAGACTTCGGGGTCTGATAGATTAAAAATGTCTTTAACCTTGGTTAATTACCTGCTCATTTGCACTTTTTAATTTTTAATTTTATTTTAGAAAGATACATTTTTTTTGTTTTTTTTTAGAAAGATACTGTTAAAACAAATGAATGTTTCAATTTACGGAGTAAAATTATAAAAATTAGTTGAAGAAATATTTACATGGTTGTAAAAATGCTAAACAATGTAAATATCTGTACTTTGAGGAAATACTTATATTGAGTAAAACTGAGTGAGATAAAGCAAAGTTCATAAACTTCAGTCAGTGGCGTGATCTCTTTGTTCAGTGCTGTACTGCCCCCTGGTGGTGATGTTTCAGTAACTACACAGAAGCAGACGCAGTAACACTCATGTAGGTGAGTATGAGGTATCAGGGGATTTCTGAACTATATACATATATTTGTAAATAGAAATGCCAGTGTTTAAATGAGGTGTCAGTGTTAAGCAGATAAGATGAGTTTAAATAACACAAAGCTCATTAAAAAACACACGTGCTAACTGTTTTAATGTAGCCCTGATACCTATATTGTATATGTGCATTAAACATGTAAATGTCGCAGGTCTTTCGTGATTCAGATTAAGATTTAATTGCAAACTGTAAAAACATTTCAACTGTATTCAGTCCACCCAGTCTATGAAAAATACACTTTTCTGACATGTTGGAAATATCAAGACATATCTTCCCCAAAAGCTCTTTATAGACAATGTTACCAACCCTGTGTCTGTTCACAGGCCACATAGGCCCACACAGGGTGAGACAGAGGTACGCTTCCTCTTTTCAAAAACCTTCATAGAAGAGGTCAATTGTTCTCCCCTAAATATGAGGAGGAAGTGACCCGTGTTTATCAGACCTCTGGTTCCTCTTTGAGTTCTGTCAAAACTCACTGCTGCCTACAAACCTGTCTTTTTCGGGCACAGAGAGGAGGACCAACCGCTTCTGAAGCTCAGGTGTGAATTTAACTTTCCTTTTAGGTTGCTGAGAAACTAAACAGACTTAGAAACAGTCAAACACTCTGCTCTAAGACAAATGGAAGCCATGAGTGACATTTTGACAGCTGCAAATTTAACCCGGAATAACAAGATTTTTCTGAGTGTGTCTGTGCTCCTAGACTTGGTCAAAGCTCCTCAGTGTTGATTCCAGGCCTGAGAAGTTTTGAACAAGTAAAGGATCTCTGACAGTCACTGCAGTCATTTTGTATTTATGTAGTCTTTACCTGCAAAAATGTAAGCATGTTAAAATGCAATAAGAGTGCTTTAAAAATAGGATTAGCCTCAGGAAAACTTTTGAAAGCTGCTTATATGAAGAGGAAAAGAGAAAAATAACCAAACTTTGAGTTGTTGGATTTAACTTGCATTCTTTTAATAATGCAACAAAGTGCTGCTTTACCTGATTTATTATTAAAATATATGAAACAGATTGATATTAATGACTTCGTATGACATACAAAAGCAAGTAAGACCATCAGCAACGAGGCTGACAGTTCAAAATGTATGAAATCATTGTAAGGGGGTGGGTGTCAGCTGAGCAGCGGATGACACATTCCTGTATTACGATTTCAACATAAAATGCAGACAGTCAAGGTAACATTTGACAGTCAAAAGCCAGATTAGATTTTCTTGTCAAAAGAAACTACTACAATGAGTAAAGGTTGTTTTGCCCACAAGGGCCACCAATGTTGTCAGAAAAACTTTAAATCAAGCATTTATATCTAAAATCTGTTTGTTCATGTTGTTTTCTGATCCTCTGTTGTTTCATGTTTGTTCTGGGTCGTATATGTCTGTGTTTAGATAAGAACAGTATTTCCTAGTCTAATCAATATCCTGGGCCATAATGAGGTAGAAAGATTAGAGATATATTGAATTTAGTAATAAAAAAAAGTCAAAAAAAATTAATGAGAATAAAGTTGTAACATTATGAGAAAAAGTAGTGTAAAGGTAAATTTGTAGTCTTAAAAAAATAAGTCATCACTCTATAAGCAGTCAGAAGTTAAGGCCACGGCTGATGTATTTGTGGGCTTCAGTTGGACACAGGATAGTTTTTAGCAGAGGAGCAGTCTGCCACCTGGTCTCAATTGAGGAACAGATAATTTTATGAAGTTAAACTGAGAGTTGAGTTGTAGACAAACAGCAACTGCAGAGGTGAGCAGAGGCTGGCTGTTTGCTCACCTGACTTTATCAAAGGCTGAGATCGTCGTACAAAAGATTCAGAATCCTGACATTTATAACAGTGTGGGGCTGATGTGCTTCAAAAACTTTCTTTTTAAATTAAATATTTTATTCAAGTATAACCTCACACTTCCTCATTTTAGTCCAGGAGGCTGCCCCTCTGGTCTGTTCTGTCTAAACATTTCATCACTGTGATTTTTTCTTATAATTAATCCCGCTTTAGTCTCATGATACTGCAACTTTATTTTCTACCTACCTCATCCTGACTATATTTACGACTTTATTCTTCAATTTTAATCTTTTCTCTTCCATGAAGTTACTATAAAGAGTTTTTTTATGCTTCTGAAATAGACTGAAATCTATATTGATGCTCTTTGAGTCATCCAAAAGCAAACAAGACCATCAGGGGCAAGACTGATAATCTAGAAAAAGACCTTCTCTTACAATCGCTGCATAAAATATTAATGATAAATGACATATTTGGCTGTCAAAAGTCAATAGAAGGCATGAATGTCATGCTCATATCAGATGGAAATACAATACTTCCATATGCATTGGCAAGCATAAGCTGCCACTGCATGCGTATTTTTGATGCGTCAGATTTTTGGCTGACATTCAGACTGGCAGTGAAGTTCATACTTGCAGATACTAACACTACAATAATAATTTTATGCAGTGATGTCTGGTTAGGATGCACTAAAGTAAAATATATATATAAAATACAAGCTAAATGCAAACAAAATTTGCGAGAATACACACTGATGATAAGAAAGGTAGAAAGTTAAATTATCTAAGCCACTGTCAAAGAGAAAAAGCACAAAAAGAGGCAATGGTTTTATTTTCATACACATTGACAAAGAGCAAGACAGAAGGATCTATGAGTTTAAACGGCACATCCTCAACAGAGACACTAGGCAGGGGGAACTGTAAATACAGAGACCACATCAGGAAATACACTAAAAGGGAAGAGGGGGGGAGAATATGAGCCAGCACAGCGACGGCATTTGATACACATAACCTTTAAATGTGTGCCGACACAAGGGCAGCACGCCATCAGAAAAACATTTCGAAGAAAACTAGACGTTTAAAAAGAAAAGGACTGCTCATGTATGGAAGACATTCTCAACTCATTTCACTAAAACCTTCATCAGAAAAAAAAACAAGAAAGCAAATAAGTGTGCATTGGCTTTTTCGAGAGTAAATATCCCTGAGCAAAAGGCTCAATCAGCATAGAAGTAAACTTCCCCCCCCGAGCAACACTTGGACGTTTACTCAGAGAGCGAAAACAAGGTGCACAAGTTCAAAAAAGGAGAGCCACTGACAACTATCAAGACCTTTCAGGATGTTTTGCATGCTTCTTCTTGCTAAGTTGCTTTTAAACCGCACATATACTGAATCACCTCCGGTCTGTTTTAGTTTTAGGACTTGCACGTCTTTCTTCAAGGCATCCACCAGTTCAGAAAACAAGCAAACATCAGCTGCTTGCCATATTAACTTTTGCCAAAGCTGTCAGTATAACACATGGATCGCAAAAGTGCACTCATATGGTGCATTCGGGTGCTAAATCTACCTCTCGGGTTTGGTTGTAACAGTGAAGTTAGAACTCAAAGTCAGAGAGGAAACATTGAGAGCAGACTGAGAACTTTGCGACTAGTTTAGTGTTTTATCATGTTTTCACCAACTCATGAAGACAGCAGGTTAAAAGGTTATTTCACACAGTAGTAAAACAAAAAGGGGGTTCAGTCAGCAGATCAGTGCTTCCCACACACAGGTGGTACCTGGGCAGAAACCCCACATATATTTCCCTGCAGTGGCTAACACTGTGGGACACAGGCTGTACGATGTTAGACATATGACCTGAAACATGTCATACTGCCGCCAGAGTCTTATTTTCTATAAATTGGTGTTTTGCACTACATCACAACCTGCTTTAACTTTATCGGTTGGTGGTCTTTACAATCACCTCCAGAGGAACTTTCTTATGTGACTGTAGCTAACGTCTGGGAATGAGTCAAACAGAGTCAGATCCATTCAGCAATGCCAGGCTGCCATCGCAGAAAGCTGGCAAAGAGAGATTTCTGGACTTGTTTTGGTGCCTTTTTGTTTCAGTACTTGTTCATGTTAAGGTGGATTACCAGTGAGGTTTCCACAGTATTTACACACCTGTGGCACATGTACAGCGTGGTTTAATGAGCTTCGGTGTCCGATGTTTAACATGAGACACCACAGCTCATTATAACTGTTTAGATAGACACTAGCCTAATTGTAGAAATAATAGCTAACCCAGCTACTACTCTGGTAGGAGTTGACTGATATTGATTTTTCTCTAGTTCATAAGACCAATAACCATATTTTAGAATCAATATGCATTTTACAGTAAAACTGAATACTTCTCCTGTAAACGCCGTCACCAAGGTAATACTTATGTGACGAATGACCAATCAGACAATGTAACAGGAGGAGTACACACTTTTTTGACCAGTTAATTTGATCCCAAATGCTGATATAGTAACCTGTACCAGCCCCCCGACTGAAAGAGAGATGAGTTTTATTGTTTGTTAAAGACCCACCCTGTCCTCTACCACAGGTACAGCTCCATTCTGTGGGAAACACTGGTGTTAAGGGTTTGAAGGTATTTGGCTGGATAATGAGTTGGTTCCTAATTTCTGATCACACACACAGCAGCATCTTTCTGCTCTCAAAATAAACCGTACCATTGTGGTCAGTGTAGTGCTGAGGAGATAAAGTGTATTCAAGGTCCAGCTCTTCAAAAAAAAAAAAACAGAAATTAATGTGCACTTTGACGTTGAATTTTCACCGTTAGCCTGTTCTGCTAAAGGTATACTATAATGTTATTTTTTCATTTGTTATGTTATGATCTAAAAGAATATTTATGATTATTAAGACTTGGAGTGATTTTTTTTGTTTGTTTAAAACCAAGTTTACAAGTGCTCTGAGTACAACAAATCAATTACATGAAACTCTCCATTCTACAGTGGTTTCAGCAGGAATCTCTGAGGCGGTTATATTTAAGAAAAAAAAAACTAACTAAGAGTTAAACTGACACTACCATCTTGACTAGATATTTTTGCATTGATTTAGTTCAACTTACCAGCTAAAATCAACAATAAGAAACAAAGATTGAAACTTTTTGGGTCATGCCAACATTCCAAAGCAGGAGTTTTTCCAGTCTTTGTACGTGTTTGGGATCAACGAATCCCATTAAATACAAAGAAATCACAGGGAGTGTGATGGGAATACACTCTTCTATCTTGAGATATTTTAAGAGTCCAGGTTCAGTTCTTGGGTATGAGGTTCCGCAGAGTCAGACAAAACAAGAGTTTCAAAAACAGAAGCAAAACAAGGGAAGGCTTCAGAATGTGGCTGAATGCACCAGAGCTCAACGTTTTCTCAGGGAGAGAAGGCAACATCTTTCAAACTCTACTAGATAAATAACTTTGGGTGACTCTTTAAATGACTGAAGATCACGTGGAACATGACGTTAGCATGTTTTTACAGCACAGGGTTTAAGTGTGTCCTCAGCTGCTTTCATACCCACCCCTTCAGACCTCTAATCGTCTGTGGTGATGTTGCGGAACAAGTACGCCATGGACTCCCCGTTGTGGATGCGGCGGATGGCCTCGGCTAAAATCATGCTGACGTCCACAGTCTTGATTTTGGGACATTGGAGCTTCTGGACTTCATGGGGGACTGTGTTGGTCACCACCACCTAAAAGTAGATTATCAGACATTATCATCTCACCAATGTAAATCTACAAATTTGAGACAGTTTGAAAACAAAGCAGGACTTCAAAATGTGAAACAGCTTACAACAATGACGATGAAGACACAGTATAAAATAAACCCGAATGTGAGACTTTAACTGTCTGTACCTGACGAAACTTTTAGGAACTGAAAATTGAAACCAGAAGTTTACAGAAACACAATGAAATTCTACTCGCACCTTATTTCCTACTTTTAGAAATTCAACTGAAAAACCGACCACAAGAGGAAGTTCTGCCTCGTGGTTTCGTGCTCGCCAAGAACAAATACAAGCTCACATGAAGCTTCTGTTGTGATATTTGATTAAAAATGACCACCTTTAATTATTCATCTCAAGGGTGAGCAAAATACGAAAGATTTAAATCAATAAATCAACGTTTTCTTACTTCATCGATGGCAGATTCCTCTATGAGGCGAGGAGCATCAGCAGACAGCAAGCCATGTGTCGCCATGATGTAAATTTTATAAGCGCCTCTCTCTTTCAGGATCTCTGCAGCTGCAACAAAGTCTCCAACGTCATCGATAATGTCATCCTGTCAGAGAAAGTCCAAAAAAAAAAAAAAAACATGGGAATCCAAAACTCAACACAGTGTAGTGATTTCTTGGGGTTTAACTTTTACTGCATACATACAGTGAAGTGTTGTCAAAATCAAGTTTATATTAAATTAGAAGAGGTGGTTGTACAGATAAATCACAACTTTACACACTTCATCAGAAATGACTGATAACTTCTCAGTAAGTCAGTAGTAATCACTGGTAAATTTTATTGCGTGGGGTATCACTCCAAACAAAATATCATCCTGCAGACTTTGAACAGTGTAATGTGGTGTTTATTAGTGTAATGTAGTGTATACAGGGCTGTTTCTTCAGCTGCTCTGATATCTACCCCCCCTCACACCAGCTTTAGGCTTAAAACATTGCAACATATAAATCTTGTCGTTGATGGTCTTACTTGGTTTTGTACACCATCAAAAGGCATCAATATGAATTTAAGTCAATTTCATAAATGTCAAAAAACTCCTCACAGCAGCTTTTAAGCTCCACATAACATAAAGTGTAACTGCATTAAGAGATTTCACTCAAAGTACATCACATGTTCTGTCTACTGCAAAAAAAAAAAAGGGAAAATTATTTACCCGTGTTATTGGGGAATAGGCTCTATCAATGTGCAAATTTAAGCATCTCTTCACAATCAGTTACATTATCGCAGAATAAAACAAAGATATTAATCGTTTAAAATGAAAACAAGAAAAACAAACGCCTGAAACTTTTGAATGAGCTTTGGGCCTCAGGTGTCCGTTTATGTAGGTATGTTTGTGTTCATTTCGATTATTCTAGGTTTTTAAGGTGTGTTTCTCAGCTCCATACAGGGGTCCTACGCAAGTATGGAAAAGTATGCAAGTAATTTGATCAATTCCAGGTCTTAAAAAAGTATGGTAAATGAAAAATAAAGTATGGAAAAATATTTATGTTAACAGACTATATTACCACAGCTGTAAAATACTGTTTTCTAAAATCAAAAAGTAGGTTTTTCCCAAAAATAATAGAGTATGGAAATTCAAACTGTGTGGGAACCCTGTCCATATGGTGCTCTTGGTTTCTTAAAGTGTTTCCTGGCTTCTTTTGTTGTTTGTGTGAATTTTTCATGTGTGTCTTTTTCACTGTTGGGGTTTTATCGCTCTCTGTGATTTAATTTAAGCAAGTTTTTAACACATTTTGGTCTTTTAAATGGAAGAACTTTATTGAACCCTGAAGGGAAATTGAGTTGTCTACACAAATAAAGTTTTTATCATTTTATCATCATCATTTATGAACAATTATTTGTTTATTCCTTTATTTAAAGAGAAAATTCCATTTAAATTGTCATATAACTGTGATGATTTTTCAACATTTGAAGAGAAGCACAAGGAAAAAAAAGTGTATTTACAGCATCTTACCACAATGATAGCAATCCTGCCTCCCACGTCTCCAACTACAGTGATGGGAGGCTTCTCCTTTGCCATCATCACTGTAAAGAAAAGCATAAACGGTGACCTGTGGGTGCACTATAATGAGGCTGTGTGAACTTCATTTCACCTGATTAGAAACAGTAGATTGGGTAAAATGGGTTGAGAAAATGTTCTGCAATTTAGGCAAATCTGCAGATCAAATTACAGAGTTGTTACTGAATAGTGAAGGTGATTTTCAGGAGTTCTGTTAGAGTATAACTGTGCAGTTTTCGGCTCAAAAATTGGGAATCAGAAGTTAATTTTTTTTCCCCCCATTGTACCCCACCTACCCCTAAGAGATTAAACTCAAATGCCAAACTTGGTAGAGCACATGCCATGCAAAAAAATCAAACCACAGGGTGTTTTCTGCCCAGGATACCCAATCAGGATTAAAAACTGCTGGGACACACACGGCCTCAGGCCCTCAGGCAACGTGGCAGCAGTCTGCAATATGCATCAGAACCAGATCGGATTTCACACAACAGGGACGACAGTGGCCGACAAGCACTGATGAGGGTTTTCTTCACACACACTTGCCAATGTTCTGGGGTCAGTCGTCAGTCGAACATCACTGCTGCCAAGAACTACGTTTACATGCACACAATTATCTGGTTTACAACAGCTGTTTTTTCCCCACCAGGACCCAAAAAACAAAAATAGTCTCATTTATTCTTTTTTTTTTTTTTTTTAAATCACATTAATAACTAAATTGATAATAACCGCTGTAGCTGATTAGAAGCTTGGAGACATGGTGGAAGCAGGTACAGATCTTTTGCTGAGTGTGCACCACTAGAGTCTGTCACATACTTTATGAACAATACACTTGAATACGTTTACGTCAACACTTTATTGGTCAAGCAATGAATTGTTGGGATTTAGTAGTAGTTGACTATCACTCTCCCTCGCCAATGTTGCTTTAGGTAATAGACAGACACGGTCAGAGATTTAATGAACAATGTGACTGATAACTTAATAGACAGTATGATGGAATACATGGCCAACGATGTAGCAGACAATGCAGCTGACGACATAGAGGATGATGTAGCGGACAAAAAAAAACAGATGACAGCAGACAAAATAGATGAGCGCGTAGCTGACGATGTGGCGGACAATGTAAAAACTTATTGTCTCGGAAGATATTGGCCAAACAAGGCTGACATAACTGGCATCATGGCTGACAGGTAGGCATACTTTAGCCTCCTGTAGCAAAGACGCTAAAGGCTAAACTCTACCAGTTTGCATATATCGTTCCACAGGCAACCACCACTTCACAAACTCAGCTTAAGTAACCAAGACGTGACTTTACCAAGACTGTGCTGGGCGATAAACCAAAAATTTGCTGATATCAAAATTTGCGACAAGGACTCACATCATTTTGCCCTTATCGATATATTCGGTGTCAAATAAATAGACAGATAAAAGTTGGTTTTGGATGTGTGTAGGTAGGCTATGGTCTCATGTCCCTTTAAGATGCTGTCCTATGTCAGAGACGTGACTCCACCCCATCCAGTCCATAACTACGAGGGAAAGACAGGTGAGGAGAAGGAGGACAGTTCAAAAGTTGTAGTGGCTGGAGTAGACGAAGTTACTGTGGGAGGGGGTGAGCAGCTTGTGGAGTAGTTATTGTCCATTTATCGTTATCGAGGTGAACTGCTCAATATATCGTGATATCGATTTGAGGAAATATCGCCCAGCCCTACTGTGCATGTTATTCAACAATGAATAAAATAACCAACTACTCAACAAACAACATAACAGAGAACGAAAGAGTTGGTGTCAGGACAACTTGACGAAGAATGTTGGGAGATTATGAGGGCTTCCACCTCTTCAAAAGTCCTTATACATCAACCCTTTTTTTTAACTATTTATCAGGTAAGTCTTTTCAAAATAAAAGCGTGTTCGTTTTTAAAATTGGTCTAATTCATTTAAGCCTATTACAGAAATGGAGAACATCGTGGCATCTTTACTTACACACTGCACCCACATTGGCATAAATCTGTTGCCCCAGTACTACTACTATCCTCAATGATACTATTATGTACTACAACTACAATTATAGAACTTGTACCATGAACCACACATCTAGGATTGAATTGTGCAAGTATCCTTCACTGTGGGTTAAAGTATTTCAGAAAGACAATCCTGTGGACTGTATTTCAATGTTTGTTTGTTTTTTTAGGTTTATTAATTCAACTAAAAGTACAGCTGCATTGCCAGTATTGCTGTGCATGTAAACGTAGTCGTTCAAAGGGGTATAAAGAAACAATCAACTGGTAAAACAATCAGCCAGCCAAGCCGATTGTGGAGTAAACGTCGAAAGAAGCAAAGAAGAGGAGGAGCATGCCTTGCAGAACACTTTACTGAATACCGTGAGTTCCACGGCATCAGCACACCCTGGGAGAGTCACATTCAGACTTTTATGACTAGTGACCAAAAGACAGCAGAAAGCCATGTTGTTAGCTGTAAACATTCGGACAAAGACTGTGTGTTTTTTTTTTTTTTGTTTTTTTTTAAACTTGGAAGCTACCTGAGAAATGTTTGGTCAGATATCCGGAAGTCTACTAAGACTGAAATTATCACAATCATCTGGTTTGATTGAGCAACTTTAAAAGATTTTGTCAGCAAAATCATACAACAGTTTTACATTTACAACCCCACCTCTAGAAGAGTTTGAATGCTACGGAAAATGTTGACAAAAATAAAATCCGACAGTTTGAAGCTTGCGTTTGATTGAAAATAGAGCAAAGACAACAAATTAAATGTTAAAACTGAAAAAGGCGTCATCTGTATTTCGGAACATGTAGCTCCAAAACTGTCCATGACTCCAAAAAAGAAATTTTGACTTGGACTACTGAAGCTACTTCTGGATCATGTTAATAGACAGTTTCCTCCTAACTCCAGATTCTCTTAATCCTTTATTGATATCATGTAGTGTAAATGATAGAAGCTCAATTGCAATTAGGCCTAAAAGAACTGTATCCTAATGACTAGTTGCTCACGCAGTCTCTCACAGGGTGCTGAGCTATTTCCACCTTTACTTCTGGGAGACTTCGCCTCTCTAGAGCTGCCTTTTTGTGCAGTCATGTGACGAACCTGTTGCAAAACCCAGTTAGATTCCTCCAATTGCACAATATTTTAATTTTTTTTTTCCTCTGTTGCTGACTTTGACTTTAAAACAGGCATATATTTTTCATCCAATAATAAAAGCTTTTAGTTTCAGCATTTGGTATTTTGTCTCTCTTTCAGTCAGTTTAATTGGTTTCAAACCACCAAAGTCTGTTTTTATCAATATTCAACACAGCATGCCAACTTCTTTAGATTTGGGATTGTATTTCTCTTATTTTGCATGACACTAAAAATGTTCAGAATCACTGAAGAGAAGGAAACTACTCCTTTGATTTAGCGTTGCTTAGGTAAGATGCAGAAATGTACCAATCATACTGTTCATAGTGTTTCGTCTTTCATTTCACGTGCATGCTTTTTAATCTCATCACATGCAGTTATGACCAAAAGTTAATCAGGTTTTGAATAGCAGGTTTAATATGGGTGCACCATGTGTTGATTGGCAAGATGAGTCCAGATACTGAACTGAAAAAATGTTTGGCATGGTTCTGGTTTGATTTATGGAGTTCAAATAAAATCAGAACACGACAGAACAAAGAGCGGTTTGGACATCTTGTAGAAGTACCCGTCTGGAATCTTCGGAAAGGTGCAGAAAACACAAGAGCTGCCTTTTTTTAATTTAACCTAACTGCATTAAATACTGAAAAAAAGAGCAAACTGGCTTCAAAAAACCAATGCAATTTATCTGAAAACTAGCAGTGCAGTTTGTGAGTTTTTCACCAGCTTCTTCTCCTGAATCCAGACGGAATTTTTCACAAGATGCGACACAAACCTGTTTTTTTTTTTTTTTGTAGTTTTTTTTTTTCCACATGCACGGATTGAGGAGCCATTTGAAAAAAAAAAAAAAAAGGAATCATTTGATAGTCAGGTGTGTGTTATTGTTTACGGTCGTACTTGGGAGCTCTATGCCAGGGAACGGAGCTTGTTGTTTGCCTGCTATTACCAACAAATAAACACCACGTTAACACAAATGCACAAATATTTGACATGACAAAAAACACATGATGCCGAGACTTGGAAAATCCCCTTGGAAAAGGTTGACGTAAAGAGTGTGAAACACATGACTCATTACTTAAAGATGACAATAATGTCTTCTTACTTTTTAGAGCAATTTAAGCGTTCTCTTTGAGGAGGATTTTTTAAGTCAAGGGTGAGACTAGAAACACAAGTCAGAATAGAAAAGCATTTACTAAATAATAAAGTGTATACTGGACGCAGATACTTTGGAGTCATTTGCCAATGACACAATCCTTTTCTTTTTTTTTCCTCTCATTTAAATCTTCTTACCAGAATTAACACTGAAAATATGCCAGAGTCACATTCAAATGTATCAGCAAACAAATATTTAAAACGGAGTGGTGTGAGATTTTAAGCACGCCACTCTTTGTAAGTGAGGAGTTGCAGCTGGTGGAGGATGCAGGTACAGTTGGAGTATCTGTTAAATCAAAGCATGCAGTAACACAAGAATCCACTTCTCAGAGGATGGTTGATGGCATGAGTGAGAAACAGCAGAATCCTCCAATCCAAACAGGTTAGCACGAAGAAGAGCTGTGTTAGGCTGTGGGCAGGATTTACACTCTGAATGCAGTGAAGTGGTTAAAACTAGCAGAAATGATAAAAACGGATAGTTTTGCTTATTTTGACCGTGATGTGACACATAAAAAGCAACAGAGATATGTTTCAGACAGGGTAACATCTGCTTATCTGAAAAGGAAATAGTGGGTAGTGAGTTGTATTCTTTCTTACAAGGCAGCTCCAGGCCCGTGTGTCCCGTGGCGTTGCGTACACATGGAGGGGAGTGTCTGCCGTCAGCCATGTCGGACTCTGAACACTGAGCCTCGCCATGAATCACAGCCAGACCCAGACGGAGGCGCTCTGCATATGACTGAGCCCTTGATGAGAGTGAGAAAATGAGACAGCATGTCAAATAGTGTCCTGATGACTTACTGAGTGAACATACAAGTCTTTGTAAAAATTTACTGTTTATATATTTTAGGCAACTTTAAAGCTCCTGTGAGGGGTTTTTAGACAATAATGAAACAGACTTCTATTCATATTCACTGTTACCTGAATGTAACAGAAACCATCATTCTTCTTGTCGATGCTCTGGTTCATTTTTCTGAGTTATAAAAACACTTGAGTGCTCGTTTCAGGTTGTTTCATAACCAGTTAAAACATCTCACAGGAGCTTTAAAGCGCTCAAGAGTGAATGTGGTGTTAATCAACCAAAATCTCCTCCTGTTGTTTATTCATAGTGAAATCTCCTCTCACTGTTAATAAATGTTACATATTGAGGGCTATAATATCTGAATATAGGACATGCATGCGAGGCTAATGGCACTTAGTTATTTAACTACTTCTTTCCATCTTCTTTAGGTTCAGCAGTGGCTTGTTTTAAAATGTACCAAAAGCCCCCTTAATTGCATGATGCACTGTTAACTGCCTAGTATATGAAAAATTTATTGTAGGATTCAACTAAAGCTCCAGTGAGGAACTAACTGTGTTAACCCATTTAAACCGGGACAGCATGTACGCATTTCTACCCTTCAAGCTGGGAGAAGCGTGTATGCAATTCAACCTTCCAAGCCGGAAGCGGATACGTCATTGTGTAACATTCTGTGGTTTTTTAATCATTTAAAATCATCATACCCGTCTGCCTCTGATAGGCGAATAAAGCTTAATAAAGCCGTCAGATTCATGCTCGGATCTTGCTTCATGAGGAAAGTAAATAATGACGGCGGCAGAGAGCAGCTTCGGAGGAGAAGCATCCAGCAGTGTGAACAACCTCTTCATATTGAGTGCTTTAGCTCACACCAGTGTTGCATGGCTTTGGGTATTTATTTTTTTTTTTTTAGTTTGTAGTGGTGCTTTTGTACTGGCACTATACTGGGGCAGCTGCATACCCTTTCGACACCTTATTTTTTTATATTAACATTTGTATTGAATGGACACTTTATCATGACTGCCACGTGTTTTGCAGAAAGCAAACTGTTTTCCAGTGCAGAGCCTTTACTTCTATGTATACAGCCGCTTTACTTAATTTGAGAGTTTGTTCAAGGTTTTCAATAATGTGATGAAGGTTCGGAAAAATAAAAAATAGTAATCTTGAAAGCCACACGTGTACGCTTTTTTGTAAACCTCATCACTTGAGAAAACCTCAGGATCTGGGGGCCCTTCTCAAAATTGCCCTCAGGATTTCAGAGGTGTGTCTCAGACAGGGTTCAGGTCTTAGTGGGTTAAAGGGCAAAGCTGTACCTTTCATCTCTTTGCTTGTGTTGTTGTGTATGTCTCCTCTACCACTAATCTTTGTCAAAAACAAACTGCTTTAACAGTATGTTGTTCAAGATCTGACGCCTACCCCTGATAGCAGTTTTTAAATGTTTCACAATCAGCGAAAAAAAATTCTTCACAGGAGTGTTCAGGAATCAGACAGAACTGGATCCACAGGTCACTTACAGCTATGCAAATACACTAAGAGCTAAGATGCACATTAATAATGCAAGTATCATCAACCCGAAAAGGAATAATACGGATTCTTTTTATCAGTTACCTTTTAGCTGCTGACGGGGACTTTGCCACGATGATGGCGTTTCTGTAATCGGGAATCTGACAGGAAAAAGAAACACAGACGTTGAAACAAAAGACACTCTGGTACCTCGTTTTGTTTTTTTTCCCTCCATTTTTCTCGTGGTGGGCAGTTTTAACATTTTGAAGTTAAACACTCTGATTAGTAGCTAACTATACATCAGGTACTAGTGAAAACAGTCCTCCTCATTCAAACCTTTTTTTCTCACTTGTAAATTTGTGTTTTTCCCATCCTCCTATCCTCTTATTCAGAATGAAGAGTCTGGGTGTCTTCAAAAGAATCTATCCAAGAAAAAAACCTGAGGAACTGAGGTCTTACTTTAATTACAAATAATTAATTACTCCACTTATTAAAGTTGTTTCTTTAAAAATCATTATTTAGTTATGTCTCAAAACAACTGGATTGTAAGTATATGAAATGGTAGTGATATCCACAATGTTTAATCTGGATAGGGAGAAAGATGTTTTGAATCTCTAAATTAGAAATGAATGAAAAAGTGATTAATTTTATAAGTAAGAATAAGGTTGTGGATATATAGAAATTAGATCTAAGTATCGCCTACAACCAACAGCCCTCCATTTATATTGTGTAAAAAAGATACTGTTTATGTTTCTGCTGGAAAAACATGAAGGACTGTAACTTTACCTACCACTCACTCTCAAATAGCACGCTACTCTTGCTTTCCAGAGGACTACAAAACTGTGTTATTGCATTAGTCCACTGACTTTAACACTCAATAACTCAACAAGCATACAGACTTCCACACAGAAGATAGAGGAGGAAAATGATCACCTCTTCCTGGATGTACTGAATCAAGAAAGGAGAGGCACGTAAGTTGTCCACAGGGAAGCTAAAGAAGCCCTGGATCTCCTTCTGATGCAAGTCCATGGTGATGATGTGTGTTAACCCTGCGGGTTTATAAGACAGATGAGTGGTGTTAAGTCTGAGAACACATCACACCGCCTAGCTTCTTCATTTTCAAATTAAGAGGTTAAAACTGCATTTGTTTGTCTTACCTGCTTTAGCTAGCATTGAAGCTAACAACTTGCACACTATGGATCCCCTCTTCCTCATCTTGCACTGTTTGCTGTAGGGGAAGTAGGGAATGACTCCGATGATGTTCTTTGCGCAGGACGTTTTCAGAGCGTAGGCCATGACCAGCAGCTCCATGATGGCTGTGTTCACATCTCTGGTTGAAGGAAAATGAAAAAGGACATGTTATCATCACATGTGCTGAATAATAAGCGTACGAGACACAATAAATGATGTGCCTCTCTGTACTGTACTCACCGCGGTATGGTCTGGATGATGAAGATAGTTTGTCCACGGACTGATTCTTTAACGTCCACTCTTGTTTCTGCTCAAGAGGGAAATGTAAAAACATGTTTACTTATTTGCATGTCTTTGCCTTGTGTATTCTTTACACTGTACACCGTCAAGTCCACACATCATTACATATTGACATTGATAAAAACGGCATCAATATTAACCGAACAGTACAGTCATGGGCAGTATTTATAAAGTTAAAAGAGCTAAAAAAAAAGTTATAACCACTTTGTTTGAGAGAATTCTTTTGAGAGAACATTTCAAGAAATGAACTTAAAATAATCATATTACTCCGACTTTTCACTGGTAACATGGCTAACATAATTAAAATGTAAGAAACACAGCTGACTTCAAGTGCCTTGTTCCAGAAATAGCAGGACAAATGCCCAATTTTTTTGTTAAGAATGGGCCTGTATTAAATTATTAAAAACTAGTGATGTGCAATTAAGTTTTCAGTAAAATTATACACCAAAGCGTGCAAATCAACTGTGATATAGAGTTCCTGTCTCGGTGCAGTTGTGCATTCTTCACATTTCACCTGTTTGTAATACTTCAACAGAAAAAAAGAGCACTCTGTCATCCAGCATACCTTCTCTCTCATCTCTCCTTAATAAACCTTGCAAGTATTTTGTGTGTGTGTGTGTGTGTGTGTGTGTGTGTGGTGTGTGTGGCTGGGGGTAATCGAGCACAGTAATCATTCCCCGGTGTGCCCTTATGTATGGAAAACACACCGCCCAAATGCCCTTGGAAAAATGCTCTTGCAGTTCCCCTTTAATGGATAAAATGTGAAGGAGGGCCCTCTGTAAGCCCTTTGAGAGTATTAAATGTGACAAAACGGTTAGTTTTAAAATGCCCGTGTCAAAACTGTTTAGTTTAGTTAATGTAATGTTGCAGACCGCTTGCTTCTCTAGTTATACCAACTTTAGTAACGACCGCGAGATAACAATACACAGCGGTCTGAGGAGCCATAAACAAACCTCAACCAAAACGCAACTCTATAGCCACAAATAATGCTCAGAACAGCACCTAACTTCATCAACAGTACATATAGGGTCCCAGCCATAGTACTAGCCACCAAACATCTTTTTAGCTTTGCCTAATTTCTTTAGACTTCTTAGATAAACACAACTCACCTACTCTCTTCCTGCAGCCGGTTGTTTGTACAGAGACCTCAGGCCTGTCCATTACGGACTGCAGTGGGGTGACGCAGCTCAAGGAAGAACATTTGTGATCATTTTCTCATGGAAATGCAATCAGACCAAGACGCTAAGGCAGAAGAACTACTGCGTCTGCAGTGCAAAACGATTAATATGATGATTATTGCTTCAAGTACATGATAAAGAAATTATCACAAATATACTTCCTTGAGCTGCGTCTACCCTCTGCAGTCTGTAATGGACTGTCCTGAGGTCTCACAGAGTGGGTGAGTTGTGTTTCGTCTCTTTGTGAAAGAAATTAGGCAAAGTTAAAAAGATGTTTGGTGGCTAGGACCCTATATGTACTGTTGGCTACTGTGGCTATAGAGTGGCGTTTTGGTTGAGGTTTGTTTATGGCTCCTCAGACCGCTGTGTAGTGCTATCTTGCGGTCAATGCTAAAGTTAGTATAACTAGAGAAGCAAGCGGTCGGCAACATTCATCTCTCAACGGGGTGTCTAACTCGGTGTTATTGTGTGTTTGACCCTGAAGTAATTTTACACCAGAATATCCCTTTAAGGCCATTTTTTAAATATATTTACCATTGTTTCGTCATATCTCAATGACAAAGAAATTATGATGAATTCTGCTCCTTTTAAAAGTACCAAAAATACAGTTAAGCTGAGTGGAAATCTGCCAGTGATGGGTTTTACTTCTTATATTTTTTTCTGTTGATTCATAACCCCATCCTTACCTCTGTTCGATTCCTGGAAGACCACAGACTTCCCCAGTTCAACCCCCAGCCTCCTGTGAAACAAAGAGCACAAAATTAATAGCTGGGAGTTTAAGTGGGATACATATGACACATTTTACACAGTTATTGATTTATTTATAGATCCACCTTTCAAAAATAAAGGCTTTTACACTGCAAAATTACAAAACTAGACAATATTTTTGATGGTAAAAACGTCCTAATAGACTCAAAACTATTATCCATCGCTGGGTATACGGGTCTAAGAAGACATTATTACTAATAAAAGCACAAAATCTTGTACTAAATTTGCAGTGAACCTCTGAAATCTAAAGTTACTTGTGATAATAGTAAAATTACAGGTGTTACACAAAAACAAGTACCATATGTTATCTGCTTCTCTCTTTATTATGTCTAAAAGCTGCTTGTTATTGAGACTCTATCAGGGTTTGACAACATCAGCCGAATGACATTCAAAAGCAAAGTACTCAGATGTTTGGTCCTCTGAATGAGAACATGGTTTTTCTTTCACTTAGTACAAATTTCTACCTGCCAGCTAGCAGTCATAAAACTGAGAGACTAAGCAAACATTGTACTCACTCTGTTATCTTCTTGGCCAATTCTGTGCAAGCTGCGGAGGAGTTTGCGGAAAAAACGCGGTAACCACTCTTGGCTACATTCATCCTGGCACTGCTGCAGGTTTATTTTCGACTCAGGAGATAGGAGCGGCACCTTTTACCTGATCTACACCGAGTTTCTGACCGGCTCTCTCCGCCTTGACGTAGTCCTCGATTCACCAGCTAGCTACCGGACTAGCCTGCTAGGTTAGCTAGTTACGCGATAAATATATCTCCACAGTGCCGTGTAAAGGCTTTTAAATCATATCTGCTTGGTGAAGATTAATATTATGTATCTGCTCCGCTCTATTTCTGGTTTCCTCCTCAGACAAACAGCAGACACCTGCCCGTTAGAAAGCACTGCAGTAAGTCAACTGTTCACGGCTGGCTTTCTTCGTCTTTTGTGTTTCTCGTTGGTTGTCACACCATTTTAAAAAATCATTACCGCCACCTACTGGAGACCAGAAGGGGCAACTACACCAGGCGGTTAAAAATCCTCCCAGCTGAAAAAGCAAGTGGGAAAGGCTGGACCACCAGGCTACCCACGTCTCATAAGCAGGGGCAGATTCACAGGGTGGCCAGAGGTGACCATGATCCCTCTGAAAATAGACTGGTCACACCAAATCCTAATATTGATAAGACATTGCCTTTTGATGCATTTCAATTCTACTAAAGGATTATTTCACCATTTTTAAAGTGAGCTGGGCTGCAATGGATGCAAGTCAGCTTGGCTCCTTTATTGAGAAACAGCTAGGAGAAACAGGAAGTGAGGTATGCTACGTCTTCAGCAGAAGGAGTTGACTCTGCCATGTAATTTAGCTAATATTTAGAGACTCCAACCTCGACCTCGAACATTTCTAACTCTTCACCATCAGGGTGCTTGTTTGTTTTTGCACTATTTGCATACTATTTGCATTCAAACAGATTTCTAGAGTTTCTCCATCTTGATGCAGCACACTTCCTTTTGTTAGTGCTTTATATTGTTGAAAATACTTAAAAGATCTATTTTATCAACAGTTTTTTATCTCCTCTCTGTTTTAAAAGGGATACAATTTGCATGGCCTCGTGCACGCCCATGTAAATAATCATACCCAGAAATGTAACATTTATGTGGACAGAAACACATCAAGACATGTGGACAGGGGTGGCATGGCCCCCCTCAGAAATGTATCTCAATTGTGAACCCAAAATCCTAAACTGAGATCAGCTACTTACCTACTTATTTTGACTGTGTTGGGGCATACTGCTTGTAGATTTATTTGCCTTTAAATGTTATTTGCTTTTGGTGGTACTTTGGTTAATTGTAGAATAATACCCGATTCCCTGCTTTTCTGACAAAAGTCAGTGATGGCCCGAGTCTCAGATGGTTCTTAAAGTCATCGTGCCAGATTTTTCTCCTCTCTTATCTGCATGGAAGATGATTGGAACTGCTTTGACTTGAAACTTTAAATATTAAACATGTTCAATTTGTAGGATCACAATAAACCGATAGTCAACTTGGAAGTGAACTGACTGAATGATAGTTAAAGCAAAGACTAAATTTGGATAGATGTCATAAAAACAGCAACCACTAGTGAGTAAATGGCGGCTACAAAAGAGTTTACACAACTTGTTCAAGGAAACCCACCCCAACAAAACGGTAAAGGAGGCACTAAAATTAACTAATCTCTTCACTAGAAGTACCGGGAAGCTAACTAGCCAACAACAGTTAGCTCCCAAAATCACATGAACACAAGAGTCGTGTGTGGGGTCTCTGATGTTTTCAGAATTGGTTTAGGGTTTAAAAATCTCCTAGTGTGTGTCAAGCTTTTGATGTGCCACCCTGGTCAATAAAGTCTGGTTACGGCCCTGTGTATGATATCTTAATGTGAAGTAAATGTGTTTAGTGAAAATTGAAATACTACCCCTAATTGAGTCTGGGCCACCTGAGCTGATATGACACTAGATGTGCCCCTGACCACCATCAACACAATAAATAAACCCAACACTGTGTTCAGGAATAAAAAAATCTTGTATTTTTAATTGACAGGGAAACATCCTTCAGGACAACAGTTGGTCATCACACAATAATCAGCAACGATACAATGTAGAGAGTCCGACTGTGTGTGTCGAGCCTTTAAACACCTCCCCCGTTGCCCTTCTCTTCTAATGGAGGGCTTATTATTGCAGACACGTTGGCTCTCCTGACAGACAGAACACACCGCCTCCCCTCTTTTGTAAGGCTTGGGGGGGTTGGGGGTTTGGGGTTTGGGGTGGTGGTGGTGGGGTGCCCAAGTCAGTCACTGAAGGGTTGTAAAAAATAAAAGAAAAGAAAAAAAGAAAGAAAAAGAAAGAAAACACAAGGCTTCTGAGTCATTAAAGTCATGTTCTATCACAGTTTGAACCCTTGTGAGTCTGCATGTCAAAACCAGAAAAACATAACTTTGTTTTATCTGTCAGTTACAGAGCATCAGGGCTGAGGCTACTCCTACATAAAATATACATCAGTTAATTAGTTTCACCATCACCAGAGTTCTATATGTTTAGAGTATCAGGAGGAAAAGTGAAAAAGGTTCACCTCAACATTAAATAACGTCGGTTCTGGACAAAATAGAACCAACTTAAGTTTCCATTTCTCTCTATAAAACTGTATAAAGAGGAGCTCTGTCCTCATACAGCAAAGAACCACCCAATATTGCATTGGACAATAAAGAAAAGGGTCATTTAATCAGTATGTGTCAGATACCAATTAAGCAGAGCCCAGTGCAATTAGGTAGTCAGTCTACAAATGGAAACATCTGAAAATGCAAATATCAAAATCTCTAAAACATCCAGATGATTCTTTCCCAAAAGTTTTTTTTTCTTAAATCAGAACATGCAATAGTCAAAACTGTTTTTCCTCAAAAACAGGATTTAAATACTGAGATCCAAAGATCTGTAAAAACAATTATGCAGTCACTCTACCTTACTGTGTGGATTAATATGGCAATATGCTGTAGATCAGGGTGGTCTGCACTAAGTCAAGTAAGAGTGAGGCAGAAAGAGGCTGTCTTGAGACAACTTAAAACCTCCCGTTGCTGACAATGTGTGCAGGAAGAGGAGATGGAACAGGACAAAGAGGTTGCACGATAACAGTGTGTTCGAGAGCATACTGTATATGAATGAAAACACCGACTGTGCCTCCAAACAGGAGGGAGGACAACATCTCAGAATCCAACATCAGCTGTGCTTCTGTGTGTCAGAACTGGAAGAAGAGGACTATCAAAAGATGAACGGGCTGCGTTCACCGTCAGCAGCATTTTCAAAACGCTCGTTTCATTGTCCCAGAGCTATTCATTCTGTCTGTCGAACTTTAACAACCAGTATCAGGCAAAGTGAAGCAAACATACAATACAGTATAATTTTTCTTACATTTTGTCTCACAATTTTGGCCCCTACATGCAAACTGCTTTAAAAATGACAGACTGAAATGAAGGAAATGATGACAGATGATTACCTGCACCCTTTAAGTTTAAAGGGATCCTGTTAGCAAAAGTACCCATTAACAGCCCATGTGATGTAATTTCATATTCCATTTTCTAAAAATCAAAATAATTTTTTCTTCTGAAAAGTCCTGAAAATAATTGGACACTAAAGATGTAACAATACCTTTCTATTTCCTATTTTTCATGTTTTTTTGAAAGGGTGTAAATCACCCAGTCTGTGGTAAAACCATAGACTGTATAAAGAATGGACAGAGTCTGCCTCCTTGCTGGGTGAAGCCACTCTGAGAACAGCGCCCTCTGTTGACGGGCTGCAGTATAGGTCATTAATCCCACCTCCGCCAGCAAAGCTTACGGAGCTGTGGCCAAACTTCAGAAATTTATTACACAGAACATACATTTTTCTCCGCCCTGCTTGTGATGTTGACATGTAGTTACAGACTAATTTGTGCTCAAGTTCTCTTTTTTTCTGTGAAGCTCCGTATCTAAAAGTTATTAGGGGGTTCATGTTTCTCAGTGACTCTCGCGCAGTGCTGGTTTCAGGAAATGAAGAAAAATCCCGGAAATACAGAGCGCTTTTTGGCTTCAAATCTGTATACTGGCGGGAGGCGGAACCAAGTTGTCCATAGTATATACAATCTATGGGTAAAACTTTAAATTATGATGCTTTTATTTTGCCTTAGTTGACATTGGATGCCTTGGGGACGCTACTTCCTTTTGTAATTTCACTTTAAAAAATGGCCCTCTAACAAAAAATGACTAAAAAGAAACCCATGCCACACTGTAAAGCTACAGGATTAAACAAAATTAGGGAAATTCTGCTGCATTAGCATCCTCCGAAGAGGCAAAAGCTCTTAGGTTGGGAGTAATTTTGAGACCTGCAGAAAAGATCCAGAGACAACGCTAGTCTTTACTGTAACTCTTGTGTTTTTTTTAATTTACAATTATATGAGAAGTAACGGCGTCAAACATAAATAATAGAAAGTCAAAGGCAGAAAAAAGGACATCACTGTTCATTTTTCACATCACCAATTTGACTCGTCTCTTATGCATACCACTTTTTACCTGTCTCACATGGTATTGTTACATCTCTAATAGTCAGGCAGTTAATTTAAAAAAAGGGATTGTTTCATTTTTTTTGTTTAAGTCACAGAACCTCAATCTAGCTGTCAACTCCTGTCAAATAGACAGTTTTAAAACACTGGGGGTCATTTTACTGCATCAAAGTACCTTGGGCTTCTTCTAAGATGATCATCATGAATGTAAAGACACTGTCCCAGCCAGCTGCCTCTTAAACAGATTTATATCCAAGATGCATCTTTTGTACCGATGCTAAACCCGATTATGGGTAACAAAAGAGAAATACGAATTGTGCTGTGTTGGAGTGAAGGTATGGCTTGGTAAGAAAACATTCAGCCACTGGAAGAAAAATGTTCTTTTCTTTTTCATTCACACCTTTGAATGTTACATGAAAAGATACTCAAGCAAACGGATAACAAATAGGCCTACAGTGTGATATCTCATGCTTTTCTTATGTAGTTTGATAAAAAATAAAGTCAACAAGTGATAAATGAGTCCTCAGCAGAGATGCAGGTCGCTCTTCTTAGTGGGAAGGCCTGAGCTTTTACAGAAATCTACTCTAGCTAGCACTGCTTTCATCCACACCCATGCCACACTCAGGGGGCAGTTAGCTAAAATAGCATGAACACTAGCGCTAGAAATACTCTTAATCTTTGTATAAAAATGGGTTTATATTATATATATTATAGTTCTACAGTATGTACGAACACAAGAATGCGGTTGTTTTATGTAGTGTGGATGTAACTATATTTTTCACAAGTACAGATTATTATTGCACTCTGGCTACACATATTTAGTAAGTTAAGTTAGTTTGGTTGTCTTTAGATGTACAGAACACAAAGTGGTGTCAGATCTTGAAAACAGTCATGGAAGGAGGGCTCAGTGACGTCTTTTAGTTATTTTTTTACTGGATCATTTTCTTCAAGCTAGTCAAGCTAGTGAGCTGAACTGAGTTAGCCAGCTGAGCGAAGATAGCTTACTAGCTAACTACTTGCCTGAATACATTGTATTCTGAGCTATCAAGCTAGTTAGCAAGTCAAATCAGCTGAGCAAAAATAGGTATCTAGCTATTTAGCAAGTTGGCTAGCTAGACGGATTATTTAATGATAGTTAGCTAGCTATCTCTGTTGCTATGTAACAACCTATGTGGGTAAAAATACTTGTGAAGAACTTTGCTGCATATATTTCACCACTTCATTTTCTATCAAACCATCCTGGATTTTATGTTTTCGTTAAAGTCGAAGTTAAGTTTGTTGAATTTCTGGACAGATAGCACACAGGTGTAAAAATACACCTTAGAATATAATCAGTGTGCATCACTGAGCCCACCTCAATACTGATTTTAGACAACAAATACATAACAATCTGAGACAAAGCTACAGAAATACATCACACCCCTGTTCTCCTCCTTCTCTTTTTCAAAATAGAAAAATAAAAATCCCATTCTTCAAGCCTAGCTCGCCTTTCAAGAGGAAGGTTGATCTCCCCCACTGCTCTCTGTTTTGAAAAGAAACGTACATTCACAAGAGGACAACAGAGGAAAAAACAAGCAACTCGAAATTTAAATTTGTGTGCAAAAAACATTTTAGATCTCTATAAAAATATGTGCATATGGATAGAGCTATTTTTAATCTCACCAAATACAGTATTTTCCTTTATTTACACTGCACAGATACACAGATAAACATACACTACAGCTCTGCCCTGCTCCCCCTCTTTGTCGTCACAGGCGTAAGAATAACATGGCCGACTTCCATGACAGCAGATTTGACAATACTTGCACGTAGGAAAAAATAATAATAATAACGCAGACACGCTCACTCACACTCACACACTTCTGCTCTGATCAATGTGATCGAGGAGCAGAGGAGGGGGCAAGCAGAACTTCTGTAGAAAACCTGAAGTTGCATATCCCACAATTCCCTCCCCGCGCTCGTATTTCACAAACCGCCTCCTGTAAAAGGTCAGAGGTTATCAGCCAGACGCTGATGCTTCCTGATTGGCTGGCGCGGGTGGGGACAGTGTGTCAGAAAAACTTTGGCTACGGAGTTAGGTGGCTTTAGTCCTGGCATGGGAACACGCCTTGTACAGTGGGTACAGCCTCTGTTGATCTGCTGTCAATCACGCTGGGTTTGGTAAACAGATCCAGTGTCTTTTTTCAGATGGGACTGCACCAGCGTCTCTGAAAAATATAATAAATGTATTTTCAGTATCTTTAAAAAAGAAAAATTCTACTCCAAGTAAATTTTTCTTTCTGTTTTTCTTCATAACGCCTCCCTCCAACATCCAGATCTCCAGATCTCCAGATCTCCAGATCTCCGATCGATTTATTCTCACGAAGGCAAAGCTCAATGTTCACTGAGCGGTCCTCCGATTCTTAGCACTGAATCCTGCCCCACTTCCCAATCTGTTGTCAAAAGGGGAGGAGCATGAGGCTGTCTCAGCGTCTGATAGGCTGCTCATATATCTGGACTGTGGTTGGTCGAAAGTGAACTGCGGGAGGGGGATGTAGTCACCTGTGAGAGGGGAGCGTCTCGCAGCAGGGGAGTGGGAGCGCGTCTGAGGGAAAGGCATCGTGTTTGGAACGAGTGGCGCGTGAGGTTGAATGAAGATGTTTGGGCTGATGGGGATGTGCGGGTGAGTGGGTGTGGATGAGAGAGCGTGTGTGGGAGTAGAGGGTGTTGGTGAGTGTGTTTGCAGCGGTACGTGGATTGGTGTGAGCGCCGTGTGCATAGGGGAGTGCATCGGTGAAACGTCTTGGGTGTGTGTGTTTGACTGTGTGTGTGGGGTGAGGTCATACGACGGCGTTCTGCGTCTCAGCATCATGCTGCAGTCTGCCAGTTTTGGGGGTGAGGCGGTATGCGGGTGCTCCCTCTCTGAGGGTGGGTAGATGGAGATACATGGAGGACTCATCTTCTTTTTTCTGTGGCCGCCCCCGACTGACTGCACCCTGACAGGAAAGGCCTGACCACCCTTTTCTGACCGGCGTGTGAAGCTCTGGTCATCACTGGGGTCAAGGACCTGGGGGAGGCAGACCTCAATAGAGTGGCGCCTCTGGTCGTCAGGGAAACCAGCAGTTAATGATGATGGCTTGTCCAGGAAGCTCTGGTTTGCGACCCTTGAACCCTTCCTGAAGTCTTGGTCTGTCAGCCCTGCTCCAAGCAGACTGAGCGCACTCCTGGAGGAGGAGGGCGGCAACGGGGGAGGAAGGGGTGAGTATGTGGACGACGAGTCTGCAGAGCACAACGTTGTGTAAGGAGAGAGGGAGTGACTGCGTCCGGTCTTCCCTCTGCACTCCAGCCCTCCCCCCTCCTCGTCTCTCCACCTGTGGCGGGCCGAGCTGGTAATGTGGTACACCTCCTCGTCTGCTGGGTCGCAGAGGGAGGCTGCAGACGGCGGTCTGGGTCTCCTGAGGCTGGGAGGGCGCAGGGGGAGGCGAGGGGAGGGAGGCGGAGGAAGAAGCAGCGCGGGGGAGGATGGCGGGGGAGGCAGTGGGGAAGGAGGGGGGAGCGGGAAGGAGGAAGGAGAACAGGGTGGGAAGGAGAGGGCTGAGGGGGAGGAGGGAGGAGGAGGGGGGAGAGGAGAAGGAGAGGAGTTGTGGGGAGAGAGGGGGGAAGGAGAGGGGGGAGGCAAATGGATTGGTTTGGGCCTCTCCCGCTGCTCACAGCCCTGAGACTCCACAGAATCCACTTTGACAGCCACCTGCAGCAGAAACAGCAGACCACCATGACACTTGAACAGACACACAGGCAGAGATAAACTGTATGTTTAAGTGTTTGTTTACATGTGATTTGACCTGATCTAGCATTTACATGCCACCAGTATATTTAACAACAGGGAATATTCTGTAAATGTAATTGTAGATGATGACTCTGGCTTGTTCTCAAAGCTATCATGCAATATTTCAGTCAGACTGGGAGTACTTAAGGAAACACATGTTAGAGAAGACTGAGGAGAAAGGAGGGAAATCAAAGAAGTACACGCTAGAGCTAATAAGTAAAATTGAGGTTCCCTTGCATCTCTAGTGGGAGGGCCAAAGACTCAGGAAACATTACAAATTTAAGGGGTTACATACCTGTCTGTGCATGGCCTTTGGGGAGGGGCCAGGAGAGGGCGGGGCTATGCGCGGTAAGCTGAGGGTGGGAGGTGATCGAGGATGAACCGGGGAGACGTCTGGAACTTGCAGCAGTGTGCGACTCTCACATGGCTGGGAGTGGACTGAAGTCACTGAACCTGCAGTTGTGCAGAAAGCGTATACATACTTTAAAACACAAATGCTTTATTATTTCAGGATCATTTAAAAAGGATATTTCAAAACAACAAAAAGCCAAAATATCCTCCACACTTTATTTTGAGGGGGTATTCAGGTATCAATCACATGAGAAACTGTTAAATTTAAACTTTTGATTCATCCCAAATAAATTCCGTACACCATCAAAATAAAGTGCTTTGAGAAACATTTGAGCACATAAGAGTAGGCTGCTCAGTGGGAACACTGAGAGGAAAAAGAGTCATACAAGTCCAGTTCACTGGATGTTATATTCTGCATTAGATCCTGGTTACATCAGCAGCTCCATGCTGCTGTATTTAGTCATCATGGTGGAGTACAGATGGGATTAAACAGTGATAAGAGGCAAGTAGCTCCATCATGGTTTAAAACTCTGTTATATATCTGCTTTGAGCTGCATGTAACCAGGGTCTGAGGCTCTCTGCACTCACAGGTTCACTGTACCTATGAGTAACAGAGACGCTGCTGTAGATTTGAAACCACTGATTGTAAAAGAAAAACATGTATGATTTGTCTCCAACTCCGCCTGATGTACAAAAGTGAAGCCAAAATACACTTAATGATGAGCAGTGACTATCACACCACTGACTTTTGCTGATAATGTTCCAGTTACAAGATACAACAATAAGTCGTAAAGTAACCCTAGTGCTAAGGCAATAAGTATGATACATTAAGGGCTCTATTTTCGTTCGCGCCGGTGAGGCGGCGGAGGGCGGCGAGCCCCGCGCAGTTGTATTTTCGTCTGGCGGAGCCCGGTGTAAGGCGAGTTTGGTATTTTCGTGGACTGAGTCGCACGGAGGCGAGCCGAGATCCGCCAAGCTGGGCGTGGTGGCATGGCAGGGGGAGGTGTTGACAGAATCAGCTGGCGCAGTGACATTTTCGTGCTCGCCACCGGCGTGTAACGTGCGCTGAAAGCTCGCCGATTCAAACCTGGTCAGCTTTCAGCGCAAGGCGGAACGCAGCTGGTCTAGTAGTATTTTGGTAGACCGGCGGCGTATCGACATACGTCACCGATGCCTCACCGGCAGGTTTCCACAGTGTCAGGCAGATTTCAGTGCAATAAATAATCATCATCAACTATTAATCTGAGTCAGCACATACATTTAGATCTATATAGATATATTCTGATCTATATCTGATCTGATGAGCGCGTTTGGCACGCGTTTGGCACGCGTTTGGCACGCGTTTGGGCACACAACCTGACCGAATCAATACAGCTGAAACTGCATCAAATTAAATTAAATATCTAGTAAATATTCACACATGATGAAGTTAACAAGATATGTAATGTGTCTCCCTCCTTTTCTTTCTTCCTCTTATTTCTCGCACAGCTCGACCTGGACACGTCTCCGTGTCCTCTGTCCGTCTTGCTGCAGCTGCTGCGGCTGAACAGATGATTTGTTTCAGTGCTCAGATGCGTGATCTACTTTAAGCCGACATACGGATATTATAATATTCAGTTTTGTGGGCCAAATTTATTTTATATGCCAACATCTATGAAAGAAAGAGCCAGGCCACGGAGCGCGATGCGTCATTTACGCACAGATGGTTCCGATTTTAATGCCATTTTTGGAGTTTATGTTGTGATCTGTGCGCTAAACCCACCTTTGTCACGTGAGGTTTGAATATATGCAACTTTATGTGAGTGTCTTTTTTGTGGAAAAGGGTGTTTGTCTTACCAGTGGGTCCAACATTACGCACACCAAATCCATCTGTGCTCAGATGAGAGAGTGTGGAGGACAACTTGTTGAGCAGCTGCCCTCTGTCGCCATCGTGTGGCATAACTGTCTTCAGACATCTCTCGATCTCTTTGACTACTTCATGAAAATAGTATTACGCCTCGCCGGTGGCGGATTTAAAGGCAAGGAGAGGAGCTTATGTGATTGGTGAAAACAGGTCTCGGCTGTGTTAAACCGACTCCACGCCCTCTCTCCTCCCCGTCTATGACTTATGCTGCCGGGAGGAGCTGAGTTAGGGAGGGGGGATACTTACGCCGGGCTGCGCGGCTCACCAAAATACCAAAATGTGCTTGGGAACGCCTTGTCAGCGCGGCGGATCTGATTGACGCTGCGCTTGCGGCACGTCTTCGGCGAGGCACCAAAATAGAGCCCTGTGTGTGATTTTTAAAAATCTGGTCGGCTGAAGATATGTAGCAAGCTCTCATCTTTGGGTAAAAATCATAACACAGTGGAATATTTGACTCCGTACTTAAACCAGTGTGTAGGTAAAGCTAATGAAAAACAGTATACAATTTGATCTTCAAATTAGAAGTTTCATTTTTGTCTAATCTGTTACATGGAGGAGGTGTGGTTTATGACCAGCTAAACAGCTGTCAGTTTGGCTTCACTTTTGAGGAGCTGTGATTCCTTTCATCTTTTTTTAACAGTCAGTGGTTGAAATGTTGCAGAAAGTCAGAGTAAGATCTTTAGCTTTAGGGTTACAAGCCAAGCTGTAAAGCCACGTGACAGTGAATCTGCTACTTCAAGTCATGAGATAGAAACAAATGATAAAGCACCACAGCTGTGATGATGCTGTTTTTTAGTTTTCTGACTTTGCAGCTTGGCCGTTAAATCATTCTTGTATTCAGCCATCCCTGCAGCTGAGCAGATGAGCCTGTGTGAAGTTTGCAGAGGTTCACGTGTATCAGCTCATCCACTACAGTCAGTCTGTACCTTTGGACAGAGCTGGGTCTGTCCACAGCCTGGCCACAACATGCCATTAGAGTCTGACTGCAGATGAAACAGGGCCAGTCAGTGCTGAGAGACATTGTTCTTCACTGTAATGTTGTCACATGTTTGTATGTTCCCAAGTTATTTTAGGTTTTAGAAGCATGTTTCTGGAAGGTCCAAATGCATTTAAGTTAAAATAAGTTATTAAAAGCAACAATTCTTCTGTTATCTTGTGGATGAAGGGCAGTTTTAGTCAAGCTAACATCTTCTGTTCTAATGATGGACTAATAAGATGAGAAAGTTTCATGTCGGATTGTAAATACAGCGTGTTTCCATAATTTGTAGGCATTGTATAAACAAGGTAACTAACACAAAAAATTAGGTTTTTGACTCTGAAACAGTTTCATGCAAGGTTTGATGTCACTATTTAGCAACTGTTGACTTCATTAAAAAACATATTTTTACTTTTTTTTTTTCAGAGTCCAATAAAAATAAATTGTTTTTCTTATCCCTATAAATACTGTGATTATTACTCTTTTCACTTCTGTTTAAAGCCTGTGTGTTTTAAATATGTCACAGAAATGAAAAATGTATGTGTTTTTTGTCAGAATTACCAAATATTGATTGCACTTTTGATTATGGAAGGACATTTTCAAATAAGGCAAGCTCAGCATAAGGAGACATGTCCAGCTGCTGACTTGCTGCCAGTTTGGACAATCTTGGCAGCCTTCAAGTACTGCACAGGTATCCTCAATGTATCACTCACGTAAGCTGCCTTAAACCTTTGATAGGGATTACATTTACCCTTAAGGATAACAGGTCTCACTCATGATACATTAGTAAATTTATGTGTAAATTTACACATCAAAGTCCACAATCTGAAAACTCTGGTTTGTTTATGGGCACATGAGTACGTCCACAAGAAAATCAATTTTAAACTCTCACAAGAAACTGTGTAGATGTTGTAAGTAGCTGTGAACAAATCAATTCAGAGTTTCTAAAATACTGATGAATGTCAGATCACCTATGAATGTCCCTCAGTTTACACACTAATTTGTTCTGCTGGCATGAATGCTCATGAATGTGACCCAGTGTGCAGTTTAGGTAACATGTGATGCCATTTGCATATCTGTCGGTTTGTGCATTTTATACTGTTAATGGTGTGTAACCAGCGGCTGTTATCCAAACCCCCTGGGAAAAGAGGCAGAGCTGTGAGTCTAAATCCCAAAGGAGGAACATTTTGGACAATGAGGCAATTCTCCAGATTGGGCTTGTTCTGAAATTTCTAGTATGTGAACATGTATTAGTCTCCTGTCTCCCACACTGAAACGTAATCCTAACTTTAACCAGCAGTAGCTACACACTCTCATTTTGTAGAGCTCGAGTAAACATGAAAATTAACCATCTGTTAGCTCAAAATCAGCAGCTGTTTAATGAGCAACAGAAAAGTCTGATTTCTTATCCATTATCAAAACCCTGAACAGACCTGAAGGATGCTGGTGCTGGGGACTGAGCTCTATCTCCTCCAGAGGGTAGGGGGCGCTGGCGGGCCGTACAGGTCGGAACATGTAGCTGTCGTTAGGCAGAGAGTGCATCCTGGATACAGACATCTTCCTTGGAGACAGCAGGTCTTGGTTACCGTAGTGCACATCTTCCTCCTACAGGGGGAGACAAAGACCACAAAGATCCAACACCAGCTCTGTAACTCAGTCCTTAACTCACGTTGAGTCAATGCAGCAAAAGATAAATTCAGACGTGTACAACAAGAGTAAACTGCTGTCTTTAAATACATCCCTCAATTCTTACCTCTCCAGGTGAATTTGGACATGGCCCGACAAATGTCCCCTCTGCTGAACTGTTGTTGGAGGTTGTGCTTGTTCTGCGCTGCTCCCTCTCCATGGCCATTTCTAAGGCAATCTCTGCATCCATCTCCGCGTCCTCTTTAGCCTCCTAAAAGGTCAGTCAAATATAATCCATCAAAAGAAACCCCTTTGTTTCTTTCAGGGTGATGACACAGTAACCTAAATACACACCATCCTTGTAAAGAAACGTGTATCGTGTGTGTTTTCTGGTTATTAAAGCTCCAGGAAGGATATTTTTTATGGTGATGGAACAGACACGAATTCATATTGATGTCTTTTTATAATATATCAAAGCAAACAAAACCATTAGAAACGAGATTGGTCATTTTTGTAATTGATTTTTGACGCCTGAAACAAGTGTGAGGGGGTAGGTGTCAGCTAAGCAACTGTTATGCGTTTTTTCACATGAAACTGTCGCAATAAATGATCAATCTGACTGTAAAAAATCAGAAAGATTAAAAATTTTCTTTGTCCACGAGGGGGCAAAAATTGCCAAAACTGAAAGTTCCTCACAGGAGCTTTAATTTTCACCCTTATTTCTGTGTTTCTGCATTTTCTCAGTCTAAAACACTCAAATCCTCGTACCTTGTTGCTCTCCTCCAGGTGTTTCATCAAAACTGCCACCACCACATTGACCAGCACAAACTGGGCCATAAGCACGAAGGTGACAAAGTACATAGGAGACACCAAGGGTAGGTAAGTGAGGCAGTGGCGGTCTTCTGGGTGGCACTCACGCAACGTGTCCTTAAAAGACACGGAAAGAAGATTCAGAGGGAAAGAAAAGGAAAACAGGGTGAAACAGACCCGGACCCATCATTTTTAATTACAGCTGCTAATTCCTAATTATGAATACATATATATATATAGATACACCAGAGGCTGGATTACAGAGCTATGAAATCTCAATAGTTCAGGGACTCAGTTTTGTAATACAGGCCAAGATTTAGAGCATTAGAAAGTTAGAAGTCTTGAAAAACTAAGATCAAACCAAGGCTTAATAAAGGAAAAACAAAAACATCTGGGCATTAAACAGGTTTTTATAAGCCTTGTGTGTGTTTTTAAACCTAAATGTCTCACTGACCCAAGAAAACAAAGTTAAAATAATAATAATAAATAATAGTAAAAAGGTAAAGATAGGTGCTCAGATATCAATTAAAGCACTTCAATACATAAAATGAATAAAATAATAAGTTCAATTACAAAATGATGAATAATAATGTTGAAATTTTATGATCTATTATCAGTCCCATGACCAGAACTTCGACATCATCTTATTAAACAATTGTTTGTCATGCTTTTATTTTGATACCTTTTCTGTCTTGCGTTCAGGTGACTTTATATCCTGCATTCTCAAACTATGCTTTTATTTTGAAGTATATGAAAGGTTAGAAAGTATAAATGTTTAATTGATAAGTGAGGCTCAAGTCGTGATGTTGTTTTTGGATTCACGACAAAGCTTGAACATTAGCTCTAAAACTGCTGAATCATCTCTCAGTAGCTGCTACGGCTAGCATGCTAACAGTCTGCTACTTCTTCTTCATGTGTCTTCCATTTTTTTGATGAGAGTCATCAAACAAAAACTCATAAACTCCTGAAAGTTCATCGTAAAAGTTCTTTTAAACATGAACTCCATAATAGAGTCTACATGTATAAATTGTGTCAGTCAGTGATCTACATCACACATTATATTTTATCACGTGGAATAACTCAGTCACTTTATTGTTTCTTGATTGGTTTTGAAGGTCATTGCTCTCTCTCTGGTTATTGGATTATATTGTTATGTGTGTGTGTAAATGTGTGCGTCCATACTTTCATAATCCCGTTCCAGTTGTCTCCGGTGGAAACTCGAAATAGTGTGAGGAAGGCCATCCCGAAATTCTCAAAAGTGGCGTGTCGACTCAGGCCCTCACATGGGTTGTTGTCATTGCAAACTAAACAACACACAAACACAAACAGGTATTAATTTCACTTCAATACACACGCAGCGGTAAATAAACCATAGAAGTGTTTATGAAAACGCTGTGCGGTGGGTGAACACAAGCAGCTGTTCGGCAGTGTGTCCCTGTAGACATGACAGAGGACAGGAGATAAGTGTCCTCTAGAGGACAGGGGAAGACTTGAACGCTCTCAGGGTCAATTTGACAGAAAGCCCTCAGGAGCCAGTTAACAGAATCATAACAGCAACCAGAAGATCTCTGCCTCCGCCTGGAAGCACGGGTCACATTAGCAGGAAGGCAGAGAGGAGGGAGGCGGTCCTCGGAGTATTATGCACCTCGTGTCTTATTCTGAGAATCAACCACTCAGAGAAAAATGAGAGGCTGAATCTCTGATGAAGTGAAAAAGACAACTTAGTTGAGTGACGGATGGAGGTTTTCACACAAATTTAGCCTTTTTTTAATCATATAGACAAATGGATAATAATCTGTCAATCTTGTTGCTGATGATTTTGTTTGCTTTTGGTAATCATAAAAATTCTCTCCTTGTCCCAGTCTAAAACTACTGTTGAGAACTGATTTATTGACAAAAGTATGTCTGCCACGACTACGTATGGTAGGTGGAGATACCCACTCACGTTCAGTCAGTTGCTTTTGGGTAATCTCAAAGTTAACCAACTATGTCCGATATCAAAACAATCAAAAAACACATAAGCGAGAGGTTAACAGGTTTTATGTGATACAATGACAACAGAGACTTCTTTACAGCTCTATACTTTTCAGAGATACAGTAGATAAAACCTCTTCATGTTTTCCATGTCCTTTATTTTCATTGCTCCTGTTTTGTTTACTTCCTGGCTGTTTAAAATGCTTTTTTTTCTGTTTAACTTGCAGGTCAAAGTTCAACATGTCAACAGTAGTGCATGTTCAGAAGGTTTAAGCCGTGGTTTCAGTCTGATTGAGGTGTTAACATCCCCAACGACATTGTCTAGGTATGCTAAATTTGGTTTAGTAAGAATCCAGGGTTACTGAAGGGGAACATGTATTTTAAAAGTGCAATTTAAGTCTAAATCAGTTAATGGCTTATTGTTTAAGGTGGTCAAATGGTTCATTTTTCAACTAACATTTTGTGTTAGATGTTAAAACAGGGACTGCTTCTTCAGCTGCTTGACTAACACCTACCCTCTCGCACCACTTTAAGGCATCAAAAATTACACAATAAAAAATGTGAATCCTGTCACTGATGGTCTTGTTTGCTTTTGTTTATTATATAAAGGTATTGGTATGAATTTGAGTTTATTTTGTAGCTAACACCCGGAGCTAGCTAGCATAGTTGACATTTTGAAGTTTGACCTATAAGTTCCCAGGCCCCATCTGTTTTTTAAATAGACATCCCCACCTGCTTGAACTTGTGCTTGAAGTTGTATTACAGTGAACTGTCTGGACAAACTGTATTTTTGCTCTTTTGCAATGGCCTTTAAATTACAGCACGATTCTTCCATAGAGGACAGAATAATGGCATCCTTGGGGCCCAGGTAGAGTAGTACACATATATCAGGCGCATTTCAAGGAGCCTTTGAAATGGGACACTCCGTGACGCGATCAGTCTTAAAATACAAGGGTGTGATCACTGAATTGGGACAAATCCAATGAGTGAAGTCACTAAGTTTACGTTTCTGATTAATACCCTCTTCAATAACAGCTATTTCTTTCAGACAACAGTGAAAACTTTCTTCCCAAAGTCTGAGTCATGTCCAACTGAATCCAGATTTCACTTTAAACTCAATATGCATCCTCTGTGCTAAAAATACCTGATACCTGCACTGCAGCTTAAACCCAAAACTGTGATTTAAACATTCAAGCCCTCAGTCTGTCCCTCTTATAATTCTGGCGCCTGTGACCTTTTCTTTCCCTCGTCTTAGACTGTGGACATCACGGCTACTGAGTTCAGCCTCCCAGACAGAACCAGCTTGTATAATGTCTTTGTTCCTTTCTGTGAGCAGAGAGTTTTCATGAGCCAATTAAAGCAGTAATGGGTGGAGAGTTATTCGGATGGAGCTCAGGTACGCTATAGTTTCAGCAAAGTACTGAAATGTGCACCTAAACCAAACCCCCAGAAGCTAAATTATATCAGCAAGGTTTCCTTTATTAAAGATCTTTGGAATGAGATTTACAGCTTAGCAAGAAAAGGAGGGCGAAGAAAAGTGATTTTTACTTCATTGAATGTAAAATTCGATGTGAACTTTTCAACTTGCAGCTTATATATGATCACTGGGAAGGTTAATAGACAATAAGAGATGAATATTGTAGTTCTCAAATCATTTCACCGTCTCAGCTGAAATACTGACTCTTAAAGCCGCTGGATGGCTCTTAATGGAGTACTCAGGCTGTAACGGTGCCTCTTTAGAAAGTGGAAAACTGTTACACATAAACAAGGACTCAAATTGTGGTGAAGTAAAATGACTCCTAACACATTTTATTTACCTGCCAATACTTTCCCTCCTTCTCATTTTCTCTTTTTAAGGATGATCCTTGAGGACGATCCAAATCAATGAGATAAAAAGTAATTTTGAAGCTACTTGTAAAGAATAGTTTACAAGTTTAGAGCATAATTATCAAGTCTTGTTAAGAACTAGTTTGCATAACTATGACCTTTGCCAGCCTCATTCTAAAAAAGTGTACAAAACTGGTTATAAATGAAATGTCAGCTTTTTTATTTGCTATGAATGAGGCTTACTAGTTATAGAATATGATCTTGGAGAATTAGGTGTTAATAAGTGCTTTAGTGTGACTAATTAAGAGCCGACTTTCTGCTAATAAACATGCAACGACTACGCAACTAATGAAAGATTAGTATGTGAACCCTGAATTTGAGTGTTACTAGATGTTTAATAGATTTCGAGAACAAAAGTTATGTTACGAGCTGCGAAAATCTAGTTATTATGTTATGAGATTAAAGTCGTATCTTAATCTGACAAAAATAAAGATGCTATATTATGAGAATGCAGCCAAGTGTTGGCTGAATTAAAGCTCCTGAGAAGAACTTTTTGTTTGTATAAGAGGTATCAAGATTTACAGCATGTCAAAATGTCTGTTTTGTTGCTTATGGTTTTGTTTGATTTTGTTTACTTAATAAAGGCATTGTTATGAATTTCAGCCTATTCCATAAAAGAAAAAAAATCCTTACAGGAGCTTTAATGTTTGTATTCTGTGACATAATTACTTTAATCATGGAACACAATGTCTTTACTTACTAAATATGACTTTGACTACTACAACTATGACTTTATTCCCCTAAGATTATGACTTTATTATGACTTTCTTCTCAGAGCAATACGCGACGTTCTCATAACATTAGGACTTTTTTCTTAAAATTTAAAATAAATGTTCTTTAATGCTGCCCTGATACTCAGTTGTAGTAGGTAAACATGGTGTTAACAATGACGATCTTTTTAGCTAAAGATGCATTGTTTGCATTCCCCCCACACACATAAACGATACCTGGGCAGGCCGCCATAATGAAAAGACTATTTGCTGAACACAACAGCATTTATTTACATTGTATTTATAAAACACAGACTGATGTTTTTCTTCCTCTCTCTGCACATGCTGCTAAGTGTCTTTCCAGATAACAAAGAGAGGTGGAGAGAAAAAGAGATGTAGTTGTTCCTTTTTCAGAGGAAGTACCACCAAGTTTAAGGGTCCTTTCAGAATAAAAGTATGCCAAGTATCAAAATGGGTGATGAAGGAATTTCAGTACCAAATCCTCGCCCACTTGCACTGCTGTATCCTTCAAACCTTTTGACTAACCTGTGCCAAAATATAGCTCACTCCTTCAGTTCTTTGTTAACCAGAAAACAGCATTTCAAGAGTATGACCACCAGGGGAAAAAAGACATTCAGACATCAAAAAACTTCTACCAGCAGCCTGGGAAAAGCAAAAAGCAAAAAAAAAAAAATCAGAGCAGAAACAGAGGTAGTACTTTACAAAACTAGCTAAGAGACCCTGCTTCGTTTTCCCAAACGTGAGGAGAAGCAGCACAACAACATTTCGCAGAAAGCAACCTCTTCACCACCAAGCTGTTCTTATATCGTCCCCACAGATGCCTTTCTGGCTAATCCTCTTCCTTCACACATTCTTGCGCTCTCAGAGAAAATGAATCGGACAGAGAGAGTCAGTATGTAAAAAAAACGTGATCATGCAAATGTGATCACCTCTCTGTGGAAAGGCCTGTGATGTGAGAGCATTGGAGAAGAGAGGAGACGGGGAGACAGATGGGGGCAGAGAGAGAGAGGATTGAGCTGAGATAGTTCGGGCGGGGAAATGTGCTAAGTCGTGACTGTGCCGGTAACGAGCCGATTCCAAAACATTTTTTTTTTTCTGCCGAGGCTTGTAGACTGCGGTGCATGTGTGTGTGTTTGTGTTTCTCTGCTGGTAGTGTGACTGACCCAGTTTGCCAAAGAGCTCCACCCCCAGTGCAGCGTAGATGAAGAAGAGCAGCATGAAGAGGAGGCCAAGATTCCCAACCTGGAAGTAAAAGGCACAGAAGTTCCTCCTCAGTACATCAAGCATAAAGTTACATCATACTGTAGATGTTGTTTGTTCAGGGCTGCAGGGAACAGCAGACATTAAGATTTCCTCATGCATTATACATGAAAAGAGCCTATTTGCAAAAAAGGTCTTGGACTGGTGCGAACCCTTTCTCTGTTAAAGGAATAGTCTGGGTTTTTTATAGTGGGGTTGAATAAAGTTCCAACAGTGTGTGTACTTCAAACAGTAGATAACAATAGCTACGTTTACATGGGTAAAATTTTTTGATCTGATTAAAAATTTGAGGGATCAAATAATCTGAATCCACCGCTTAAATGAGTGCAATATCAAATAATCCAATCATGACGCGCGTATACATGCACCAAGCTTCATTCAGATTAGAAGCATTTAGACATGCGCAGAGTTGTCTGATTTCGCTAAAACAACCGCAGAAGAAGAGTTGTATTGACGCCTGCACTGTCCACAAACCAACATACGCAGTAGTGGCTCACTCCATCAAGTTCAGGATGTTACCCGCTGTTAAATGTTGTCACTGGATGGCGCCCTTGCTCACTTATTTTACTGTACTGTCAAAGATTACGCTGTATGTACGCCTTGTTATGGTTTCGGAGGAGCACCTGTGGTTGTGTTTTATGCAACCTCCTGTACTGGCCTCAATAAAGAAGCCAAAGGCTGAAGAGCGAAGATCGGGTCAGGTAAGAGATTATTATCCATTGGAATAAGTGTTTACATGGACGCGTTTCGGAATAACAATCGACATAAATCACCCCTCTCGATCGGATCAACAATTTCTCTCTGATTGAGCTGAGTTGGATCAGAATCTTCCAAGTGACATGTTTACATGATGCATTTTTTTTTTCCGATCAGGCCTTTATTCCGATTATTTGTGCCCATGTAAACATGGCTAATGAGTATGGCCTCAGTTGGGAGACTCTAGCCTGAGTTCCCACTCTTTTGGATATTATAAAAATGCATCAATACTAATTTCATTCTGTTTCATAATCATTAAAAAAAACAAAAAAAAAAAAACCTTACAGGTGTTTTAAAAATTTAATAACAGACTGAAGGTGACATCAAACAACCTTTCTATCTGCTTAATGACTTCATCTGAACAACAGCTTTTTATTCCTTGACTTCCTGCTCACTGCATCAGATCAGCTGTTTTGGACATCAGCTACTAGAAATCAGTGCATAAATGAACACACTCACTGAGCTCCCTGACATTTTGATGCACTGAATGGCTCAATTAGCCACTTGTGTAATGCAAGGACATTTTATTGACTCCAAATATATAAAATATTTCTACTTCTTGTTGATTAAAACTAGACTACAACTGTTTAGGACAAAAATACTCAAATATGACTAAAACTGAGAAGTCCATAGCTGCCAAAGATAACACTGATCGCAGATTAATCTCTGATTTATTTTTGCAAAAACTGTATCCACCTGAACTATTTATGCTACTGATATCATAAAATAAACTTTTTGCATATTAAATGAATACAATTTATCATCAGACTTCTTTAAGTACAATAATTCATCTGGACTTTTGACATTTTCCACTAAAACCTGGGATTAGTGGAGGCACCAGTCGATGAAAGATCTGCTGGTGAACCAGAAGTGCTGATAAAACAGTTATTATAGAGAGTTTTTCTTTATTCCTCTGCAAACCCTCTGAGCTGTATTTTCTATCGGGAGCTACATTTGCATCATACTCTTTTGCTTTCATTCGGTTTCTTCAGATCTCTTCTTGTGCACCCTGTGCCCTGGTGTTTTACACTTGACATTTAGAACAATGGAGTCTGTCTCTGCACGTGCAGCTCTGTCCTTGCTGCATCTGTTGTTTGCCTCCAAGATCTGTGGCGGAGCTAAGACCAAAACAGCTGCAGATGCACTTTAAAAGGGAGGTAGGGAGCCATCTGAATAAAAAAAGCACGAAGATTGGGGACTGGAAGTTGTACAAATCTACACTGGTTTGTTGCTCAATTTTAAAACCACGTACAATAACGGTAGTTACTTTTTATTTTTCATTTGGCATTTATTGTTTTGCACATGTAACAGTAAAACCAAGAGCAGACAGCAGAGAAGAGGGAGTTTGGAAAACATCTTAGTAATGTGGCTGGATATGAGTGGAGTGAAATATTCATTAACAAGCATAAAAATTTTAGAGCTGTCTACCCCAAGCAGCCGCCATAATAACATTATACTCATCCAAAGAAGAAAGAGCATTAATAAAACAGACCGTAAAAATCACTCATCAGGGAGTCTGGCTTTACCTGAGGCAGAGCTTGCATGACAGTATCCAGCAGAGCTCTCATCCCAGTGGCCATCTTCAGGAGTTTGAGCACTGCAAACAGACACAGGAGCAGTCTTTAACAGCCAGCTGTTGCTGGGTTTACAGTGGCATGGTCTACATGTACTCTAAAACGAAGGATGATCTAACCTTTGTTTAAAAAGCACTTTTTAAATCCAGCCTACAGAGTTATTGAAAAAAGGAGCAAACAGCTAGAAAGTCCCAAAACATTTTAAAAGAAAATACATAATAATCTATCTTAAAGCTCCTGTGAGGAGGTTTTTTGACATTTAGGACACAGACCTAAATTCATATTGATACCCAAAAGCAAACAAGAGCATTGGAGAGAAGATTTACAATTTTTGGTTTGCAATTTTTCATGCCTTAAACTGATGCAAGGGGGTAGGTGTCAGCTGAGCAGCTGAAGAAGGAGCTCTGTTTTTACAAATTCTTTACAAAATATTCATAATAAATTATACATTTTACTATTAAAGTCAGCAGGATTACTTTTTTTAAACATAAGTAAGCTTAAGCGGATACATGACAAGTTAAGCAAAGACTATTTTGTCCTTTGGGGGGGTGCCAAAATTGACACAAACTGAAAATTCCTCACAGGAGCTTTAATGAGAAGTTTTTTTTTTTTTTTTTTTTGATTGAAAAGGCTGTTACATGTTAAAAATCAAAGCAGTCTCTCTTATCCCTGTGCTGAATTTGTCCCGTACCAAAGCATGTGCGACAAAAACTATCATCACTCTCATGTGACGGCCTATCACTCACTGAGTCATAGCTGTGGTAAATGTAATATGGGCCTTTTTCTCTACGGTTAAGTCAGCCCCTGTTTGGCACCAACCCCCCAGCTTTGGTTCAAACATTTAAAATAACTGCATAGAAATGAGCGATCTTCATGATGATGTTCTGGTTTGCTTTAAGAACTTGAAAAGGGGCGCTGATGCACATTTCAGTTCTTTATAAAGCCACCAAAAAGTCCTCACAGTATCGTCAAAGCTGAGAAATTAGTCACTGATTTAGACCCTATGTTTAATTTGTAATAAATTTAACCTTTTGCGTTTGGTATTTACCATCCCACATAATTCCTTCTTCAATGATTTTGAGATGTGTCAGAAAAAAGTTGACTCACAAAACCGACTTTGCAACGTGCAATTTCTTTTTTAGACATAAAGATAAACAAGATCAGACCGTGTGTGTTTGTGCTCCTACCTCGTGCTATCCTGAGGACCCTCATGATTCTGATGATAGTGGGATTTATGGGCAGGGCTGCGCTCATTTTCAGCTCCTCCAGGGTAATGCCCATGATGGACAGAGCCACTATGGCTATATCCAGCTGATTCCACCTGGACACACAAATAAACATGTTTCAGTTCATGTCAAAACAGGATTTTTTGGTATGTAAATCATTAAAGCTGTCTGCATAAATTGAAAAACATTTAGTACACTGTATCAAATGCTTAAACTGAAAACAAATATTGTCCTTGGGGAAAATATTTGCAGATTTCAAAGTTGATGCCAGCAGCACAATTGCAAAAACAAGTTTGAAACACTGAGAGAGTTGTGTTGTTCCAAAAGTATGCCAAAAAAAGAAAATAAAAATGAGAGGAACATCCTCGGATTAATGTGGTTAATTTGCAACAGGTTAGTAACATAGCTGGATATCAAAGGGGATCTCAGAGAGGCCGAGTCTTTCAAAAGTAAAGGGGTCAGGAGAGAGAGATCACTCTGTGAGAGGCTGAAAAAGTTGAACAAGCTCAGATAATAAGATTGTGGAGGTTTTGTCATTTATAGACCTAAAGAAGAGGGGGAAATCAAAAGGGACAAAGTGATTCACCAACACTGGATAGCCGTGATCCTAAAGCCCAAAGTACAGCATTAAAAACAGACATAACTCTGTAGTAGAAATCTCTGCATGAGCTTGTAATTCATTTTAAAAAAACAGTATCTGTGCACACAATTGTTGCTGCATCCATAAAGACAGGTTTAAACTACTGTCTTACACCACACTACTGCCTAAATGTCTCGCACAAGTTTGTACATACTTTTTAATTTTTGTAATGTTTGTACATAGATAACAAAGTTTACCAGAGTCAAATTCCCTGTATGAACACATACTTATATATAAAAATAAGGCTGATTCTGTCACTGTAGCATACAAAGAGGAAACATGTACAGTTTTTTAAGTATTGGGATTAGGAATGTATTTTACACAAAATACTATCAGCACACTAATATACAGTTAATAAAATATCACATTTTACTGCTACTGCTTTACTGCTTCCAATTGAGCAAAAGATGGCTATTAGACATCTAGTAATATTTTTCCCATCTAGATTCTGTATATTTTTAGACAGAATTTAGACGTTGCACTTTAACCCATTATTCGATAACTATTTATTTCAAAAAGCAACTGTGAGTTGCATAAATGATCTCCAAGTAGCCAAAATAATTATGATAGCCGTTAAGCAATGTACAGTGTAGTATAGATATAGCCCAGATTTAGACTTGGTCTAAACTTGGTTTAAATTTAGACAACTAAAAAACTTTCATTTATCGACCCGTGGTAGCCTGTTTCTAGACCAGTCGTCTTGGCTACATTTAGACGTCTGTTAGACCTCTTTTAGACTAAAAAATGCTCAGTGAGGTTGTATTTACACTGACCTGTCTTTGAAGAACCTGTGGATGCCAAATGCTGCCAATTTCAGAAGAGCCTCGACAACGAAGATGCAGGTGAACACATAGTTGCAGTACTTAAGGACTTCCTCTAAGTACTAAACACACAAAAAGAAAAACACAGGCTTATGTCAAAACATTTACCAATGGCTATACAATATCTTAAAAAAAAAAAAAGTATTATACTATGTGTTTGTATGTGCAGGGCCATTACCTTGGGCTGATTGTAGTGCTCGATGCTCATGGTGAAGACATTGATGCAGATGATGAAGGTGATGAAGAGGTCCAGGTAATGGCTGGTACACAGTGTGTGGATGCTGAGGCGGATCGGGGAGTAGTCAGCGTAGTAAGGCCTCTGTTTGGCCTCTGCAGCGCACAAGACAACACGAGGAGAGACAGACACAAACACACAGACAGTCAGACTCAGACAGAAGGTGAAAGACTTAACTCTGAAATTAAAACACAGTGGTGCGCACAGGGAGTTGCAGCGGCTAAAAAAGGGAGCCCGTTGTGTCTGTTTCTCTTTGACTGTAAAAAAAAAAGAAGCTATTTTTCAACAAACATGATGACAACTATGACTCTGTTGTGAAAGAGCACTAACTATAACTAAAATCCCTGTGGTATTACCCTTTTTAGCCCTGCAAACAGACTGTGCACACTGCTGTCTTTGTAATGTGGTCTAATAATAGCGGACATGAGAGTCACAGGTATTCTTATCTCACTTATCAACCAAAAGGCTGAAGTTCTCTGGCTTAACAATGACAGTTTTGGACACACATGACAACTTCTCCTCACTAAGAAATTCCAGTCACCTGGGAGATCATTAAGCTGTACCCAACGACAACCTAATGGGACATTTTTTGATATTTCTAAGTAGTTTTTGTAAGTTACTTGTGAAAAGAAAGTGTATTATCCACAGCAGATGGTAATCAGAAAGCCAGTTGGAGTACCAACACAGGAGCCAAGCACAAAAGCTGTAGATGGGTCTGTAGCTAAACCGATCAGCACCTCCAGCGTTATAAAAATGGAGTTGATGTGAGGGTGCAGCTCCTCCGATGCCCACTTGGGGCAAGCATCAAAAGTGAAGTAAACCTCATTTGGCTCTATGTTTAAAAGTTTATGCCAACTGTACATGGCGTGAATTTACTCTTTTTGAACACATTCAGGAGCTCAGACATTGAGAAGACGTTTAGAGTACAGCTCCTGCTTCTCCACATCAAAAGGAGTCTGCTAAGGTGGTTTGGACATTTGATAAGTATGCCTCCTGGATGCCTCCCTTTGGAGGTGAGCCAGGCACGGTCAGCCAGCCTCGGGGTAGGCTCAGAGATTGCTGGAGGCAGCTGCGGATTGTATATTGCATCTGACCTAGGAACACCTCGAAATCCCACAGGAGGAGCAAGAAAATGTTTCTGGGAAGAGGGAGGTATGGGTCAACTTTCTCTGACTGCCTCTCTGGGACCGGAGAAAATGGATGGATGGGTTTGTAAAGGTGACAACTAATACGAGAAATTCAAATACACAGTTGAGCTGCCTGAAAGCAATGTAACTTTGTTTGAGGGGAAAAAAAAGGTTTACAGCATCATAAAGATCACTTGAAAAATGTTGTTTGGATTCAGTCTGAGCATGACCAAAAACAGCCAATCTAAGGTGAAGCACTGATAATAACCAAAATGTAACGTAAACTTCCACTGAAAACCTCTTCCACAGCAGTGCAAAGCTTGGCTTCTGTGTTCGTCCTCACTCTATTTTCTCATCTATCACCCTCAATGCCCTCCAGCCGCCCTAAAACTGTATTAAACCGACAAGAGTACTTTATTCAATGTGTGCATCTTCTAAGTTTACAATAATTTAATTCCTGCATTTTATGCTGACCACAAAGGAAGGCCAAGTCTACTCAAAGAAGGGCAACACACTTAACTTTTTAAGGCGTGTCGTTACTATAGGAAGCTTTACCGCCTATGAATAATAATGATACTTCAAGTGCAGCCATTATCCTAAACATGTCCAACCCTGTTTGTTGATTGACTGTGTACTCACATGTCCATATACATATATATATGATGGTTATAAATTGCATATGTGTAAGTGCGTGCATTTTTAAGACACCCCTGTTAAGTACACCATGCCCTGTCTATCCACTGCATGCCTTCATGCCTCTGCTGTAATGACTATGGTTAAGAGGGGGCTGCGCAGGGTATGTTCAACATCATATATTTGCACAAGATGGTAGTTAATGGGTTTCTGAGAGAGACTTTTCCCAAGGGAGAACCCAAAAGTTTTCCATTTTTTTCAGATATCTAAGTGTAGGGTCAATAAAGCACATCGATTCAGCCATGGCTTTGAACTTATACCAATTTGTTTCCTTACAATTTGACAGATTCAAATCTATCTCTTCATGCACTGTGATGTTGAACACACTGGAGCCACTACACTTGTTTCCCATTAGAGAAATCTCAGTGGTCTAAAACTTCTTTCATTGCTTTTGTTTCTCTTGTTTTATCCTTGTCATTGACACGTTTCATGACCAAACATCTTTTAAAGACGGTTGATTAGAAAACATTACTCTGGACTGACTTACGGCAGTTTTAGACCAGTGAGACTTGTAAGTAAAAGTACTAGAAAAGACAGGATCTCTGCTCACACCACTAACTGTATTCTTGTATAATTGCCAACACTAAACCTTCATCTTTTCTCTTTGTGATGTAACAGTGTCTTTCAAGAGAGTTGAAAACCTCTATGTATCAAAAGGCGATTCAAGTCAGTGAGATGAAAAAAGCGCTATCTGTGTTTGACGTCTGTATTTGACATCAGTGTGTCTCTCATGTCTGTAAGGGGTGTCGAGGTATAGACAAACAAGGCAACAGCAAGTGAGAAATTGGGATTATGTATGCGCTGCTATGTCAGTGTATTTGCTAGCCATTTTAGCATTATCATTATTATTATGGTGATATAAGATTGACACCCACTACTGATAAATAATTGTATCATCTTGCATAGTGTCATGAGTAGTGTCTCAGCACCTGCTCTGCAGGTAACAGAAAGAGAGACATTACAAAGTTAGGACACTATAGTGCAAAAACACTGAAAATGTTATCCTGTTGATTGATCTATCCACTATTTTCTTCTAATTCTGGATCTTTCTTTTGGTTGCATTACTTTTTGCATAACTGAAAAGAAAGCATGTTGATTATAAAAACAGGAAAAAGTCATCTCTATATCAGAAAGCAATTTCAACTTCACAAAGTTGACATAGTACTTTGTATTGTATATCTTATCCAATCGCATTTTATTGCATTGAGTATCATAATGTTGTATCGTAGCTAACACATCGTAACTATCATATCATAGCTAACGTATCATAAGTAACATATCGTATTACATCATATCATATTGTATCGTTTTTCTACCATTATATAGTATCAAATTATATCATATATAGAATCATATTGTAACCATTCTACTGTATCATATTGTGTCATATCTTATAATATAGCCTATCAACTATCATTTCGTGACTATTTTGGTCAGGTATTGTGTTTTATTGTCATTTATCATATTGTTTCATTTGTATCATAATGTATCATGTAGCATCCACATGGTATCGTACTATGTCATATCCTTGTTAACCAGGTTGTGTTATAATTTGTTGTATCATGTACTGTATGATACACTTGTATGATACCATATCATAATATCATGTCATATCACATCATACCATGTTGTGTTGTTTAGTATGTCCTATCTTTTCATAACATGTGCCATTGTTATTATATATTACCCTGTTGTAACATACCTTGCTGTGCAGTATCATATCTTATTGTAATGCATTTTATTGTGTTGTATCATATTGCTTTGGGTCGTATTATATCATGCCTTATCATATCATATATTGTCTTATCATATTACATGATATTATATTGTATTGTACAGCATCTTATCCTAACCTTTTGTGTTGTTCCAATATTGTTTTGTTATGCCACTGTCCCATTTCTCATTGCAGCGTATCCTGTCACATATCAAGTTGTACTATTTACTGTCATGCCATGCTATGTCATGTTGTGACACATTGTAACCTGCTGTGTCATCTTTTAATATCATTCATTACATCATATCTTAATATATTGTATCCTGTTGTTTTATGTTGAATTGTATCTTGTAGAACTTTATTGCAGTATTATAGAGTCAGTTCAGTATATTGTTACATCCCTGTCTCCTTAATAACAAAACACACTACAAAGAACAAGTCCTGACATAACACTTGTTTGCATTTGGACTTGTTCTTGCAATACCTGGTGTGTTTCTGACCAATCTGTTGACATGATTAGCATTTTCTTCAAGCTGTAAGAAAACTCCTTAACATTTTCTAACAGCTCTACAACTCAAAGGTCTTTGCAGGTATAGCAGCCAAAACGTCTGCTATGTTTCTGAGTCTGCCAGTCAAAGCATGTTGAACAGGAAAAGTCCTCCTCTTTGTCCACGTGTCGGGACGCCTCAGGCTCAGGGCTGCACATGCACTCAGGAGGGGAGAGGGGGCATTGGCATTTCACCGATCAGAATTTTGAAGGGTAGCATCAACCTGAATCAGCGTCACATGCAGGAATGGGGCTGCAAAGATTCTCTCTAACAACAATGTCATATTAAAAATCTGTTTTCTTTTCTTTCTTTAAGTTATAGGGGACAGGATTTAAGCCAGATTCCAGGAAAAGCTATAAAAGCACTGTTTTCATTTGTTTGTACTGAAGTTCTCCTTACAGTGAGCATCAAATTTGAGATATTTTTATGCAAATATTGGTTAGATTTGATTAGTTTTCATGCAGGTTAAGGGTAAGGGTTTGGGGGGGAATGTTGCATTCATGCAGTCACATGCATCGACTGGCATAGCCAACGCCTTCTGTCAGTGTTCAATCACTGTTTGCGGGAGCTAGCCAGTCTTTTAAACTCTCCCTCTTCTCTTTTTGTATTTTGTAGCCACATATTTATTTCCCTATTTTCTGTCTCTTTCATTCTCTTTCTCTCTTTTTCAGGCTCTGAAAGCAGGCAGTGCTCAGAAAAATAGACTACCGACCAGCCCCTCCATTCTCCTTACTCCTGCGCTTTTTCTCTATCATTTTAAGCCTCTTCTCCTCCCGTAGGCGCGCCTCTTCCTCCTCCTGGTCCTGCCGGCACTTGTGGAAGTTCTCCACCACAACGCCGACGAACATGTTGAGGACGAAGAAGCTGACGATGAGCAGGAAGGAGATGAAGTAGAGCAGCATCCAGGGGTTGTGGTTCCTTACGGGCTGAGAGGAAAACAGCAGAGGACGGCAGATTTAGCTTTTAAGTACATTTGGTTTTACATAAGGCTCCGTAAAATTTGAAAAAGTACCATGTTTTGATGTTCTTTTGACTTTGGGGAGCAGCAGAAATGCCACGTTGCCAGTTCAAAGCTTCGCACTATGCCAACACATCCTGTCCTTGCATACCCTTGGATAAATGATTTCTCTGAATGTTGCCACAAATAAAAGTTTGACTGCTCTGCTTTGAAATGTAACTGACTATTTCTGCACATTTCAGCACCCACAGTTGTGGATCTGAGGATGACGGGATCATCAGCTGGAGCTTTGAACTCACCTTTGAGCCTGGCTTTGAATCTGCCACAATGAAACATCTATCGTTTGACATTGCGTACGTTTATATCTGGCTAGTGACTTAGGGCTTTGTTGTGATGGGAGCACCAGGTGCCTTTCATTGACAGGTGGGAGGGAGTGTAGACCTGCATGAGGGACTGCAGGTAGGAAAGAGCTGATTTAGTTGCAGTATCAAAGGCAGAAAGTGGGGTTTTATAATTGAATTGGGTTGCTATTGGAAACCAGTGGAGAGAGATGAACAGTGGAATGACATATTGTTCTGGGTTGGTTGAAAATCAGACAGGCAGCTGCATTTTAGATCATCTACAGAGATTTGACTGTGCAGGCAGGAAGGCCTGCTAGTAAGGAGTAGCAGTACTCAATATTACAGGAGCCAGTATGAGGAGCTGTGGTGTCTGCTCTGGCAGGTATGAGTTTGGGGAATCAGTGGCATGGCTGACTTGATGGGCAGGCTGGCATACTGAAGCAACATGGCAACCGCTGTTGGTAAACAGTCAATGTACAGCACCTGAGACTGCTAAATTAGCTGTTTTTCACTGTAATCTAAAGGGAGTGTACAGTCAAAATAAACCTTTAAAACATAACTTTAAAAGTATGACTCTTGATCCCAGCTGCGCAGACTCGCTCGGCTGGTTCTTCACAACATTACCTGTTGGTCCACTCCCACTGCATCCAGACCGTCATACATGATATTGACCCAGCCATCCTTACAGGACAGCACAAACAAGGACATCAGAGCCTGGATGGGGAACACAAATGACAAAACACATAAATTTATTGACTGGAAAAAGATCATAATGCTAGAATTAACCTTTTACAATCCCATTAGAACAGGGTATAAAGTACAGGAGAATGAATTACATGTAAGGCCTGATTTCCCCTCACCAACAAAAGTAATCAAAGACCTGATGTTTTGATAATTTACAAGATTATCTAGCAAGATTTCCCAGAGTCTCATTCAACCTCCTGAAAAAAGGTTTTCTTCCTTTGTGTGCTCAAAAAAAAAGTCATGGCAACACTGATGACATATCCTACATTTTAAAGACACTTTGAAAAATTATAATTTTACTTTTTTTTTTGTCCTTTTTTTGTTGGGAATTGAAAAAAATAAGTGGATTGATGAGCAAAATCTGTGGCTTTGGTATCAATAAAATCTAATTGATTTCAATCTCCTTTAAGTTGTGACATTAGTCTGTGTCGCATTTTTAGTTTGAAAAAATGTGGAAGGCTGTGATGTATTGTGTCGAGATTTTAAACTTTTTTTCAGTGTTTTAGTCTGACTCTGCCTTAAAGAAAACACTTCAATCCCTTTTAATGACGGTTAATGAGAGGCTTTGAGTTTGTTGTTCTTGTTTTTGAAGCCTATATTTGGCTGTTGCTTCCCTCCCTCCCCCTCAGTCCACTCAGCCACACCTGAATCAGGTTGTCAAAGTTGTATTTCCTCCGTATCCAGCGGTAGTTGGCCTGCAGACAGTCGGACTTGTTGGTGACGTTTTTGGTGTCCAGACCTTCACAGTGGTAAAACTTTCCTTTGAAGAGCTGATAAGACAGAGACACAGCGGCAGATGAAAACGTCTGCAGGGTTATTTTCCAGCCATTTACACATTATCTTAATTGCACAGCAGCTTTCAGCATTTTCAGATCCAGCTATTAATTCCAGAAATAAAAAAGACATTTCATAGAGCACATCCTTATCTGAAATTTTGCCTTTGAGCTCTGCTAAAAGCTGGCCTGAGGTTCATGTTGTCCCTTTTCACACTTAACCTAATTGTCATTCAGGCACAAAAGCTTATTGTCTATTAGATATTCAAGACACTTCACCCTTTCAGCCACAATCACATCTGCAGCTGCACAAGCAGTCTGATATTTTTCGCCTGCAAAGGGCAGAACACTTTGTCTTTGAGATTAGAAAAAGTAGTATCCACGCTGCAGTGCGTGCTTTTCATCTTCATCTACAGACGTGTCTGTGTTGTGAAAGTTTGTGCGTGTTACTGTGTGTGAATGTAAACTACCTGAACCCCCAGAATGCCAAAGACAATAAAGAAGGCGCAGCAGATCAGCACAATGTTCCCGATGGGTCTAAGAGAGGTGATAAGAGTCTCTACAACCAACTTCAACCCTGGGGCCCTGCTGATCACCCTGGTAAACAAGAATAGAGACATGTGAATGTTTACAAAAACACTCGCGTCTACAGGCACATATTCAGCTGATAGAAATATTCGCATGTTTCCAGCGAGCGCAGAGCTTGATCACAAGCTTACAGCACATATGCCATACATGACCCAACACAAACACGAGTGTACCTCAGTGGGCGTAGTGTTCGTAGCAGGCGGAGGACTCTGAGGATGCCCAGGATTCTGTTTCCGCCAGAATACGCCAAAGACACCAGAATGTCGATCAGAGACACGAAGACCAGCAAACCGTCGAGGACGTTCCAGCTGGACTGGAGGTAAGTCTGATTCCCGAAGCAGAAACCGAGAGCTACAACCTGGTGAAAACAGATTTACGGGATTATCAAAACAACTCTGAAGCTGCGTAGTTTTGGGTTTTTAATGCTATAATCTGGTAAAAACAGCAATTTTACCTTCATGGCCATTTCTGCCAGGAAAATCACAGTGAAAACGTAGTTGGACACAGTCAAAAACACTCGCTCCTGGAAGAAGATAGCAGCAAAGAGACAAGGTCAAGAATAAGACAAATGAGCCCCTTTCAGACATGCACAAAAATCCCATCCTGCAAAGTTGTTCCCCCCGACTTCACCCAGAATATTTCAGTTAGCGAGTTACTTTATGATAGTCATCTTAGATTAAGTGGGTTAATATCAGGGGTCTCTGTCTGCTGTAGTTAATCTGACCAAAATACAGCTCAAAGTTTATCGAGTAAAAAATAAATGATTTGGTCTCTGTGGGATAGACGAGAAACATAACAACAAACAGTGCAGCGAGCAAGAGTGTGGGCTATGGTGTGTGTGTGTGTGTGTGTGTGTGTGTCTTACCGAGCTGTTGGACTGTATATCGGGTCTCTCCAGAGCAATGGTGATGCAGTTGAGGAAGATAAAAACCAGAACCACATGGTCGAACAATCTGTGAGAGATCACACTCTGGCACCACATCCGGCATCTACACAAACACACATATGCCCACACAGACACACACACACAGACATAAACACAGTTATCTGTAAAGGGTCTGTGAAAGCTATTGACCAAACAATTAGTCAGCAAGCAGTAAAAGAGAAGTAAAAAAACAGAGAGTAACTACAGATATAGGGTTAAGGCGATAAAAGAGGGACATGTCGATGGAGCCCACGGTCACTGGGGCCATTCGGAGTGATGTTCATATTCAATAATGTGTGTTTGTGTGAGACTCACGGGCTCTCAGGAGAGAACAAATACAGCGTCCAGTCTTCATGCTCTCTGCACCAGCGAGGTTTTAAGTTACGGAGCTCCTTTTTGATCCAGTAGCAAAAAGAACTCTGCGGAGGTGAGAGATGGACCGTGAAAATCAGCACCAACAACAAGCACGACCATTTGTAAGACATTCATCACTGTAGAGAAAAAAATGATAAACTTAATCAGCAGTTGGGATGTCTTTTTTTAATCATAGTTTTTAATAAAGTCTTTCAGATCATTATCACCCTAATCATGCTGTTAATGGATAAAGCTTCAAAAACCATGACTGCTGATTAATGGTGTTTAACTTTCAAACAAGAGTGAATTAGGGGTGTCCCGATACAACTTTTTACCTCCGATACGATACCGATATTGTAGCCTTTAGTTTTGTCTGATACCGATATTGATCTGTTATTAGCACAAACTTGTGCATGACAAGTTTTTCACTCAGCTGCAACGTCTTTTTCGGACTTAAATGAAAAACACTGCCACAGGGCCGACATCACTCCTACTCTTTGCTACTTTGTTACTATCTACGTACACACTGTTGTTGTGATCCCTTGGGCTCTACATGCCAGATCCAGGAGCTGCTAGATAGAGGTGCTGGATCTGAGTCTGGAATAGACTGCTTGTGTCAGAGTGCTGATATCGGAGATTACAGATGCAGGTCGTCATAATCCGATAATTGAGTTTTTGCTGATATCAGACCAATATCTGATCTGATCCGATCAATAACATATCAGGACACCCCTAGAGTAAATACATGATGGATAATAGTTGAATCATGTACTGGAGAGTTGTTATAACCAGATTGAATAGTAGCTAGCAAGATAATTAGCTAGCTAGCTAACTAGACAGATAGGTAGCCGGCTTAGTGAGACAGAATGGCAAAACCTTCGTACTGCTTGAATTATAGTACAGTTGTCAAGTTTCTATCGCACCAAACAGCAAACATAGAATAAAGAAATGTGTATTGTGCTTATGAGATGTTGTGCTGAAAAACAGGGCCTTAAATAGCAGGGAACAATGCCATCCACTTCAGACCAGGTTTTTTTCTTAATTTTGGTTAAAGGTGCAGCTAGTCTCTGTCTCTACGATGCAATGCACCTAAACTTAATTTCAGACTAAATGTGCATTGGCACTGAAACAAGCAAGTTCACAATGCAGGAGTCCATTTGTCAAGGCTTGAAATGTGTCAACTGTCTAAGTCAGAAAACAGCCCTGACTCCTGCTCAAGAAGTAGGAAAGATGCAGACTGTATGCTACCCTGATAAAAATTAAATCATAATAAAATCTAAGTTTTTACAATCTGTTGGTCCTCTCAGATTAAAATCCACAGGGGCAAAATAAAGCAGTGATTTTTCGCATAAATTGGGATGGGAATAATTGAACCACACAAGTGGACTTGAGCTTAGCTTGTGCACGAGCTAAATGGAGAGTCTAGTGAAGCTCATTAAAGTTTCTAATAAAACAAAAAAGCTTCGGTGCTCAGCCCCAGTTCATTCTAATTAAAAACAGCCCAAAGTCACCCTCTAAGAAGCTGCTTATTTGGCAAACTGCTGCTTGTGTGAGTGTATGTGCATCAAGGTGTGCAATCCCCAGCATGTGTATGGTAAAATGTGGGTGTGTGTAAACTAAATGGTAAGAACCTGTGGCTCGGATATTCTTGGAGGTGAAATCCATAATCACTGACATGGGCACGCATGCACAGAATCAAATGTCTCAGCTGGCATAGCAAGCACACACACGCCTCATTATACACAACCCCACGGTAGGATCTGGTTTAACCCTCCCACACCCAATCTGCAAAATAAAGGGCTTTTGTTTTAGTGGATTTCATGGGTTTAAAAACTCAATTTGGAGGCAAGGAAGCCGTCAACACGGTCACAACAGAGGTCACCCAAACCCACCTGGGAGTACATCTCGCTCCAGTTCACACACATACAAGTACAAACACAGTGACTATACATACGCATGTTTTTTTCTGCCCTCTGAGAAAACAGTTGCTCCCTGAGCTAATCAATTACAGCTTGACTATTAGTTTCCCTCGGGGTCTTGTAGTGTGAACACAAAACACGCACTACAATATCTCATAGTAACAGGGTGACAACAGGCAGAGAAAAAAAAACATTAGAGTGAGGGGAAAACTGGATAAAATGTGTAAACAGGGAGGAGAGTTAGGGCCTGACTCAAATGGTGGAATCATGGCATCAGGGTGTTGGTATGAATCAAACCATTCATGTCTATTCCCACTCATAATAAGAGACAGGTGCACCTGCATTTCTATGAGGCCATAGATTCCTAACCAATTATTGTTAAGGCTAAAGGAAGGTGCACATTCCTCTAGCACCAGAGCAGTATTGGTTCAAATGCATATGATGTTTATATTTCACTGATTGTCTGCAGGTGAGAGTGGACACACCTGAATTCTGTGAGGCTGTGATTAAAGCTGCAGGTAGCAGAGCATATACGATAAGTGAAATCAGCAGTCTGTGTGATGTGTGGCACATGAGATGTGAAGCTGTGAGGAGAGCCAGTTTGTTGGACTATTGTTTAATTTTTTTCTTCCTCTGCAGGGGATATTTTTGCAAAGTATTTCATTAATTTGACATTTTTTGTCTTATTTTGATGTGGCCTAATAAATGTTCTCCTCATTTTCGAGAATTCACATCTTGTTTGACATTTTTTCCTTCCACTCACACTACCTACCATCCAAGAATATAACATTGAGTCTACACAGTTTCCTCTCTTGCTTCTACTGTGCCTTTAAAAAAGCAGACAATCCAAGTTATACAATTGCAGAGATTAGTGTTAAACTCACTGAAACTATTCCTCTGAACAGCAGAAACAACAGTGACTCTCCACATTGACAGAAATACGTACACTTACGCTTTTGTGTTTGTAACAGATACTGTTTAGTCTCTAGTATCAGTTGCTGAAGCTGAAAGTTGATTGTGTTTAAAGTTTGCTGATAACTGGAGTTAAAAATACTCTTTAGACGCGTGTTTGGTTTTTTGGATGAATTCAGGAGTGTGCATGATGGAGAGTTAAGTTACAGTCTTGTCCTGGAGTATTTGGGCCTTTCAGGACTGAGGTGGTGCTAATGTGTGTGGGAACGGCCTTAACGGTATCCTAAATCTGGCATTATGAGATTGGCACCATGTTGTATAATGCTGCATGGAGAGAAGGGAAAAATGCTGGTGTCTCTGAAGCCTGTGTGCCATTCAACAGTTATTTACTGCTATGTGTCTCCATTGAAGGTAAAAATGGAGAGGATGTGCATTTGGACTCATACACCATCTTAAAGTACTGCACCAGGGGCTCCAGACTTCGGACTAAGGCTGTCCTGTTATACAAGCTGAAAATTACTATGTTTTTAAAAAAACAAAAACATTGCTGTCTTGCTAAAATAATCGTACAGTCATACCGTGAGCTATTAGCAGCAGTCCTTTACATTAGTTGGTGTATATCATAAATTGGGGAATGAAGAAGAAGCAGCTGCTGCTATCGAGCTGGCTTGAAGCGCCTCTTTTTTTCGGATAACTAATCAATCAAACGTTTATGCTTTCTGACTGTTCTTTGAATCGTTTTCATTCGGATCTGTAACTTAAGGTCTGTAGGAAGCAGCCAATCCTTCAAAATAAAAGCATAGTTTTACCATGAGGGAAATAAAGCTACCTGAACACAGGACAGAAAACAAAATAAAAGCATAACAAACAATCGTTCACGAGGTAATGTCCTCTCCAAACAAGCTGCAGACGTATGACGATGATAAACTACATTACAGATGAAGGTTATGCAGTGATGTGTTGCTCTTTCATCGTCCTGCCTTGACCTTATTTGTTTGATTGTGTTGCTTTATGTTCAGTTTTTTGCCATAATATCATGATGATATTCATGATATTTTAGAGCTGTGAATCTGATACTGTGCAGCCCTATAAGCGAGTAAGCGCACTTGCTGTCTGCACAATGTGTGTGCTAGGTGTAAAGGAGACTTGTGTCTGTTTGAAATACCATCGACACTTGTGCTGCATGAAAGTTTTGCAGAGCCCTCAGAGTCAAGTTTGAGTTAATGGGAGATTTATGAAGTAGGCTGGTGTATTTAATCTTACAATATTGAACAGCTGATGACACAAGCCGAGATGAAATCATTACAGAGACCTTTAAAAAGTGATCGAGGAGCTAACCCCAGCTTGTCTCGTTGTTCTTTTCAGGTTATGACTCATGAAAACTTACGTCATCGTCTAAGTCATCATCAGGCGATGAGTCGTCCTTCGACTCTGTGCTCAAGTGGGGGTCATAGGTCAGGGTCCTCCCATTACAGTCACCATATTCCGCGATTATGGCGGGGCAGAGCGTCGAAGCCTGCAGCAGCTCCAAATGCTCCATCTGGAGTCTGTTGCTCCCACTGCCACCGCCGCCACCGCCACCAGCCTCCCCTTTGTCCTCCCCGCCATCTTCCTCCTCTCCTCCCTCCCCGGACAGCAAGCTCTCCCTCTCCCCGCTGGTGTCTCGCCTTTTGAGGCTCGGTGCCCTCCCCAGGCTGTTCCAGCTTGAGCGTCTGCTTCCCCATGAGCGGGGAGGGAGAGGGGAGCGCCGCCCAGGACTTGAGAGGCTCTGTGAATACAAGAAGGAAGAAAACAGGCATTGGAAAGTGTCTCTGGGTTCAGGTGGAGGCAGGAGTTTCTGCAGCTGGATGCTGTAATGTTCATTTTTCATCTCCAGCTGTTCTCATGCTGTTAACTGGCCTACCAGATTTAAATTTGCCAACTGCTCAACTTTTCCAACATGTCAACTTCAAAGGATTTTTCTCTCTCCCCTGAGCAAACACTAAGTAATTACTGTCTCCATCATTTTTCATCATTTGTTTCATCCACATTTTGTTGAATAAGTCACTCTCTGCCTCCCCTATCTTGGTTGCTGCCAACTAAGGTTTAATTTTAATGTCAGAAAATATGATGTTAATGATTAACGAGCAAAAGACAATTCAAGATGTGCTCCTGTACTCTGAGATAAGAGAATAAAATTAAACATCCTGTATTGCGGTAAAGTTGATTGATTTCTAAAAACACTGAAAGCCTGTGATAAACTTCAGTGTTCTCTCGTGGGACATGACTCATGGCTTCTTCAGGCCTTTCATTTCTATCCATTAGGGACCATTCGCCAAGTTCCCATGACGGCCATTTTTCTCTGACGTCATTCCAGAAGCTCAGGTGCTTTTTCAATGTTTAAATCACATCCTCTGAATCACATAGATAAAGCAAATATGACTCATTCTCTTTTCAGTTTCCGAGTGATGTAGAACTGAAAAGACAATGGCGAACAAAAATCTGGAGCATATCTGGCTATATTTTGGGCTGTAAAGACAAATCGGATGACTGGTCCTCTAGTTAGACAGCAGCTGATGTTACCATTCAACTACTTCCTCACTCTCAATTAGAGCGCTTTCATAAACTCCAAGCTAATGTGTTGATAGCTATTTAAAGCTATTCTCTCTTATTTGACACTAATATTAACCTAATGAAATTAAAAATAAACAAATGATAGTCCAGCTAAGTCTTTAAAAAATTGCTGTTAGCTAGTGATGTTACGAGATGTGCCGAGGCTTCGAAGCATGTGTCAAGTAATGAAGGGGGAGTTTCCGTGAAGCGCGTATCGAGGCTTGCTTCATGTAGGAGGGGAGCCAAAAATGATGACGTCCGAAGCCTCGCTAACCTGCTGCACCACGTGAATGATTCAAGAAACGGTTTGCAGGTTTGGCGGATGATTCAACAGGCAGCGAGACTTGTTAAAAGGTTGTTATTAAATAAAAATAAATGAAATGTTTATGTTTTATATGTTGTCCCCATAACAAAAGTACGAACAACAAACTACAATGTTAGCTATGAATTGAAGTCTGCACAATGATATCATGTAACTCTATCAAATAGAAATGCAAGCTAGTTACTAGTGTTACTAAGTTACTAACTATACATGATTTTTTAAAATTTTGATTACCTGTTGTTTTGAAGATATTATGGCTACATGTTACACATACTGTAATTGGGGGCGTAGCTGGTTTAACTGACAGGTGAGTACATTGTAGCTGTTAGCCATGAAGCTAAAGGCCCTCCTAACTCCAATTCTGCCAAAATTTCAGTTGAGTCAGTATTTCCAATATGGTAACTTCCATTGTTGAGCCTAAAACCTTGAGTTTTTGTCCACGTGTATACAGCTATACTTTTGAAAGATTTCCTTTGTTTAAAAAAAAAAATCCACTAAATAGAATCTACACAAGAAGTTTCAGAAATATTAAATATTAGAGACCTAAAACTCTGTTTACATATGGACAAGCAAAGAAATAAAACAATATTTTGACAAAAATCAACAGATTTGTGAGTAAAGTCTTGGACTACATCAATGTTTCATATTTTTTACTATTTGTATTTCACATAAAAAGCAGGAGAAGGCAGTCAGTAGTTACTAAATGCTAATGTTAACTGTTGGTGAATATTTCAATGGCCACTGTCAGTTCAGTTTGTTCGGGTAAATTTGGGAATTTTTCGCAAACACTTTGACTTTTGCTGCAGTTTCAGTCTTGTTTTATACCTTAAAAACTAAAAAATGCTCACAGGAACTGTAATCCATGAAGTTTAATTTTACATTGTTTTCACATTTAAAGCTCCCCTGTGGATAAAGCAGACTTTGCTTATCCTGTACACTATGAAGTCTTCTGTGACAAAAAAAATTCATCATTCTGACAGTCAAAATTATTATCTATTGTGATTACTTTATGTGTAAATCATACAATAGCGCTGTTTCTTAAGCTGCTCAGCGGACACAAAACCCATTGCAGCAATTTTAGGTGTTAGGGTATAAAAGTTATGGATCATGTCTCTAATTGTTTTGTTTGCTTTTGTAAACCATAAAAAAGTACAATACAAATTTAAGTGCATTTAATAAACATCAAAAACTCCTCACAGAAGTTTTAACAGGCAGTATTTTTCAGTGTAGTGACATTAATGTTAGATGTAAAATGTCCCAAATCTTGGAAAACATTTTCTAAAAATCTATATCGCGCTTTAAACTAGTAAATGTTTGTTTTTGTTGTTACTAACCAGAGAGCGCTGATCGTAGGCTACAGGGTCAATGGATGTAGAGCTTCCACGACGAGACTCTGGATGACTAAGTCCTGCCTCAGTGAAGCCTAGTCCCACCTCGCCGTATTGAGGCACCCCCATAAGTTCATCACCGAGGATTGAATCGGGTCCCAGGGAACCTTTAGGAGTGGGCATTGGCGTGGCTGCTGTGCGCATGATTATGGGAGGAGCCATTGCGCCGCGTGGATCCACATGACCGTTGGCTGTCATCATCAGGGAGTACATTTTCAGCTCTGATGAAGAGACGGAGGAGAGGAAGAGGAAATGGCAGAAATCAGAGTCATGTCATTCATCAATTTTATTTAGTCATGATACAAGCAGAACAGGAAATAAAACGGCACGATTTGATTGTTGTGAATGTTTTCAGCAATGTGACCCACCAGTGTCCCTGAGCTGCTCCACCTTCTCATCCTCCTCAAAGTTGTCAGATTTCTTCTCATCATCTGACTCCGACCGATTAGCATCACCCTAAAAAAAACACGCAATCAGTCAGCTTTTTATTTTTTACCGTAATATCACTCAAATGACATGTTCTGGCTTTCCTAATCAAGACACATAGAAACATGGTGCATTCAGTACTCGGAGGATATTTTGTCAGCTGGAATCTCACTGTGCTCCTTGACACTCATAATAACAGTGTTTAATTGTGAAGGACTGATGATTTGAAATGATCAGTGTGTGTATCTCAGACTGATTGTGATCTTCTGCCTTTTATCCTCTTTTAAAGGCAGCTGTGCCTCACATGATGTGACAGTTTTGTAATTGAGCGTCTGAATCTGCAGCCTTCAGATGGCTCCACTGGGAGATAATTAACATCGAGAGGAGGCTCTTGTATGTACAGCACTCACACTGCTGGGCTTTAAAGAGCCTTGTATGAATAGTTCGAGTGCATCAGTACCTTGTAAGACCATTAAAAAATCATGGACATAAGGTGCGATAGAAATGGGCGAGATAAAGATGAATCGTGATGTCCTTATTAAACAGCCTTTAAATTCCCTAGTCCTACATTATTACCTCTCTTCGGTTTGCAGCTGTTGTTTCCCATATATGTCATCTGGGGCGCTTGCAAAATTATGATTTACTGATGCAGTACTAACATCCAAAACTAGTTAAACTAGGGGTTGATTTCTCTCTCTCTCTCTGTTCTCTGTGTGCGCACAGTGTTCAGGGCTTGGCATTCAGGTTGAAAGCTTATGTTTCTCTAATGTTAATGCCTCGTCTCCATGTGTAAAAAGAGCATGTATAATCTCACCAGAGTAATGCACAACCATGTGATAAACACTTAATAAGGATGTCAGATCAAGCCTGAAATAGTTATAACATTATAAACACAAATAAAAAATAAAAGCAAAATTTCATTTTCTTAAATATATGCTAAAATAAAAATTGGCTTTCCAAATGGGTTCTCCTATGTCTTAGTGATCCAAGGGGAGTGAAATAAAAACTGTTCATGTAGCAGATCTTTACATTTGGGGCGGCAGTAGCTCAGGAAGTAGAGCGGTTGTCCAACAACTGGAAGGTTGGCGGTTTGATTCCCACCTATCCCTAGTCCATTGTGTTCTTGGGCAAGACACTTAACCAACCTTGCTCCCAGTGTGTGTCCTCCACTGGTGTATGATTGCGAGTGTTGTGTGGTGGTGGTCGGAGAGGCCGTAGATGCAAGCTGGCAGCCATGTTTTCATCAGTCTGCCCGAGGCAGCTGTGATTATTCAGGTAGTTTACCACCACCACGGTGTTACTGTGTGAGCGAATGAATGATGTATCCAATGTAAAGCGCTTTGAGGGTCTCTAATAAAGTGCTATATGAAATCTGATGTATTATTATCATTATTATTTGTTTTTTTCTGCAAGAAAAGAGCGACTGAGAGGACTATTTCACAATCTCTGGCCATCCAGGGGAGCAATATGATTGTCTTGACAGTCAGTGAGTGTGTAAATAAATACAAGTCCATAAATACAGAAGAAAAACTAAATAGAATTTATCAAGTATGTATTTAAAACACTATAAACTGCTATAATCAATAATCCAAAAAGAAAAATTTGGGATTATGAAAAGTAATCTTGTCTTTTTCATCTGACACTTACCTTACAGCCAAAAAATACTGCAATAACAGACCCTCATGTGAGGATCTTCGAGTACTCTGGGTTGATTCTAGATAATGCTTTAAAAGTTACCGTTAAGATTTTCGATATTATGGCAGTATTGGCAAAATAAAGGCATCACAAATTGCTTGTTTTATTCTGCAGCTGTTTCCCTAGAGCAGGAGTGGTGCTGTCATCGTCAAAGGAGAGCCACTTCAAAGCTCAAGTACAACAAGAAAGCGCCTCATTTCTGAGAAAACACTTTAGGCTTGAGGTTTGGTAGCTGCACGTGGAATGGCCTGACAGAAACTGAAGGTAAACAACCATTAAAGTATAAGTTTTTATATCTCTATTTGGTATAAGTGTTATCAATTTGTGCTTTTATCCTTTTATGTAATGACATTTGACAGAAACTGGAAGAAAAATACACAGTAGAGGGTATGGGAGCACAGATCTGAACAGCAGAGAAAAACTCTGCCGCTGTTATTTCACATCCTTATAAAAAAAACTTGTTCTTCTCACCTCAGCTTGGAAGCCTTCAACCAAGATGGCCACCAGCAAATTGAAGAGCACGTAGTTGCCAAATGTCATGAGAGCGACAAAGTAAAGAGCAGCCCATGGAGAGGTGGAGGCCATGCCGTTATACAACACTACATTCCAGTCCTCCTGGGTAAGAATCTGCAGAATGAAGGAAACACAGACAGAGAGTTTCGGCATAAATAAGGAAGCAGTGGAGGGGAAGAGATGGATGGGAGCAAAAATAGACGCAGACAGAGGGAAGATCGGGTTGAGGGTTGTATAATTTGAGAAGAAGAAAGGAAAATAAGGACACACCCACATCAAACAGGGTGTAAACAGAAGGAAAACGTCCATAGATTAGAAGAGAAACAGCAAGGCAGAGCAATAAATCACCCCTTATTATACACAATATTAGCCGAAACAGCTCTTATGGGTTCTATAGGCTTTATAAAAGCCAGAATTGAGCTGCTTTTATTGCTACTGTGCCGCAATACTTCAGTTACACATGGGATTACTATAAGTTTGAGTGGGCATGTGTGTGTGTGTGTGTGTGTGTGTGTGTGTGTGCGTGCGTGTGTGTGTCTAAATCAATGTGAATGATGAAAGCCTTTAAAAGTAGGACGCTGTTCATGATGCAGCATGAAAGCTCACTCCGTCTCTGCCCACTCAAACAGCGCCGTGGCAGGAAGGCAATCCACCCTGCTGTCTGTGTGAATGTGTGTAAGCAAGCATACACACACGGACACACACACACCTATACACTGAAGTGAGATACTGAACTGCCTTCTTCTATGTTCTACCTTTCTGCTGACGCATCTGGTATAGCAAAAGAGGACAATCTTGCTGGATAGATTGAACAATATCAAAAACAGTTTTCGGTGGAATGTGAGCATAAGCAGAATTTTTTTATTTCACAGCGTCTGACTGATGAGTCCAAACACAGGCGGACACTCTCAGTTTATTTCTAAGAGGCAGGGGTGTGTCACAAAGGGGGCTTGGGGTTCCCTGAACAGCACAAATCCTTATTCTTCCATAGAAACTCACTCTACATTTCAACATGGCTTGTTTTCTCTTGCAGATATCTTTGAAAGTGACTCTTTAAAACACGTCAACGCTAGTTATTGTTCGAACAGACAAACCCAAAGTAAGTAAAACTTGCACTCCTCTTGGTTAACTCATTTAGTGCCATTGACGGATTTTGACATATTTTTCAGTTTTTTTTTGTTTTCTGCCAGAGGGCGCTCTTCCCCAGCATGCGACTAAGTTTGGGGTTGTTCTGAATGCAGCAAAGCCGAAAAATTCGTAATAACCATGTTACAATAACAAAAACAAGTACTCGCCAATGAGAAGTGTGCTATCAAGTGTGCCAGTTAGCCTAGTTGTGGAAAGTTTTTTCTCCACAAGTAGGAAAATGCCGAAGTCATTAGCCAAGAGCAACGGTCTCGCTCCCATTGGCGTGGTGCAACTGTCTCTGGATCCAGTGAAGATTCCAGTACCAGACACTCACATTGTCAGCAGACAATCAAACAAACAATTTCCTAGCGTATCGTTGTGCCGCCGGTACCGGTGGTGCCGGTGAGCAAGACAGTCCCGGGAGGAGGACGCGAGCCAGTACGACTCCCAGCTGTCACAAAGTGACCTATCACAATTGGATCTTGAGAGTAATGAGGAGTAATGTCCAAGGAAGGAGGACCTTGATGCCACCGGTAAAGTAGTAGAAATGAAATAGACTATCAGAGTTTTTTCCAGGTTTCTTTTTCCAGATCGGCAAAGATGATATGACCACGCTGCATTGAGCAGGTAATAACTAAACACAGGATTGGGTTAGAGACTAACTTTTCTTCTGGTGAAAGGAGAGAATCACCCCTCTTTTTTGAGATATTGCACTTAAATCTAGACAAGCACAAGATATTCTGTGGGCCCTGAAAGATATGGAAATTTCTTTTGCATTCAATGGAGGCACTGGATGAAAATTGCATAAATGAACCTGGCACTGAATGAGTTAATTTACCACCATTTTCTTGAAATGCATGAACTCTTCAAAAGAGGTGGAAACTATACTAGTTTCTTTTGCCACTTTGCGCAACGAAGTCTTTTAATGTGACACTTTAAAGTGAAAAGATTTACTGCAACATCTGGAATAAAAGAGATATCTTTTGATTCAGACCCTACAAACTCCAAAACAACACACTTAAGCGAGTAAATAACACAACTGACCTGGAACACAGTCACAATGGCCCACAGTAGAGAGTCAAAGTTCTTGCGGTCTGGGATGGTGTCTCCATTCTCAGTGCGTAGACCAAATTTACAGCCAAACAGGTGCATCCCCAGAATACTGCAGGAAAGAAGACAAATTTGCAAAACACATTCCTCTGATGGTTTAATCAATACAATGACAGAACAAACTAGGATGTGTGCTGTGTTGTTTGTGTACCTGAAGGTGAAGATGAAAAGCATCAGCAGCATGCAGAATGTGGCCACATTGTCCATGGTCTTCATGAGCACCACCAGCTGTCTCCTCAGGGCCGGCAGGAAGCGAACCAGCTTCAAAACCCGCAGCAGGCGAAACGTTCGCAGGACTGACAACCCGCCGTCTGCCTGACCGATTATCTCCCACACACTGAGGACCACAACCACACACATTTCTATTATAACACCAACACTTTCAGATTACCTGCGTTCAAATAAGCCCTATAAGTTATTTTCAGTCTTGCAGTTTCATTTCAATAAATCAGAGGGAAGTTTAAACATATTTCCTCTTATGTTGCACAATCAGCCTAACAGCTCATATTAAAAAAAAGTCCCCTCCTGCAATATGGTTTCTATCACATTAATGGACAGCCAAGCAGCAAATCTCAGCCTCTGACAGGATGGAGAATCTGCTGCTGCAGCAAGCAAAGCTGCTTCAGTGTGATCCATCATGGGAGTGTCAATCTGAGCTGTTGTAAAGATGGATGCTGCAGCAGTGAACCTGACACTGGAAGTCCAATGACTGACAGGATGAAGAAAATATAAGGGGCAGGGGGTGGCTCCTGTAAATCCAAGCTTAGCAGCTGTATAAGTGAAATCCAGGAGGGTATATGTCAAATATACACCAGGCTGTATGGATTGAAATTACCTTATTATCACGATGATGCTGTCAAATATGTTGTAGGGGTTCCTGATGTATCCAAACAAGCCAAAGGCCAGCAGCATGAAGCCCATCTCCAAAACAAACATGCTGGTGAAGACGATGTTACTGATCTCCAAAACATCTGTCAGCTCCTCAGGCTGGAGGGGAAAAACAAGAGGGAGACAGAGCCAGATCAAGATCAAGATCATGGAGAGTGTAAAATGGGAAGAAATTTAGGAAAGAGAGTGAAGAAGAGAGAGAGAGAAAAGGTAAGGAAATGCATTCAAGTGCAAAAAATAGAAGGAAGAAAGAAAGAATATAAAAGGGAAAATGAAGAAAAGGTGGTAAGAATGGGGGAAAAGAAAGTAGGAAAGAAAGAAAGAAAGAAAGAAAGAAAGAAAGAAAGAAAGAAAGAAAGAAAGAAAGAAAGAAAAAAAAGGAAGAAAGAAAACAAAGAAAGAAAGAAAGAAAGAAAGAAAGAAAAAAGAAAGAAAGAAAGAAAGAAAGATAGACAGTAAGAAAGAAAGAAAGAAAGAAAAAAGACAGAAAGAAAGACAGAAAGAGAAAAAGAAAGAAGGTAAAAGGGAAAGAAAGAAAGAAAGACAGAAGGAAAAAAGAAAGAAAGAGAAAAAAGTAAAAGGGATAAAAATAAAGAAAAAAGAAAGAAAGAAAGAAAGAAAAAGGAAGAAAGAAAGAAAACAAAGAAAGAAATAAAGGAAAGGAGAGAAAGAAAGAAAGGCAGAAAGAAAAGACAGTAAGAGAGAAAGAAAGAGGGGATAGGGAAAGGGAAAGAGAGACGGACAGAGTGAGTTCATATTCCTACTCTGTTACCCTGGGGTTGTAAAAACCCTCTTCAGTCTCAGTGCCCTGGGCTGCTGCGACATTATAAATCAAACTCAGAGCTGCAGTCAGACCTAATCAATCAAATGGGAACAACAGCGGCGATCCATCAGAGCAGATCCCCTCCACTTACCTCACAGTACGATCAGTGATCCAGCACAGAGTAACTGAAGGGGGCCTCTCATAAAACAATCCAGCTAAAGCGTTTATGGAGAGCGCAGCAGTTTTGTGCTCTGCAAATTGCATTAGAGGGCCGAGTCCTCAACTTCTCTCGAGAAAGTGGACTTTTTATCCACCTACAGCTTTAAGACCTGCTATCTCATGCATTTCACTGTTTATTACCTGACCTAGTCAACCAAAGCATCAAATAGCCCATACTGGATTTAACACAGCATCAGTGGGTCCTGCTGATTAAGCAATTGAGCAGCATTAATAAATCCAGAGCTGGTGTTTGTGTCTGAAATATCAGTCTGCAGTTTCAGCTTCCCATTGCTCACTAAGTGGAGGTAGAGTCGGAGAGACTGAGTCCATCCCTTTGATGTGATTTAACCAGATATGTTTTTTTTTTTTTTTAAGTTTTATCCACTTAAAAGTGACCAGTTTGTTCCTCTAAATTTGTGCCATTCTGTCTTGTAAAACTTACAAAGACTCATGAACTTTTAAGCAGCTCTTTTCCAGACAGTTATATAATAATGTTGTTAAAAAATTTAACCTTCAGGTTACTTTGTACCAAGAGATTTTACTTTGGATGGATTACTTTTAAAACAAAAGGCTCACAGCCAAACTGGTGCCCTGGTTTATGTTGTTTAAAACCAGCCAGATCACATCCTGAACTTAATACTAACATGACAAATGTGTGAAAATATCAATCAATAAAACTTTTAATGTGCTGCTGCTGCTGCTGAGACTCCAGTCTGCAGCCTCCCACCTGCAGAGTGAAGACTGTGTTTACTGTGAGTTTACTGTTGGTGACAACAAGCCAATACTGTGTATGAATGTGATGGATCAAGCTGGACTGTAAAATAAACATATAAGGGTCTCAAAATAGTACAATTGAGGATTAGTGCCAATACGAAAAAGTTTAATAAAAAGAAATAAAGTTAAAAATGGTTTTTAACTCAAACTTTCTTCACATAATTTGGACTTTTCTTGTAGAATTCTGTAATTAAAGTCAAAATTCTGACTTTATTTTCTTAGAAATCTGAGATATAAGTAGGAATTCTGACTTTTTTTCAGAATTTGGACTTTTCTCAAAATTCAGGCTTTTCATTCTCAGGATTTTGTAATTCAACATAAAATTCTAACTTTTTTGGGGGGAATTTCAGATGACTATCAGATTTCTTACCACAGTCTTGGAATTATAGCTTTAATCTTTAAATCCTACAGAAAAAAGTCAGAATTCTGCGAATGGAGTCAAAATATTTCTGCTTTTTACAACATGCTATCTTCAAATTTGTAGTTTGGACTTTTATTCTGAAATTTCAAAGAGAGAAAAAAAAGCATAATTCTGACTTTTCTTCTCTTTGTTTTGTATGTAAAGTCAAATTGATGTCTTTATTCCTTGAAATTGTGAGATTAAAATCAAAATTCAGACTTTTCAGAGATTAAAGTAAGAATTATTTTCTTAGGATCCTAAAAAACTGATAGTTCTCACATTTTTCTTGGATTACTCAGGAGAAAAGTCAAAATTCTCAACTGAGCCTTCATTATACTTATGCTCACTGATAGAAGGCGCCATATGACACTTGTCCGTTCACTTATCTCCATGCAAACAGTAAGAAAAACACTTCATTTCTGTAGAGTTGTAACCATCTGTCGTTACTTTAGTCAGAGTATCTTTGGCTGACACTTGAACAACCCAGTTACATATTTTAGGACTTCAAGAAAGGCCATTCTCCATGCTTTTTAACTGTTAATGCCTGAAATAAAACTTTTTTTTAAAGCAGAATTTGATTAATTATAGATTATCTTTCATGGTTTGTAATACTTCTTTCCCCACTGGAAAGATGAATTTCACTGGAACATTGATTTTACTGTGGGAGGAACGACACTTTTTTGTTTTTCTCTCTATTTCTAGGATATCTGAGCATCTCTCACAGGGAGAATAATTTTGTATGTAGAGTTATTTCTTTCATGGCGGACTGTTTCCATCCAGCTCTGTGATGGCTGAAGACAGCGCAAAAACAACCTATTGGAAACTGTGGAGCAGAACCAGTCTGATCACTTGTTGTCTTGACCTTATCAACATCAGGAAAAGGTGAGTCAGTGTCTGTGTGCCAATATCTGGATCAATATCTCTCACTACTGCAGAGTTTGATGGTATTTGAAAGTTTGTCACACAAGCTGGTTTAATCTTGACTTCACTGTAATCAAACCACTCACTTTCATCATTCATCTGTTATTATTCACACCATAAATAGAAACACAAAGCCAATGAGCCAAGAGCGCAGTGGAATATTTGTTTATCATTATTTAAAATGGACCTATGGGGTTAATGGTGTTATGTTTTAATGTTTGCTGTAAAATGTTCCAAGCAGAAACCTTAAAGACATGTGTTTACTAGAGGGATTTGGAGCATTAGCCAATAACTGGAGTGAGTCAGATAATTAGTGTTGGACCATTTTAATAAAGAAGTGATTTATGATGATATGTGGACAGTTATTGCTTCAAAATTAAATCTGAACCAGTGCCAGCAAGTCCCCATTTCATGCTGTCTAACTAACCTTTTGATAGAGGATGCAATGATGAGTCAATATGAAGTAGGCTGAACGTGAAACTGCAGAGCAGGGGCGTATCTAAAAGAGTAGAGAGGGGTGGCATTGCCCAAAATCTGATTGGCCACCCTATCTGCAAACTCAAAGTCCCAAATAGTGATTGTCTATTTGCCTCGCCAGAGGTGGTGAAAACATTCAAATAAACAATTTGGGCTGCTGCAACAAGCAGCTAGTAGCTTTCTTTGCGTTTAACTGCAGCACATTTCCATCAATGAGCAGTTTAAAGTGATATGAACAGATAAAACCTTTTTGAGTATCAAAGACTTCAGCAAATGAGGTTTAGATGTTGCCACTTTGGGTGTTACTTTTTAGTGTAAAAGAATAGACAAAGGAGTTCTTAAATGTTAGGTATGCTGAATATATTAGGGTGACCATATGTCCTCTTTTACCGGGACAAGTCCTCTTTTTGGGGGGCTGTCTGGGCTTGTCCAGCTTTGTCTGGGGAAGTTTATAAAATTATTCAATTGTCTGCGGTTTTGTACAGAAGTTTTGAGTTTGTGTCCAGTGGACTTTCTGAGTTAGAAGCGCGTAAAAAACATTCGATCTGACCTGAAAAACTCTCAAAATTAACTTTGTGTGACTCCGTGACTCCGCCCCCACATAGTCGTGTCCTCTTTTTGGGAAGTCAGAATATGGTCACCCTAGGATATATGCTAATCAACCATTGCCCCCCATCTACCCACCGCTGTCGAAAAAGTTGTGACATGGTGTCTTTAAAGCAGTGGTCTAAAACCTTTTTTTTCCACAGTGCCCAACCTTTGCCTATGACGGAAATGCAGATGCCCCCCTCCCCATGAGGAAAAAAGGAAACACCGACACAGAAAATAAAGCAAATTTGATGTTTTTATCAAATGAGATGGGAAAAAACGTATTTCTACACAGTTCTATCCGACTATCCATCAAGTGTCTAATAATGGTTTTAGTTAATATGTGCAAATTTAATTTTGACAACCTCAGTAGAGCTTGCTACAGCTTCCATTGTTTCTTCATTATTTCTCCTTGATGAGCTGTTAAGTTAATTGGGACACCAACGAAGTCTAAAGACCAAAGCAGAAACGCCTGCTGAAGAATAATGAAGCACTGAGGTAATGTCAGAGGACATAGGCCGTCCTGCATGGAGAGAAAAAACTACATTAATGTAAAAAAAAAACAACAACCAGAGGAGGAGTAGATAGAGTAGCTGTTTGCAGATGTAGCTGCACATAAAAACTTAAGAGCAATTTAACAGGTTTAAAAAGAACTCTCAGCCATAATCTATCTTAAGCAGTCGCAATATCGGACTCACATATATTATTATTTAATAGCACACAAGTGGCTTCTTCATTACCTTTATGGCCCATTGTCTGAACAGCAAAGGTGTGAGAGTATGCTGCAGATTTTCAGCACAATTACTTCCTACCTGGCAGATTTTACACCTCTTGAGATTACAAATGTACCTTAACTTGCTGCTTCACAGTGTGTTAAAGAGGAGATGGAAAAGGTCGCTTACAAAAATACAAGAACATAAGACATGTAGCACTAAAAAACTGTCATTTTTCATCATTCATCTGTCTGAGTCTACAAAAGGACATTTTACTAAGGAGGTTAACAGTCCATGCTAAATTCTGGTTCTGTCTCTGGCTGGATGAACAAGAGGGTGGGTGAATTTTTGTGAATGATAAGAAACTGCAGGGGTTTTTTCAGTCTGGTTTGCTTCCTATGGCACCATTAAGGGAGAAAAAATAGGGTTTATCCTGAGAAACTTCTGCAAGCTCTCTCAAAAGTTTGACACAATCTTGCAAAGGGTTTTATTCACATCAACAGAAGCACTGTAAACTTTATAGATATGCTGACTTCAATCCCAGGCTGGGTCTCAATGTAAAAGTTTTCATCCAACTGGACGCAACGCTGCTGTTAACGTTCCACGGCGTCTGTGATTAAAACTTTTTGCAAGATCTTAAAAAAAGTTTTGCAGGACTTTGCAAATTTCATCGGAATATAATGTTTTCTTTTTTACCTTCACATCCCCCCAAGGGTCTCCTCAACATCCAGTATTGCAGCCAGTGAGAAAAAATAAAAAAAAGACTCTTCCAGCTATTAATACATCCCATCCTGCTGCCCTTGACTTGTCGGTTTCATCCCTTGCTGCACTTATTTTACAGAAGAAGTTGTAGGTTGCAGTGATCATTAGTTACAGAGTGGTTTGGGAACTGCGAGAGGCTCTTAAGCATGCGTCAATATATTTCAATTATCCTACAACTCTCCAGAATGAGTGATCTGAATCATTGCTTTGGATGTGGCTTCCCACTCCAGCCATTATGCTTGACAGTGAGGTGATCAATCAGAATTTAAATACACTGCAAGTGCCTATAAAGAGACATTTAGCCTGTTTCTCTGCATATAACCTTTTCCCGAAGGATATGACACCCAGCAGCCGACTACTCTACTATGTGTGCTTCTGATGCATCAGTAAGAAAGGTATGCTGACTTTGCAGGAAAGTTGGAATTAAGATTAGTTCTAGTTCTCACTTCGCAACATCCTTTTGTAGCATTCTGTAAATCAAAATTGCAAATAAAAAAACAAAGGTGCTATCTTAGTGTGCAGTGATGATGTTTGCAGAGTCACGAATAGTTTAATATCTGAATTGAGTCGGAGAAAAATATGCTTGGAAAATCATTTTTTGGCATATTGCTTTACTTTTGGACTTTTTAAAAACAGATTTAGATAAAACAAATCTGCTACTCCACGGTGGTTGATGGGGGGAATGCTCTCCAAGGGCCCTAAAAGGTTTTCCATTGGAACTAACCAACCATATTCAAAAACTGATAAAACAAACTTTTGAGAATAAAAACTGCAAACAGAATCTCAGAATCCCTTGCTTGTTGTCACCGGAATTGCTACTCAAGAAGACAAATAATAGATATTTTTATTATTGTAAGTCCTCAAAAGAGTCGTGTCCAAACTTAGGCACAGTCACTTGCTTCTGGCTGGAAGAGTGGCTTTGGTTTACGCCTACTCTGGTAACGCTACAATGATCCACCACCCGGATGTAAACATGAACTGATGACAGATTTGATCTTTAAACCGAGGACCTGTGGTGCTAGCTCTGCTAATGTTAGCCACACTTAGCTAAGTCATTTGACATTGTTCGCCCAGAGACTATGTGATTCTTCAATGATCTGTGTTGAATAAATAGGTCTATTTTTTTACCTTTTTTTCTTACCATTTATTCATTCACTCACGTGTTGATCATTCTCACACAGGATTGGTATTACTAAGGGATCTCTGATAGTTTATAATTGTTTATAAGGATATACAGTAAGTGTTTTGATCCCATGCAGAAGGGACAATCTGAATTGACATCTCTGAATTTTGGTTTTAAGGTGTCCATGACTAATTTCTGCCTCTTTTGTATGTGTCTGTGTATTTCAGTTGTTTCTGGGGACAAGGTCTTGCTAGCAACTGTGTAAAAACACTGCTTTATAGTAACTGGAAAAAGAATAATAAACACACTGTTGATTTTCTCTTTGAAAAGTTAGCATTGTTTCTGAATTCGCAGACTGTGTTTTCCTGATGGCAATCGTACGGGCTTTTGCAGCACATTTGTCCCTGCTGGCCACCGTAGAATCCGTCTAAATATGGCTGTAACAGGCATCCATCATCCCCCTCTATTCCTCTCTGTTCTACACATACACACTATCGACATTTCACCGCCTACTTTCATACACACATCTACACACTTGTCACAAGTTTGGCTGGGTGTCACATAAGGGGGTTGATGAGTCCTAAAAAGAGGAGGAAGTCTTACATAACCCTTCAGTCTGTGTTTGTGTGTGTGTGTGTGCATGTGTGTGTGTTTGTGTGTGTCTATTCCTAGCCCAATAAGGCCATGACTCTCCCAGTCGCTCCTTATGTTTATACCACAAAGATAGAAACACACTCACATCCCCAAGAGAAGGAATTAGAGACAGAGGAGGGGAAGAAGGGAAGGGCCGGTGAGCATGTCCAAGAACTTCCTTTGGGGGTTTTTCATCCATTTTGCTGCTCTGGTAGGCAAAGGAAAGGTTGTCTGCGTGTGTGTGCATTTGTAATATCCTGCCTTTGGAGCCAAAACTCTGGGAACGAATGTGTGTGTGCAGCCGTACAGATTTCACAGTCAGGGAGCTCGACAGTGAGGGGGGGAAAGGGGAAGCTGTATCATCAGTTCTCTGATGTCGGACACGCAGTATAAACACAAAGCATCACTCTGGAGTGTGTGCGACAGCTCTACCTTGTGTATTTATGTATTTTTGTGCGTGAGAAGGAGGGCAATGATCCTCTACTCCTACCCTGTCTTCCTCACTCCATTTCAGCCGTCACCCTCTCCCACAGTACTGTGATATAGGGCCTGTTTCCACCACGTATTAACATGCAATAATTTAACTACGAGTCAGCATCGCTTAGTGCAGCTGTAATAAAGTTAATTGAGTTCACACTAGATTAGATTATAGACTGTATATTAAATTGAGGCCTCAAAATTTCATCTGGCTTGAAATTAGAATGCTTAGAGCTCCCCCTGGTGACTGGTAGCAGTATAGGTCACAAACTCTACCTCTGATGATAGCTGTTGGAATACATTTTTTCTCCAACCTGGTTTTTGTCATTTTAATTAATTTTATTCTGATTTATGTCCATGTGCACATTCTTTAGAGGATTTTAGTTTTTTAATTCGTTATCTGACTTTTACTCTTTTCCTGCCAGACATTTATGAAAAAGTTGCCAGCCACCGTCAGCATGTTTGACCAAATCTCGTCAACTTTCAGGCTCTCAATAGATTTTATCCCATGAGTGCGTTTTTAAAAAAAAAGGCATCTAAATTAAACTTCATTCTAACTCCATTCATTTTCATCAGTATTTAAAAACTGGTTATTTTAATCAAAATTACAACATAACAGTTAAGAAAGCTAAGAAAGTGACATTTTCTTGTCATTTCAAAAATTTTTTGTTTCTTTTTGATTTGGTAACCTGTGATTCATGTCTGCATCAGACTGGAGCGTCTCTGTCTGCAGACACAGCTTCACAGCAGGGGGGTCTGTGTGCATTAGATCCTGATGCAGCTGTGTTCCTACACACTGTAGGTTCTAACAACCTTTGTGAAGTTTTCCTCTTGTTTCTGTAGATGAACAGGTCTTCTTGTGTTTTTTTCTGTTCTAGTTTGGGAAATTTAAAGCATATTATACCTGCACTTTTATCAGATATTTTGTCTTTGTGTGTATTCAGTTGAAAATTATTGTATTCTGTTTTTATTCACACAACGTCCAAACTACATTGGAATTGGAGTTTGTGCGAGTGAAAATTTGGATGTGAAATGGAGATGAGCATTCTCCTGTCCCTGTTCACCTAATCCACCAGTCCCACACAGCCAAATGGGCGCTCAGTTACTAGAAATGCATTTGGAGACTAATGTTCTGATGCACTGTGCGAACAACCAAACCTGACCATTTCTGTCTCTAATCACCAAGAATGCTTCTTTTTTTTGGCTCATAGTCTGTCAGACAGTCAGATAACATTTCCAAACTTAAATGCCAACATTCTTCATCGAACTTTTTGAAGGCTTTAAATTGAGCTAGATCTCATTATCCTTACCTGCTCGTGGTATTCAATCCCCATGCTGAGAGTATTGACAAGAATGGCGATCATGATCCCTCGGTTGAAGTATTTACTCTCCACGATCCTCTTCAGTTTTTCCCTGAATCCTACAAAGGCCCGGACAGCTCCGTTCCTGTATGCGAAGCCCCCTCGCCGTTTGCCACGTCCTCGCCCGCCTCTTAGATCCCCACCCTGGAGACAATAAATAATACATATTTAACAGTTTGTTCAGATGGAGCCATCAGATTGGAAAATGGCCATTTTATGGATGGTGATACAGAGTGTAAAGGCAGAGGGACAAGGTTCTTGAAAACAGTGTTGGTTGTGATTCATTGAGCTGCTACCTTAAAATTACAGACACGACTGTAAACCAATTTTTATTGAACAAAATGGAAAATTATACTTTTCATGTTTTCATAACTAGTTCATTAAGTAAAGAAAATAATCAGAGCAAAAATGGGAGCTTTATATCAGTTGTAGATATATCAAGAGCATCCAGACTTAAACCGAGTCTGTTCTTTTGTGTTTTTGGCAGTACAATCACTACACGTCCCACAGTTGTGAGTTTTTATTTGATCATCGCTCCCTACATTCCCCACAACCTTCGTCCTCATCATCCTGCGACTAACACCAGCACATTCTGACCTGGGGGAAGTCGTGCAGACCGTCAACCTCTCCCCTGCTCCCCTCCAGGTCTCCCAGTTCCAGCTCTAGAGTCTCCAGGCTGCGGGCACACAGAGGGCAGCTCAGCAGCTCCAGGAGCAGAGGGCTGGGCACCACGCCTGCCAGCTGGTACAGCAGCCTCTGGCGTCCTGAGGGAGGGATGAGAGGAGAGCATGAGACATTGAAACAAAGTTTTTTCTTTTTTTATTCTCTCTCTCTGTTGACCTTGTTTGCCACTGTTAACTTTAATCTGCAAGACAAAGATAATGGAAATCATATTTTATTCAACCTTTCAAAGGTTGCTCTGCGTTTACATTATTAGAAGAAGAATTATCTCATGTTTTCATTGTTATTAGAGTAAAATTAAACCGTAATATATCCTTTAATCTGTGTGGATTATGTTTTCTTTTTGTCCCTTCTATAAAAAATGTAAAATCGAAATAAAAACATGTATTTTGGTAAGCTGCAAACATATAAAGTAGGTAAGAGTGCTTATTTTTTAATCCTGAATTGTGCCTGAAGCCCTCTTCAGTAACTTAAAATTACAACAAACTTTAAGAAACTGCCTCAGAGGTACAACAAAAGACAAAGGAGAGACATTTTCTGCAAAGTAATCACTGTAATAAATGCTAAGTAACTGAAGGTGACTCAGAATTGTGTATCAGGATTTTAATCACTTTCCACTCTGGTTTCAAATTACCATGTGGGACATGGAGTCGACAAACTTCAGAGGAATTTCAGGGGGTAAAAAAAAACATTTGTAACAACAAAGTGGAAACAAGAGCGACTTTTTAGCCTCGTTTTTTTTCTTCTGACAAGACTTGACTAAAATCAGTGTCTGACAAATGCAAAGAGGAAGTGAGCGCAAGAAAAAGCAAACATGACTTCAGGAAGCATCAGCTCTGTAAAAGCAGCTGGAACTGTGCAGTGTTTTGTTTACAAGGCAACCTAATACCCCGATCCACAAGATCATCTTCAGTTATCTACAGAAAATCACTGCTCAACATGAATCCTAATGTCTGTTTACTTAAGTATTTTGACTTTGAGCTTTGACAGATTGTTTCAATTTGCACCAATACCTTCAAGAGGTGAAACATTTATCTCCAGAAATCTTACTGAAATTCATCCTCATCCCTTATTACCTCATATGACATTAGGAGGGATTGATTATATTAATTATGAAACTTGATTCGAGAGCCCCAGACTGGAAACAAAGTTCCAAAAACATTAGTTTTCTTAGAGTCTATTAAAGCAATAAAATAAACTTTCAAGGTCCTATTGATTTGTATTAAGCTTTTAAAACTGGGTCATCTGCCAAAGCTGAAAGCAAACATTAAGAAACTGCACAATTGAAAACTTTAAACAGTAAGTGCAGCAAGATCATATTTTCTCCCTCCAGATCTCAGCTTTCAATAGACTACGGATCACTAATGGTGTTCAGACAGCTGCCGTTTTACTCAGAAGTCAAGTCCAAGGTGAGCTCGGTGTTGTGAATCTCAAACTGCTGATTTCAAGGTTGTGAGTCCAAAAATACAGACAAAGACAATGAAAAGGAAACAAATCAGTCTGTATTTATAAGTGAAACAACATATTTTAAACCCGCTTGTTAGCTGTAAATGCTAACATGCACCCACTTGCCAGTAGGGATGGGTGATGAGGGCTAAAAAAATGATCGCAATAAGATTTGCCATTCTGACGTTAACAATAAAAGTCCAGATAAAAACTATTATAATTCCAATTTTTTTTTTTTAGCTCATTTTAGCTAGAGAACACCAGTTGGAGTAGTCAAATAAGATACGTTACCACAAGTTTGAGTGGTAGGTTATGAAGAAAGCGAATGACATCAAACAAGTCTCAAATGTGAAAACACTTTCAACATTTGTTGAAAACTCTTATAGCACAGAGTGAACAGATCTACTGTCTGATATCAGGCATACCTGATTGCACTCATCTAAGCTCCAGTCTTGAAGGAAATCCCTCATGTGGAGCGTGGAGCCTCGTTCAGTAATGAGCTACTCAGAAACGTCCTCTTCATCACCTTCAGCCATATCTATTTGTTATTCTGCTCTGTGTGGGCTATGACTGTGAGTCCGTCGCGCTTACGTCATCAATTTGCGTTTATCGTATTTATCATGAGGTGGCAAATATTTATCATGGAGGATTTTTCAGTGACATATCATGAACCGTAATTTATCGCCCATCCCTACTTGTCATATCAAAACACTTATACTAGTTTGATGATACTTTTTAGGTAAAACTGTGTTAGCTGGGTAGTAGCTTAAATCCAATATTGCTGTTTGGTGGTTTTACACAATACTGATTTGGAGCTTAATAATATATTAACTAGGCTGCAGCTGGAGGCAAACATCAGCACCTGTCTATTGAGGTTTTATGGGAAAATGTTAAACAGGTTTTGCGTTTAAGAATTGCCAATTTAACTCCATGTTTGCTACTAAATTATTGAATATTTAGGGATAAAAATCAGTCGTTGAAGCCAGCTAAAAAGGTTACGTCTTTTGAACTTATTGTTATCAAAGAAAGCCAGTACTTGTGTGTGTCGTGTTTTGAAACTCTATCTTCTTTCAGCTCTGTCTTTCCTCTACTCATCACATCACTCTGTACTTTTCCACTCTAGTAAGGAACAATTTCATGGGCGCTCAATTATGTTAAGAGAGTTGGCCGCCATTAGTGTGTAACGTGAGTGAATGTGTAGATTACACGTGTGCTTTGTTAGCAGTCTTGCTCCATTAGGACAAAACAGACAAGTCAATCAGGCTGTTTCAGCTTGTTTTCCTGTGCAGCTGATGCAGTTTTGTGTTGTTTTTATATCTCTGTCTCTATGCTTTGTCCTTTTCGGTTATCTCAGAGCTAACCCTTTCTTATTTTGTCTTTTCTTTCTATTGATCGCTCTCACTTTTCCCACAGCAGCCCCCTGTCCTAGCCTTTCAATCTGGGACTTAATCTATGCCTGTCCTCTAAATTCAACCTATTTTTCTTTCTCCTACCTCAGAGAACTTGTGTGTTAGGTTTTACTTCGCACCCCCTACTTAGTCTTCCTTCCGCTACCCCCCACACACAGAGCTGATTCCTTCAATCCTACCCTTTATCCACCTCTTTGCACTGATGACTGCAACACTTGAGACATGGATTTCCTGTCAGGACTCCCTAAGCGCTGCTTTAGACGCACACAACTGCACACAAACACACACAAACACATTTAACCAAGGGCTACCTTGAGCCGAACCTGAGCGGAAGGAAAAGGTATTTGCTCAAAGAAAACAGAAGATAAAAACATAATGTGAAATCAAGGTCATGAAGACCAAGTGTTGGGGGGAATTTAAAGACTGTGAGGTTAGTTTGACGTAGAAGTGTAATGGGCAAACTGGCAAAACTTTGAAAAACGATAAGAAATGACGTCTCAGTTAAGCAGATTATTGTACCTTTGAAAACAGGGAGTGTTTGATGGCTTATTTTGGCTATAATATGACTCAGGTTGTCACTCAGTTAAGGTGAATTTTGTGTCTTAAAGCTGGCTCAGTTCAAATCATGAGCAGTGGCTGGGATTTTCAGGTCTGTCTTAAACTCAAATAAGAAACCAACAGGTAATGTGACAGGTCCTACATTCTCTTTTTATGTAATTTCTGATCAACCCATTTCTGATGAGACAGAAATGATCACTTTGACTATACATAATGTCATTCATCCATTAAAGAATGAATATGTGCTGTACAGAGTGTGGGCTGTACACACAAGTGTTTTTGGCTGTTCTTCCAGTTCTTTCATCTTTTTGCATTTGACCAAAGCTGTCGTTGTTTTTGTTGAAGCAAAGTGGTGGCTGGTCTACGTTGAAATGTTAGTTCAAAGACTTCACTATATCCCCTTTGATTCTGGAAAACTACAACCTGACAAGAACACATTTTTAGACCTCTATGTCCCCTTCCTCTCTGTGTTGATGATTGATGCCTGATGATGCCTACACTTTGTCCTCTTTTTGCATCCAACTGAAACCAAAATATTACGGTGCCATTAGACTCTGAAAGGGTCTCGAATAGAATAGAATAGAATAGAATAGAATAGAATAGACTGTAGGAATGGGCTATGGCAAAGCATGATAGAATAGAATAGAATAGAATAGAATAGAACAGAACAAATTAAAATAGAATAGAATAAAATAGAACAGTATAGAAAGGAACCAAATAGAATAGGATACAACAGAAGACAATAACTTAGAATAAAATAGAATAACACAATACAACAGTACATAATAGAATAGAAAGGAACCAAATGGAATAGAATAACTTAGATTAGAATAGAACAAGATAGAGTAATTTAGAATAGAATAGAATAACTTAGAATAGAATAAAACAAAACAGAATAACTTAAATCAGAATAGAATAAAATAAAATAGACGGAAACAAAATAGAATAGAATAGAATAGTCTGTGATGATACAATCTACATGGTCAGTAATTATGGTTAAGCTCTCATGGAGATGAAAATATGTGTCATGTAAAGTGTGTGATACTCAGGCATACACATTACCATTATGAATTAATGAACATTAATCCAAGTAAAAAGACACATATTACATTATAAATATTGCATACAGAATGTAATGCTTACTGTGTGTCCCATTATGTATACTGCACAGATTAAATGTCCATTATATTGTAGATAGCATGTAGTGCATAGTTGATGTCTACTGTACATTCTAATAAAGCATAGTGGTAATAATACATGTCTTCTTTGCCATTTATATGCTAATTGTGAGTGTATTAAATATGTGTGAGTGTGTGTGTGTCCCCTTACTGTGCTGTCCCATCAGCTGGTAGAGCTTGTTCAGTGTTTCTGTGTGTTCAGATGTTGGGTGGTTTAATGGGTGCTGCTCTGGACACTGTCCACACTGTTGAGAATGAGGGGGCGGTGTCTTACTGCTGTAGCTGCACACAAATGATGGAAGAATGGTCGGATAGTTCATCCCGCCATTTAATCGCCCCAGCAACGACCCCATCCGGTGGGTGACAGCTGAGGGGTTGCCAACCCCGCCACCATTTCCATTTGTACTTCCTCTCCGTACAGGTAGAGATTTCATCTCCAGCTCTTCCTCTCCTCCCTCCATGTACTCTGCAGTTTCAACATTGATGGTGTGCTGTCCCCCGTTGCTAAGGCGACAGTGCTGGTGCTGATGGTGCTGCAGAAGGTTGTGGATTGGTCTCAACCACAAAGCGCTACCTGGGCCTGAGCCCCCGCATCCCCTGCTGGAACCGTGTCCATGTCCATTCCCCCCACCATTATTTCCTCCACCGCTGCCATTTGGATTCACCTTTTTACGCCTTTTACTGGTCAAAGGAAAAGAGACAAAAGATGAACTCACTGTCGTTTTATGCTCACTGGAAAAATCTTTGAAATTTAGAACAGACAGCCCATATCTAACCTGTGCCAACCGGAGTATATCCTCTGCAGTCTGCGTGTAAACTTGCGATAAAGATGACTGATGTAGCGCAGCATCTCCTCATAACATGAGCCTGGCTCACTGTAACTGGCAAGCGTGGAGTCATTGGACATGTAGCGAGCACGCTGCTCCCTCATCAGAGCGTTCTCCCTTTGCTTCGTCTCGGAGAATTGGGTGGCGATGACCACGAGGCACAAGTTGATCATGAAGAAAGAGCCCACCTGGTTGGGGAGTCAGAGGAAAGAGCAGATAAAGATATTAGTTTAAAGTAATTCCGCTTTTACCATCTGGTTGTCAACATGAGTGTAAACTTAGCTGCTGTAAAACTTTTCTGCCTGAATTTACCTTAATGACAGGCCTCCTAAGGCCAAGGAGGATGTGAAATGGATTAAAGTCTACTTTTAACAGGAGGGCACAACAAGACTGTCTTAATTCCACCTCAAAGTGGTAAAAGTTTGATGAAAAAGAGTTTCAGACCATATTAAGGTCCATGTGAGCCTTTTTCTTTTGCCAGATCCTGGTCCAATTCTGTTTAAATCAGTACTTAAAAATCATAAAATATAAACCCAATTCTGATGAGACGGCCTTGATAGAAAGTTTGAGAAATCTATAATGAAGTGTCTATTTAACATGCTATTACAGCAGATGAAAGTGGGATTGAAAAAATTAGATGAGCTCTTTCCATCTTTCTAAATCTCTCCTCTGATACTCCCAGCATTCTTCATTTCCATCTCACCCACTTTCTCTCCAGATTTTCTTTGTTTTTCTTTTTTGCCACTCCTCCATTGCCATCTCTCTCACCCTCCTCCTCCCATATTTTTCTCACTCCCTCTCCTTCTCCTTCTCCCTCTCCCTCTGCATGCATAATAAGCATTTTTACATCAAACGACAGGCACGCAGGGGAGCTCATACAGCATTTTAAGATAAAGCCAAAGCTAGGATCCTTAAAAAACCTCCACAACAGCATGATAGGAGTGAAATTATACATGATATGAAGTCTGCAAGCTTGATCAGAGGGGAGTAGCTCCAAGCAGACATTAGCGGTCTATGTAAGGGAGGTTATTCTGGGTTTTCTAAAGCAGAACAAAAATACAAGCACACAACAATATCTATCAGGATCAGCATTTTATGCATTTGCATATTCGTTGAGGAAAGTGTGGAGCTGTTGCAAGAGGATTATATTATGAATGTCCCAGATAGTACTGAGAGGATATGTGGATAAATTCTTTATGAAGATGTTTGTCTTTTATTTCTGAGTCAGGATGTTACAAGCTGGAGTCTCAGATTTGACTAGCATAGTATACTACTTGACTCTGTAGTTCAGACTAATTCCCACCGGCCCAAAACTGGACTGGGCAGATTGCTATTTCCACGAAATAAGCCAAGTCTTTTAAAACTTTGGGATGACTTTCTAAAAAGTTTAGCATGTTTTGCTTTGGTCGGTTTCAAACAAAGCCCAGGTGGCTTGATTTCTTTTAACCTAGAAAGAGCAGTTTTCATTCATTGATTGGTTTTCTGCCAATTCTGAATCATGCTTTCGGAGTCCTTGCAGCACAGCTGAATGTCAGGAGATGTTAGAAAAAGAGAGGTGGATAAAAAGTGTACTTACAATAATGAGCAGTATAAAATATATAAAATTGTAGAAGGAGTGAGCATCCATGACATAGTACATGATATCCACCCATCCTTCCAGTGTGATGACCTGGTGGCAGAGACAGACAGACAGACAGACAGAGAGGAGAGAATTATGTAAAAAACATCATTCCTCCATGAGTCTGCACAGTTATTGTCTTTAAAAATACATGACACACAAGTGCAAACACTTAAAACAGTGCACCCAAGAGGCGCACAAACAGTCAAGGTACACAACAGCATTTCCAATTCAGTTTTTATGTCTGTTCCCCTCTGAAGGAAGCCTGCGGTGATGCCTGTCCAACTTCTCATATATGTGTTTATGGGAGTATTTCTGTCTGTGTGTGTGCCATGGGACTGACGCAGCTCTTTCATGTAGCCATTATGCTAATAAGCAGCCGAGATGCTGAGACCTGAAAGCGGAGGCTCAGCTCAGCCAAGCCGATGATCCGCTCACACCTCAACATTTACACCTCAGCTAGCATCACACATTACAGCTTAAAGTGCTAGCGCGCAGGCAACAAAAGCATGAGCAAACATACACCGAACAGGTGTCCAAACACAGATTGGGCCAACAGCGAACGTGCATGTGTATATTCCTCTGTTTTCATACAGAATCAGACGCAAACATTTCATAATCACACAGCACAGATGCGTGTTCTACACACACACCCACAGACACAGAGGCGACTAATCCGCTCTCTGCTGGAATGCCCTCCTTGCACCAGATTAACACAAGAGGAGAGGATTCTCATTTCTGAGCCTGTAAAATGTAATTATTGACTAAATTCACAGTGTGGCCGTTTTCCGCTAATGCCACTCTCAGGGTGGGAGGCTAACACCCTGTTATGAGGACAAAATGCTGTGTTCTGGGAAGACAGTTGTAATGTAGGCTACTATCTGTATGGAGAAAGTAAGCTTTTGACTGCTTGTTCATTTGATTAGCAGCTGAAAAGACAGTGTGAACATATTTCAGGTTAAAACAACACATTTGAAACCCATTTGCTACTTTAAGACAACACCGACTTTTAGCATTAGCCACCTCCGTGCTAATGTAATAGTTAGCATAATGCTAATATTCCCATTTGAAAGTGCAACACAACCAAATAAGATGAACTTGAAGTCGATCTGAGATGACAAGCTAATGGCAAATAAAGTAGAGGTGCAGTTATAGGTTAAAGTGAGTTTTTAGCAAATTTATGCAAATTTGACTCAGTCTCTTGAGCTATGTCACATTGGAACAAATCTTTGAGAGTTTCTAGACCTGTTGAAATAAATCTTTGAAGGTAAGGTAAGAAACTTTGTTTGTATTGATTGGGTGCATCCTGGACAAATTGGTAGCTCTCACCTCTTTACTAAAACGTGTGTGAGTTTAATTTTTGCTGGGAAAAATGTAGACAGAGACTGTTGACTGGGGAAAAATTGTTAATCACTTTATCTGACTCCTACCCTGCAGCATAAATCATGATTCTGAGCTACACCTGGAGACTAAAACCAAGACTTATGCTGACAACCAGTTGTCATTTACAAACTCCTCACCTAAACTCTAGGTGCAGATCCTTTTAAAACGTGAGCACATACTCAGCTTACACACGGCAAAAAAAAATTCATCTTAGACTCAAAGTGATGCTTGCTTAATCCTCACAAAATAAAATAAAAAACAGTCAAATTTAATCTCTAAAGACGCTAACTGTGAGCTTGGACGATGCACATACTTGAAAGTTGTATAACCTCCCCAGGAGGTGATATGTCTTTTTGATGCGAGTGTGTGCTGTCTTTGTGTGCCTTCAGTGTTAATGCAGCTTACTTGAAAATGAGACCCTCTTTAAAAACCGTGTACATGTCTAAGTCTGTTAGACACAGGGACAGATCTATTAGCCCCATCTGGACAGATGTAATGAAACGGCAGGGACTCATCGCAACAGGACAGAAAGTGTTAGAACAAGGACTGAGATGGGGATAAGCCTGTCAAAGCTCCTAGGGCTGCTGAAAGAGAAAGTACATTTTTGGAACTAGTGATTAGGAGAAATAGCTTTTGAGTCAGTATACACACCCTCAGATATCCTGATAGAAGAAATATCTTAGTTATTATTCTTTATCTGACAGATAACATCCTTACCATCTCTGTTTGGGCCCAGCCAATCACTGCTGGTTGTTTGACCTTCAATTTTTTACTTTTACTAGAATGGCATGCGATAGCTGCCAGCTAGCTCAAGCTAGTTAGTTTTAGCTCCGCTCTGTAAACCTACTTTCTCACACTAAATTTAAATTACAAAGGAGCTTTTGACAACTGGTAAATTCACAGTCTAGTCAGGCATATTTTCATCTGCCAAAATTAAAATGACATACTGCCTCTCTCGGAAATATCTCATTTCCACAGCTTTCTTCGATATGTTACTAAATATAAAGAAAATTACTAAAAAGTGGTATTATTAGCATCATACATACTCAATAAAATAACTGAGCACAATTTGACAAGTTTTTGACAACTAGCAAGAGCAAAATGAGTCAGCAATAGCTAACAGCTAGCAAAGACAAATAGGTACAACTGTTTAGGTTGGCAAAGACATCAAGTAATGAAACCTGTTTTCTTTGCAAAATGGCTCTACATAATGCTGTTTTGGTTAGACTTAGTTCTCTGAATCTTCCATCAGCAAGACGAGCCGGCTACTAAGCTAACTGGTGACTAACAGAAAGTTATGCTCAACCAAGCTTCACATTTTTATCTTTTGGAAAGCATCTTGGGATAACAACTGTTGTGATTTGGCGCTATATAAATAAAAATGATTGACTGATGAATTTTTAGCTCCCAGTTTTTGTCAAAGAACATCATGATGTTAGGAGAAAATAGAAGCATTTTTATAACATCTGATTCAAAAATGTCTGTCTTAGTTTACCGCAATTATTATTAGCAAAACGAGTCAGCTTATTAGCATATGGTTAGCTTTATACAGAGAAAATATTTCAGTTAGCTCAGCTACATCACCTGATATTATTAGCGTATTGTTTTCTTTGTAAAATGACTACAAGGGAAATCATGTTTAATAATCTCTGCTAAAAACTAACCAAAGTTATTTCAACTACTTTGACATTATCTAGATCCGCTAATTAGCTTGTAGCTGGCTAAATTAGGCAAAATATCAAAGATTTAATAAATTGCCATGTCATTACAGATAAATCAATAAGGTAAAACTGTATATATATGCTGGATTCTTTTTTGTTTACTGTTGTAACAGACTCAAAACTTAAGTTAACTCCAAAGCTAATACTTCCAGTAAATCCATTCTTACCTGGAATATGGCTATCCAGGCGTAGCCAATATTGTCAAAATTGACGGCTCCCTTATGAGGGTTGTGCTCCCCGGAACGACACACATTGTAATAAAAGTTCCAGTTTATGCATCCGTTATTACTGGCCCCGCCTGTTCCAGGGGCTGAACCAATCAGAGCTAAACTTTGGTAGGAAGGGGTCAATGTGCAATCTTCCCCGCCCTCGGAGTAGGCCGGCACATCCCGGCAGTGCAGCATCCCGTTCTCCCTGGGACCCGAGCAGATGAAAGGGCTGTCCTCGCCTTCCTCTGACATGTAGTAAAGACTCATGGATAAGTTGTACAGTCTGGTTAGAAAAACAAAAACAAACAAAAAAAATTGTAACTGTTGCAGTCAAAAGCACAATTTCATTTTAGCAACTACATCCTCATCTGTTTCATTAAAATCAAGATCTAAAGGGAAGCAGAGGACAAATAAACCTTAATATTACACTTGGACTCTGGCGTTTGATGCTTGGGCTGAAAATGGAGGATGAAAGAGCTCTCTTGCTACCAGGATTTTGTTCGTTGAATACTAAAAGCACATACTTATTTTGAGGCTATTTGCACTCAAAGTGAAATATCACATTATACCTCAAGAGCCGAGCAAAGCATTTTCTTGGTAGTATCCATGGTGACAGCTGTATTCCTACTCCAGTATGTGTGATAGAGCATGCTGAGTGCATCCCACAGTTTACCTGTCTATTTATTCCCTCCCCTTTAGAGTCAAGAGCCCTCCACAACAATGAGTGTGCCTTTCTGCAGAGTGACATTCACTCTTGAAGTGCTGGTGCAGAGGAACCAGTTTTCTGGACTGACAACAAACCAACTCCCATTGTGGTGTAGATATATTTCTTGTGTTTCCTGCAACCTGTTTGCCTGTTGCAGTCCTTTATCTGTCCAACTTCAGTATTTTCTGGTATAATTGCTTCCTTTCTATTTCATTTTTTTATTTGGTGGGATGAATTTTCCTTTGCTTTTAATCTGAACACAAAAACTTGTCAAGATGCAAATTAGACTGTTGACAAACAGTGCGGAAAAAAGGGGGATTTGGCAAGAAGTCAATTTAAATCATCGGCTGGCAACACCAGAGAAGTAACATATATTACCTGAGGCGAACCCATCAACAGTAGCTAATGGGTTCTGAGACTGCATCCATACTAATTCCACCCTATGAGCCAAAAAGTTGACACATTTCCAGCTCATGCAAAACTGTTATCATAACTCTGGCTTAGGACTGAATGATATATAGTGCAAACATTGCAATGTTTGCATGCTGAATTGCCCCATTGCAGGATGTGCAATGTTAGCAATATGATCTGTAATGCTGTTACCACTTCCTTTTTGCCCAGGATTCATCTACAATAAACATCCATCTGAAGTGCAAAACAAAGTTGGGCTTCATATTCTGCTGGAAGTCAGACAACCATTTGTTCTGTGAAAGAAACTCAGCATCCTTGGCTATGAAATATTAAGCAGCTGTTCTCTTTCTCTCTTGCACCCAGAAAGGCTTCAGCTGTATTAGCTTTGATACAATTTGTACCATTACATCAAAAGCAGAATTGACTCAAGGATGTTTCAGGGACATGCTTTGCTTTCTGAGGTTGTGGGCACAGATAGAGTATAATTTCACTCCTTAGGCTAATTTGGGGAACTTTTTTGTGTGTTTTTTCTGTCAGGTTATGACTTCAATGGGAGGAAGATGTTGTGATATGCTGTTTAGAGACAATTTATCGTGTGAAAACATGATAAGACAGATGCTAGAGTTTGATTGATATCTTAATAATGTGTGCCCTGTACTGTGAAGGTTAGCTTTGCAGTTTTGTCTGTCATGTCAGCTTGCATTGTTTATGTTTGAGCCTTGCTTTCATGTTAAATTGGAAAACTGTCCATCTTGTCGACCTAAAAAAAACACACACACAAAAACAGATCCACTCGTTGCTAAAATATTGTAATTATGGCAACCACTTTGGTAAGCAAGAATCATATCATCTGCATAGAGTTAGAGTTTGAATTAATTGTGTGGTAGTTTTACAACTGCTACATTATACTTTTTATGTCACTACTTTAGAGATATCCAACAAAAAGGGGCTTCAATCCTATCCATGTCCTTCTTTTCAGTCCTTGCCATTTTATTCTTTGAGGCTATTTGGTGGTTGACACGCTGTGGGCACTGCACGGTCTGCGCACTTGAACAAGTGACGATTTCAGAATCCTTTGCCACAGGCTACTGCTGACTGTTATATCTTGTGACAACTCAACACAAAGTCCAACAAGACAAAGCAAAAGGGGAAAGCGTGGGGAGATTTTGAGAACATAAAATGGTGGAAAGAAGAGAGAGAGATCATGCCCAAGCAGGCTGAGAGTTCATGTGTGTATGCTTGAGGCACAATCCCAGGGTAGATGGTAGACTTTTCTGTTTGGTGGAAATTAAAAATTAATTGTATCTTCTAAGTCTACGAGTAGAGTTAGTGTTCTCCTCTCATCTCTAGGTTGTCTGAACTCAGAAAAAAAAGGACTTGAATCAGATCCTATTCCCCCACCAAAGTGCTCCTTCCAGCAGATCTAATATAGAACTGAGATCTAATATAGATTTGGCCAAAGTGTTAGAGAAGCTATTTCCTGAGGGTGTTTGTTCTCCTTCCACCCAAAAGAAAGAAAGGAAAAAAAATGCAAAAACTGTTTTATCATAAGACCAAATTCCTTACGGTGTGATGTCGTCTGGAAGGAAGCAGCGGTTGCGCAGTAAACCCGCCCACAGCTGGACTCCCACAATGCCGAAGATGAAGAAGACGAAGAAGCAGAGGAGGAGGACGTTTCCCAGCATGGGTAGAGTGTCCAGCAGCAATGTCACCAAGATCCGCATACCTTCACAGCAGGAAATCAAGAGCATAGATGACATCATATCTTTACTATATTTACTGTACTGTCTCACATGCAATATGTCAAAAAGTCAAATTTTGCATGTGGCTTCAGCTGGCCCCCTGGTTACCGTCCACCCTGACACCCCCTATTGATCTTGTCAGCTTATTGGAAGCCACAACTTTAGCCCACAGCCAATAGATTTACAAGTGGTGAAGAGTACTGGACGTGACAGTTTGACGTTATTTCCTCTTCTGGGATTTGACTTCACAGCTTCCCTGTGGCTAGCATTATCTAACCACATGCATTCAGCATCCATCTCTAGTTGTCAGATGTGTTTAGCATCAGCAGCGTCAGGGGATCTGGTCCCTGAGGTCCTCATAGTGTGGCCTGCCTGTTCCCAAGTTGACATACATAACACAGCCCTGTCACATTGACCACACTTACAGTATTCATAGTGTCAATGCTAATGATGACAGTGAGAATTTTTACCAGAACACCTTCAAGTCTCCTTAAAATCATTAACATTTGAGATGAAATGCAAAAATAGCTTGGTTTCTTCGAGAGTTTACTGGACGGATGTGTTGACAGAAGAAAATCAGGTCCAATTAGGTCCAATTTCATGTCAAAATTAACAATTTAGCTGTAAGCTGATACAGAGTTTATTTTTTACTTTCTAGTCAATAACTTTGTTTCGTTGTGATTAATTACCTTGTCTGGGCCAGGACCCAAATTAAGCTCCGATATAATTACACGAGTAAACGCTGTTCAAGCCGTTCAGGCCTTCCTCACATGATCAATCACAGCCTCAGGAAGAAGTGTACTTCAGGGTAAAAATCAGGGTGGGCTTATGTGAGTATACAGCGAAAGAGTGACTAAACATTCCACTAGCCAAGCAGGTCCTATAGCAGAGATGTAAAAGATGGTTTAGCCTTGGTAGATTTATGTCACTGAAAGGTGCCTGTTTTACCCAGTCCACAAACCTATGAAATTTAAAAAACAGTTTTAATTTGGGACTGGTTCTCGAAACCCAAACCTAGTTACAACCACACAAACAGAGACCCTTTGGGGATCTTCTTTTTTTTGAGCGTTGGCCTTTATGGGCATTACACTCTGCTGCTATACCTCTTGGTAGTTGCTCAGTGTCTCTCAGCATTGATAACCATTATATTTATATAACTATTATCTTAGAATTCACCTCAGTTGTTCAATAACTTGATCTACTTTTGTGCTGCTTGGTTCTGGACGATCACTGTGTCTCTCCATGTTTCATCCCCCTGGCTCTGTGGTTGTGAGTGGCAGGTGGCCTTGTTCACAATAGGGATACTGGCTTTATAGATAAGTGGCACCAACCACTGTTGTAAACAATTATTGGGATAAAATCTGGACCCAAATATAAGAAGACCATACTTTTAAAACTGTACTTAAAAAGAGATAAATGAAGAGTCTTTTATTCTGGGGGATACAGCTTTTGAAAATCCATTTACTTTGTTTATTCTTTTATTAAATGATAGTTTTGTTCTGTTGATTTACAGCATATTTGGGGAAAAAGATGAAACTGTGTTAGAATAAGGTCTAGCACAGGAAACAACATGAGGAAGATCTGGCTTTCCCTGTTGTTTACAAGTATAAAAAGTGTCCAGCTGTGGAGTTTCTGATGTTGGTACCCTGAGAAGTGTCCCCGCTCAGAGGGGATGACTCATCACAGCTGAATCTGCATCGTCTTCTTATCTGTTTATCTGTTTTTGCTTCTGTGTGTGCTCATTAGCCCCAAAGTTAAACGTGGAAGATATATTTCTTACTTTGAACACATCTTTGTTTTTACATCTAATGAATGGACACACTCTTTTTCTGTTTCCTGTTTCAGTGGAAATACAGAGGGGACAATAACAAAGCCTCTAATTATACAAACTGCATCATTAAACTGCCTCAAACTGTATGCTTTAGACAGACAATACAGAGATATGTACACAAGTGTGCATTATGTAAACAGTTAGAAGTACACAGCTGCCTAACCATGGTAGCTTTCTGTGTGCAATGATATCTGCAAACACAAACACTCACAGCATCCACATCGACCATGGCTTGAAGCAGATTTTGTATGAAGGGGTCTCGTTCAGCTAAAATCTAATTGTTGCTGCTGAAAAATAAAAATGAGATGAACAATGTGTGTGTTCATATTTTAGCTACCAGGGTGGTGTTACATTAGATGACCATATTCTGACTTCTCAAAAAGAGGACATGACCAAAGGGGGCGGAGTCACGGAGTTGCACGAAGTTGCAAGTTAATTTTGAGAGTTTTTCTGGTTGGATCGAGTGTCTTTTACGTGCTTCTAACTCAGTAAGAACATGTGACACAAAATCGAAACTTACGTACAAGACTGTGGACATTTGAAGGATTTTGTAAACTTCCCTGGACAAACCCGGACAGCCCCCCAAAAAGAAGACATGTCCAGGTAAAAGAGGGCGTATGGTCACCCTATGTTACAACTTTAAAGCGTGTGTCAACGCTAACTGGCAATAGGTGTTGCAAAGGTAACACAGAGACACTCTGCCAGGGGCTACAGACATGGGAAAGGTTTCAGCAAGCTCATTTTGGGCAGCAAGACACAACAGTTGCCAGAACATCACCCAATCTTTGAAAAAAATAATGCAAAGAGACTTCCCAGGCTGGCAAAGTGGCACATACCAACTCAATAGGTGCCTCTAGATTTGCTGTGACCTGGTTGCACTCCAAGAACAAGTATGCAGAAAACCGGGCACTCTGAGTCTAAAATAGTTGGATTTTTCCTTTTTTAAGTCATGGTTAGAGGCCACCGGCTGGGACTGGAACCTGGCCAACTGCAATGTGGCACAACCCCTGTACATGGGGGACATCGAGACCACTAAGCAAGTGGCATCCCAGCAATTCCACATTAGATTTTTCAGAAATTATGCATATGGTATAACTTGATCCATTTTTTAGGAGTGAACATTAATTGATTGTAAATATTTCTAAAGATTAATCATGGGAAATATAGAGTTTACATTCCTGTGTCTGACAGTTGTAAGATGAAAAAGGTATCAGCTGTGCACAAACCAGCATTTAACCTTTTACCTATGTCCACCTCTTTTTAGACCCATGGATCCTGAACCCTGCACCTTACACCAGAATACAAGAATTGACTGGGAAAAACAAAACCAAGGTCAGAAAAACAGGCCCGGAGGCTGCATGCACTGGTTGTTCCACATTTTCGAGGAAATAGAGCCTCGATCGTGTAGCTCATTGCACCTTGGCCACAAAACAAAACAAACGCTCATCTGTCTTCTTCAAGTCCATTTAGGCAGAAAGACAAACAGCAATATGAGAGCGTAATGGTTCAGACAAATAGAGTGGCAAAGAAGAGAGAGAGAGAAAGAGAGAGAAAGAGAGGGAGTTAATAAAAGCATAGTGGAAACAGACAACATGTGATGCTTTATGGTTGTGTTTTCGCCCAAAGCATCCACACAAACAAACAAAGTTTACTTTTTCAGCTAAAAATGAACGTCATCATGTGCGTGGAGGAGTCTCAGGTCAACCTCAGTTACATGCCAACAACTGGCTCACTCTGGGAAAATGTGGTCATAACTCACACTGCTTGCTGTAGCCAGACGGCGCACAGGCATCTGTTACCATGGCAACAAAATTAGTCAATGAAGTACAAATACCTCCCACAAAACTCCCCATGGGCTCTCAATGTTGTGAAAATCAATTTTTTTTTTTTGTGTGTGTAATAAATCTTGTTTCCAAACATTAAATCGGCCAAACTAGACAAAATAACAAACAGGTTGACACCAGACTCTTCACAGCTGAGAGCAACAAGTCAGATCTAAATGTTTGAAACCTGTTTAAGAGATGTATTGATCAAAATGGCAACCAACACAGCCAGCTTGAATCCAACCCCTCGAGCTTGGCGGCATGCCTGGCTTATGCTAGTTTGTAATCCTGTATGTTGTTTTGACATCCTTGTCCAGTGACTCCCTTAAGCTGTAGATTCATGGCGCCCTTTGTCATGGAGCCTTTGGGCTCATGACAAACGATGAGCAAGCGCATACACTCAACAGTGGTGCCATGAAACCGCAGAAGGAGATTAGAGCAAAACTCCTGGATTATTGGTCTATTTAGCAAAATTAGCTGAGAATACAGACAGCAAAATATGACGTTTCTTCCCTGGAGTTTGGCTTATATTTCTCAGAGCAGTATCATAGCACACCAAGGTGAAAATCACACGCTGTAAAAGGGAAACATGACCGCTCCTGATGACTGAGTGCAGTAAAGATCTAAAAATCTCAACTCCTCCATGTGAACAGAGAGGACATGCGTCAAACTTTTAAATGAATTAAAATGTCAAATTAAAGCTTCTGTGAGGAGTTTTTGACGTTAACGAAACAGACCAAAATTCACATTGATGCTCTGTTATAATATTCATAAGTAAACAAGACCACTAGAGACATGATTATCTCAAGGTATTTATCAAGGCATTCAAAAGTCTTGTGATTTTTAATGCCTTGAGCGGTGCAAGGGGGTAGGTGTCAACTAAGCAGCCAAAGAAAGAGCTCTGATTTTACAATTTCTGCATTAAATATTGTCAATAAATTATAAATATTACTGTCAAAAGTCAGCAGGATAAGATTTCTATGTTAAGACAAAATCGTGGTAGACTGCTTTGTCCAAAAGGGGGCGCCAAAATTGATGTAACAGGAGCTTCCTTTGTGTTTTTAAGAGTTTAGTTTTTGTTTGTTTTGATTTAGTTGTAATGCAGGAGTCATCTAAAGCTCCTGTAGGAAACTTTTGGTTTGTGTCGATTTTGGCGCCCCCTGTGAACAAAACAGTCTCTCATTATCTTGGCATCTACACACAGAAGTTATGACATTTGACACAAAATCTCATCCTGTTGACTTTTGATGTGGAGTTTATGTGGAAATTGTAAAAACAGGGCTGCTTTTGTTTTTTTATTTTATTCGGCTGCTTGGCTGACACCTACCCCCTTTGCACCAGTTTCCGGTTATAGAAATTAAAGTAGAAAATAATTAACAATTCTGTCACTGGTGTGATTTTTTGCTTTTGGATATCACGTAAAGGCATCACTAACTCCTCATAGGAGCTTTAACTCTCCAAAACCATCTGAATCTGTTATGATAAGGGTCAAAGTTGATCCTTTATTGTTAAATTAAACAGGTATTATGGTTCATGGACTCCACCAGTTGAGTCCTTATGCACAGACCCTGACCTCAAATATCTATATCAGTGACCTATGTGCAGGGGACATTTTGGCTTTATTTTTGTACAACAGGAAGAGTTGAAGGAACACTGTTTAACTTTATAAAGTCACTGGGTAAAAAACATTCCCACAGTTGACAAATTTGATGTTATATAAAGGCGGCAAAATAATTCTTGTTCCCAGGAAGCGCTGGATGTAGAGAGCAAATTTCCATTCAAGGATTAGTAAAAGACAACTTGACTTTGTGCTCAGTATAGCAAACAGGCTGATCAATCTTGATCAAGACAGGGGAACGCAAAGGTTTAAACATGGACTCACTTGGCACTCTGTTGATGGCCCGCAGAGGCCTAAGGACTCGGACTGTCCGAATGGCTGACAGGCTGGCATTGTGGCCGTCTAGAGAATACTCCATCACCCTGAGGAGACAGAAAGACAGGACAGGAAGGAGAGCTTTTAGACCAGATTCAAAACTTTATTGATCCTCAGGGAAAACTACAGCACTACAGTGGCATTCAATACTAGAGAGACAGAGAGAGAGAGGGAGAGGAATGAGGGAGGGAGAAGAAAGAGCAGTGGAAATAAAAGGAATACACAAAACTAAATTGACATGTAGTACAATAGAGTAAAAATACTGAAATGATTAAAGAACATACTCTTGGTATGAATGTACGTGAAAAGAAATGAGATTTCAAGTATTAAATTGAAGTAGTATAACAACAAAGGAATGGAGGGAAAAGGTCAGAACTTAATGGGAACTTAAGGCTGAATGAAGTTGTACTTCAGGGAAATTAGGTTGTCAGGACTAAGCTGTAATTTGATAGAGAGAAGTTGTAATTACAGGCTATGGTTACTATACTGTATATGTAAAATAACAACAGAGGGTATCAGAGAGGCAACCCACCAGGGTAAAACAGATACTCTTGTAAAGACAAACTTAACAGCTGAGACCAAACAGTGGCTGCAGAAGCATGTACAAGCTGTCTATGGTGCCTTACTATACTATACTCTACTATACTATACTATACCTATGGTGCCAGCCCTCCTTCAGCAAAGACTATTGCATAATGGCTTGCGAATTCTGATACTCATGACACTACAGTGCTAATGTGCTGATAGATAAAGTACTTAGCTGTTTATGAAACTTATTACAATATGCTCCTTGTTCTTCATTTACCTGCTCTTTCAACATGCCCCTTCAAAATAAAATGAAGGCAAAAAAAGCCATACGTCATTTTAGACGTGGTCCTAGTCTTTTGAAAATAAGCTGTTTAAGATTTAGTCACATTCTAGTCTTTATGGTTTTAAAGTTATACTCTAGTTTGAGTTGATCCAGTTTTACTCCATAAAAAGTCATTACAATGTAGTCATTATTTAAAGTCAGAACTCTCTCTTCAGACATGTAATTCATTGATCAGAAACCGGTAATCAAAGCGCATCTGTAATGTTTAACTCTCTAAACACTTCTATCAGGATTCCTTACCTTAGATGGATAATTTAGTTAATTCACTCTCCCATTAATGGTGCTGTTCCTTCTGATCTACTCTTTCTATGACTGGTGTAGCTGTGTTTTATTTCTGTCACTTCAAATAAAGTGCTATGAATTCACACATAAAGACCCCTATGTCCTTGAGTCCAAGCAACGCCCCTAGATAGGCACGTTGTACAGACACTCCTCTTGCAGCACTGTCATCTGCATCTAGTGTTGATTATTACTATGAGTCATCTGACTAAATCTGTCATATATCCTATTTATAAACTAATGCAGATCAGGGCTTTGAAATTGAGTTGCTAGGCGAACATTAAATATCGCACTGGCGTTATCTGCTTGCACATTTGTTACAGACATATATCACAAGTTTATATGAGAAAGAAAAATGGAGGGATTCAGGTTTTGTTTTCACAGCGCACTTATTGCACTTATTTGGATGTCTTATGGTCCACTTTTGATGTTTCCTGCTTACTTAAACTAAACAAACATTTGTCAGAATTTTTGATAACCACAAAAACTTGTAAAAAATACTTATAAATGGTCTACTACACCATTTAGATTATTCCTCTGTTTGTTATAAAATGGGTTTTATGACATGAATTTACATGAGCTGCTCTGTCAAAATGAAGCAAACCTCAATCTCCTCTGCACTCCAGCTTTCATCAATAAAATGAACACTGGTTTATTCTTATAAAAATATGACTTTATCTTTGAATATTTCAGCTTTATGACTTAATACTCTGTTTTAACTTAGATCTATTTTTCCCTTATATAGTGTGGCCCTGTTATTCTGTTGTTTATATGGGCTCTGTTAAGTCAGCTGGCTTGAATAGTTACTGTACATGCACCCATTATGCTCCGACTGCATGTGACTTGTAATGATAATGGCAGCAGTGCATGGGCCATTATTGCAGAAGTAAATAACCAGCAACAGTAAATGTACTGAGCAAGATGTCAAACCAAGACACATAGTATATAACTGTACACAGTAGAGAAAGCACTGTTATGAACAATTAAAGGTATGTGGAGTCTGAGGTAGTTACATGTCCTTCATTTTATGTCTTTTTGCACTGCCATAGATCTGACTACAAAGAAGAAAACAAGATAAACAGAGATGGAGAAAAGGTATAATATTGCGTATAATGGCAGCTTTCCATGTAAGCACAGTGCGTGTTGCGTTTGATTGAACCAAGGCTGTGTTGTAGTCTCTTTTTGTGGCACCTAAACATTGTAAATATGACAAACAGGCAGAGAGAGAAAATGATGCTCTTAGTTGTGTGACTGTGCTGCCTGCATAAGGATCGAGTGTCGTCATACTGCCTCAGTCCAGAGCGTGGGAGTAGCTGAAGGAATGTCTGCTGCTGATTGGGTCCTGCCCACATCTCAGCCTGCAGTATACTATGGCTGCAAGCCTTTATAAAGGTTTGTCAGCTTATAGTAGAGAGGCAACTTCTCCTCCAGCCTTCAAATTAAAAGCCCCAGTTACCCCGGTGACTGCATTCCTTTATGTCTGATTTTTTGTTTGTGTTCAGTAAAGTGTCATATCATTCCAAGCATACATGCGTCGTCCAGATTCAGATGATGGGAGGAAATGAGAAATAGCTTTGGCACTAGCTAAAAAAAGCACCATGGGATACTAACCCTGCCATGACGATGACAAAGTCAAGCTGGTTCCACTTGTCACCAAGGTAACAGTTTGGGCCGAAAATTCCCAAGGCGACCATCTTGATGACCATCTCCACGGCGAAGAAAGCAAAGATACAGTCGTCCAAAACCTGGAAATAACACACAGACAATATTAAAGTTTGACAGTGATGACAAGAAAATAAGAGGAATTGACTTCTTGTCAACAGGAGAAAGGTCAGCTCTTTGTTTACTTTCCACCTCACTATGGTGCCACAATATAAAAGAAGCTGCAGAGGAGCCAGCAGAGGGTGTCTACAAAGAACTTCCTGTCTCCATTAGTTAGTTTCATCCCTGGAGGGAATAGCTCTGGCTTAGCACGGTTAAGGCTGTGTCTTAATTAATTAGACATCTACCACAGCAAAAAGAACGTCTGTGTTTGAATATAATGAGCACATCTCAGCCCGCCAAGAATAAACATCACTCCACAGGAAAAGCAATTTTGAAACAAATGAGAAAGGAGAAATGAGACAATAATGAAAGATGTTTTCATTACCAGTTATTTACAATTTGGGTCTACTCACTGGGATTCTGCAATTTTCTGACACCTCAAAACAACTTTAAACATGTGTGGAACAGGGGACATGATCGAGCTTGTAGAGGAATGAAAATAGGATTTTATACTCTGTAAACTCTACAAGTGTTAAGAGCTAAAACTGAATTTTCTGACAGGGATTAATCTTGTAATTAGTGGATTGACTTGCTCATCCACCCTGTCCAATTTGGTGTTTGCCTTTATTATGCTGTAAAAACTCTCAATATAAACTGGACGATATCATATGAAAGGATAAAGCAGAGTTTTATGGCATAATATAGAATCACTTTGATCCAATCTGATACAATACAATATAATATAAAACAATGAAATATGAAAAAAAAAAATTAAAAAGAGAAGTATGATGCCATACAAAACAATAAAATATGACAAAAGATGATATATACCAAAAAATACAATACAAAAAAAAAAGAAAGATAAGATGTAATAAATTTTGATGTATGATGACATGATATGGAGTGATATAGAGAATTAAGTTAAAATGATATGATATGATTTGATATACGTAATGACACATGACATGACGTGACATGATATATGATTTTGGACTAAATTAGATAATATGACACACAACTATAATATTTGATTAGATACAATATGATGTGACATATACTGTATGAAAAATAATTTATATGATTTGATTATGATATGATATGATTATATGATATGACACAGTTTAATATGATGGGGTCAGATGGGGCATACTATGATATAACACAAAATGATGTGAGATGATTGGATGCAATCTAATATTTTCTGATACAGTACATTATAATACATTGCAATATGATACAGTGTGGTAAACCCCTTTATGTTATTCATAAAATCGGTTAAAATTTTCACTTTCCTGGAAATCTGAAAACAAGTGCTTGGACAGTTATTCTGCTTCTCCTATTTAAGCTTATATCATATAGAGAAGTTGACGTAATGTTTTATGTGCCAGGTTAAAAGTGTGTGTGAGTTCCACTCACCTGTAGGATGCGGCACCACTCTGACTGGCAGCTGACGTCCTCACAGGGTTGGAACATCCCCAGGGTGACGCAGTTCAGCAGGATCACCAGCATGGATATGTGCTCGAACCATGTGCAGGAATAGGTTAAGGCCAATAGATATGGGACATTTTACACCATAAGCAACACAAGATGGATTCATTTATTTCTATGCCAACACTGGCTTTCTAAATGTGACGTATGTAGTACATTAATTGTTTATTTATAAGGAAATAAAGTGTGCTTCTCTTGAGTTACAGCTGTAAAAAAATCTGAACTAATGAAATGAAATTGAAGAAAAGAAACAGTCTGTGAGCGGTCGATGGACTTTACTGTGCATGTAAATGTAGCTGTCAAAGTGTGTATAAATGTTTGCTGCTGCCTCTGTCCAGACTGAAACAACACTTGTGAGTAGTCTTTTGTGTGTTTCCCTCTGCTTGTGTTATTATTTTAAATCCTTTGAAATACTCAGAGATTATCTACTTACAAGAGGGCAGCAAGGGGGCACAGCTCCTCTTTTAAATGTCCTCTGGTTCACAATTTAAGCTCCAAACATAATCAATTGGTGCCTGCAAAAACAGACATTTTACTCGTCCAGATTTTTTCAGTACTTTCTTTTAAAAAAGTGTTAAACTAGAGATGACAGCAAGGCTTTCTTTTTCCTTTTTATCCAGACAGATTATAAAAGGATAATCATCATGACCAACCAGCACTGATGTTGCAATCTCACTCTTAACAAACCCATAAATTCATTGTGGTAGTGATTACAACATCATGTAATATCACAAATGAAACCAGTGCATAAAAAGATAGATTGATTATGAAAAAAAGGCCAGCATATCACCCCACCCTGAACCCTAGCTATCACAAAACCACCACATAACTACACTTGTTGCTTTAATTAAATGAAAGAAGAGAAACCAAATGCATAAAATTGACATGTATAAATCAACAAATAAGTCTGATGAAAGCCCTGCCCAATTGTTGCTGTTCAAGATCAATTTGATAGCTTGTAGTCATGACTCTGACCTTTAGGGCCTGTGTCCTCTAGGAACATCTTTTTCCCAGGCAGTGCCCTTGAACACAATCCCAAAGTGCCTCTCACTGGTGCTTACTGTTGCTAGGCGACAAAAGTCTGTGTCGGGACAGTTGAGTTTGTTTTAAATTGCTCTGTGTTCGTTATTTGCTTTTGTTTGCAGAAAATTTGCAAAGATGTAGGGAACAGTTGAAAGGAGTTGCGTTCTGTGATTGGCAGCATTTTGAGATTTGGCAGTAGTCCCCTGAATAATCTGTTCTGGACCCACCACTCCTTGAATTATATTAATACAAGATGAGGAAGTGACAGGGCGGTGTTCTGTATGTCAATTCATACATATTTTCAACTGCAAGGGCTGTCATGCTAGTGCTAAGGGGGGGGTGATACTTGACTACATTGTTTTAGAAAATATAGTGCTACTACAGCAAAAAAATTTGCTAGTGGACACAGGCCCTTGGTCTATTTCATTAAACTTCGATGTAAAAAGGCCACACAATCTTGTTTAGATTAAGCACATAAAACAGATTAAGATTACTTTCACGTATATCACCATTTGGCTAGGAGTACATTTGTCTTAGTATACTGGTATATGACCACAAACTATGTATCTTTACTATGCACTCATTAGATACTAGCCAATGTTTTCTTGTAAGATCTCATATCATACCACTATCACTTAACCCAAGCTTGCCTTTGGGTCATTGAGAATTGGGTTTACTTTGAAACAAGGCCAAATTTCTTTCCTAACTATCCGTGTCGGTGTAACTGGAATATCATAGTACACATCTGTGTTTAGGCCCCAAACGTTAAGTAGGATGTCAAATAAATGGCAGTTGTATGAATACTGGAAAGTTTGCAGGTCTAACAGACTGTTTTCTTAGTCCAGGCTTCCACTCCAATGCTTTAAACTGTTTGGATAACTAAACCTGACAAGTGCGATATTTACTATGCAAAATGCCATGACTCCACTGGGCAAGGCCCCCAGTGGAGCCTAAAGAATGTATGTAAAGTATGTTCTTAGATGTGAGGTTAAGTAAGGCTAAAACCATATTGTATCACTTTCTATTTTATTTATGTCTATTCAGGGCTTCAAACTTATATAAGCATGGCATAAACTCCCCACTCTCATAAATTTATAAGACTATGACGTGGGCAAACTAGATAGCCAGCTCTATTTTCTTGTGGGAAAAAAATGGTATCTGCCAATAAACCAAGCTCCAATTGCCATGGTATGAAGCAGCTGGATGTTGATGTTAACGGAAGCAGCATTACCGTGGGAGGCAGGAAGAATGCCGAACCTGCCGCTTATCCTCTGGAGGCACATTTTAAAAGGAATAAGTGGGAGAGATAATTAACCATGTCACTGTGAGTAAAACATAGGAAGCAGCGTGAGATATGAGAGGTATATTAAAGGGGGGCATGTGAGTTCAAAGGCTGTTCTGTCATTTCTTGTAGTTAAATATGTCTTGTTGTTGTTGTTAAAACCTCATAACTGGACAAGAAGAGTTGCAAACATCAAAAAACGACATCAGGATAAATCATGAGTTCAAAACAGGTTATTGCCACAAGATACAACCACTTTTTGATGGGGCCACAAGTCATAGTCATGCTAGCTTGTTGACTAGCATGACTATGACTTGTGGCTTGTTGACTGGCTAACACTTGGCTAATACTTGTCGATGTTCAGTCTACAAATCTATAAAATTTTCACCCTCCATCTTGTTTGTACTCAGTCATTATTGGCTCCATTTAAATGCTTTGACATTAATTACAATACTGTAGCACTGTGTATGCTTGCAATGCTAATTATGACATCTGTGGAATATGGTTGCCATGCAGCTGTTGCTAAGGAGTCACCCTGTCTTCAACAAGTTCAGTATTAAGCCATTAAAATAGAGTCTAACACATACTGTCATGTCCTCCAAAAGCAGGAAAACACAGTGGCTGATAGTGGTATTAAGTGCTTGCTGTAGGGATAGAAACTCATCCCCAGACACCTTGGGCCAGTGCGTCACTTTGCATCCTTGAAAGTAATGTTCATGCACACTGAATGTAGCACCGTGAGGTCGATCATGTCTTCAGAGATCAAAGATTCAGTAATCTGCAGAATGAAAATGAGACATTTGAATATTCAGAGAATCTCTCTCTCTCTCTCTTTCTATGTCTCTGGTGTTGCTCTGCGCCTCCCTGCGCTCTGCTCTCTCTAATTCCTCTTTAATCTCCACAGTCAACACCTCCTGAGCCCCCTTCTGTCTCCAGCTCTCCCACACACAAACACACAGAACCACACACTCGGCAATATGCATGCACAGACACACATAAGCATTAATGTTTAAGTCCTCAAAGTCAAGCCAGGCAGTGGATGCAAAGCAAGCTCAGTGTACGCAATGCTTTGCATTAAACAGAAGGCAGCAAAGACTCTGGGGTTTTTCAAATCATTACGGGGACATTTCAAACACACACACGTACATCCTAACAAGAGCTCGAACTCAGAATCATAGTTACGCTATTCCTGTTCAGCCTATAGCCCTGTTGCTATGGGCTGGATTAAATGCAGTGTATATGAAAGAGCTTTGATGCAGATACAAATTGTGCCTGGGAGACAGTGCTTATGCTCGATTCATGCCTTAGCATTCTCATGAAACCAAACGATTCCTGTGCCATCACATCACCTAAGAGACACTGTCAGCATTCATAGGTTTACAGTGAATAGTATTATCATAATGACCTCATTCACACTGCAGGAACATACCTTTCAGGTATGCTCAGAGTGGGAAGGCTATTACTGTCTCATACAGTCTCAATTTGGGGTATTAAACAAATTCTTATTTCATTGCATCCTGGTGGGTCAACAACTAGAAGAACTATAGACGTATAAATGAGACAGACAGTTCAAAAATGGGGAATAAGCAGGTTTAATTTTGGCTTATCTCCAACTACAATGAAGATGTTCTTGAAGACTCCAAAATCAGGCAACTGGACTGTGTAGAGTTTGAGAAGACGTTTCGACGCTTATCTAAGAGGCTTCTTCAGTTCCAAATTAGCTAGTGAGGGGAGCTGGTATTTATCTTAGTGGAGAAGGGGAAAACAACGACTGGGAGGAGTTGGAATGAATGGGTCGTAGAAACCCATCTCTGGGTGATTACCCCGAGAGGCGTTAACCTGAGTGGGTCGTTAACCACCCCTTCCATGTGAGGTGTTGTGGTCACATGGTCCCAGGTGTAAATGTTTGTGGAGCTTCCTGGGGAGAGAGCTAAGAACTGCATTTTAAGTGCCAGAGATGTTATGCCTGAGTCCACCTCCTTTGTTCAGAGAGGGTTTCTCCAGTCTGGTGAAGATGGCTTCTTAATGTCTTCTCAAACTCTACACAGTCTAGTTGCCTGAATTTGGAGTCTTCCAGAAAACCATGACTTGGATGAATGAGAACCTAAATGGACATACAATGAAGATGATATAGGTTTGTCTGAATACTGTAGATAAAGTCATATCCTCTTTTAGATCAAGAGTGTTATTTGAGCAGACGAGCTGACTAGTGCTGACTAGTATACTCAGTGGTTGGATAGTTTTTGTGACTGCCAAAGGTAGAATGTCTGGATATTTGTGCGAAATAAACAAACTGTTTCCTCCAGTTGCAAACGCTAGCCTGTGTGCATTAAAAGTACACATTGTACACAAAGAACACTCTGATATCCCCCTTTGAGCGAATTTCTGCTCAAAGGGTGATGACAACCCTTGATATACATACTGTCAACAACCCAAAAGGACATGTGTCGCCCTCTAACTCATCATGGCGATTCGTGTTACCTCCAGTTTTCTTTGTTTTGCCTCCAGCTCCAACTGTGTCGCCATTGCTGTGTGGGTCTATCCAGTTATCTGAGAGGAATAAGCACCGTTTCCCAAACCACAGAGGATCCAAAATCTGTCAACCCAAGCAATCCGATGTCTCGCTTAAGGGCAAAATGAAATGACTTTTTTACTTCCTGCATTAATAATGAGAGATCCAGCCGACACTTGAGATTACAAAGGTAGACAGATGTGT